TTGAATTCCCACTACTACAAATAAATTATTTATTTAGGATTGACAGCTTGAAGTCCCAAGCAAAACTTGTCATAGAAACAGACAAATAGCAGAATACAATGTAAAAGACAGAAATAGAACAAGCATCCACCAAGCTCTTATAAACCCACAAGATTTTGAAATGGAGTATCATTATCCAACAATCTCAAAATAGAAATAGGCTAACTGAGCAGAAGTGTGATGTAAATCAATGAAGCAATCTGAAATTGAAGCTTGCAGAGTAGTAAAAGGTCTGTTACCTGTTAGAAGCTACTGACGGGTAGTAAGCCACCTGATTTTCATCCACTATGAAGTAGTTTTCTTGTATAAAGCGTTGCTGTTGTCCAAATGCACGAATGGTGCTTGTGCCATTGATAGTCTCCAGGAAGTTATTGTATATTGGTGAGCGGCTCACAGATTCAATCCTTTTCAGCTGACGCGAACTGGCCACATATACACGCTGTATAAACAGGAGACACATTGTTACAAAGTCAATTTATTACATTTTGCTTTCAACTGAAGATCCAACTCAAGAACTGTTGCAATGAAATGACTAAAACTGAGTAAGCAAGATTAAAAAAAATGATAGAATGAAATTGCAATGGTCTTGGGGAAAAAAGAAATGTGACAATTTATCTGCGAGTTTTGTTCTGATACAAACTTGTGAAGGATAAAAATTTCATTTTTTCTTGTCACACTACTAAGCACAACTTATCATGACTGAATATTTTGCCCTGAGTTCCCTATAATACACTCTGCTTGCCTTCCAAATTTGGCATATTTTATTGTTTTCAACATAAATGCTCTTGGGAATATGCAGTCTTCCCTGAAGCATAATGAAAACAATAGTTCATGCAAAATTATAAGGGAGGGGGTAACAGAGAGAATACTCAAATAATACAACTTATCAGTCATGAAGAAGTTTGACTTTGTGTCTTAATCATCCCTGCAATAAACCATTTTACTGTATTCCTACTCTATAGCAACCAAGCCTCAGGTATGCTTTTATGTATTAATCTTTGATTGCAAGCAAGTTTATTGTACTTGTGAGCAACAAATTAGGATGATAATTCCAGAGCTTATACATGTACTAAATTTCTTTAAAATGGTTCCAAACGTTTTGGCCTAAAATATGAATGTTTTAAATCACAAGGTTATTTTGTCTCACTTATTTCAAGTATGTTTTCTTTAGTGAATGTTATAATATGCCTTTTGCACTAAGAGGTCATGTGTCATCATTTTTATGAAAAAGAAAGTTATATGATTTTGCCTTCAAAAAACCATTAGTGGGTCATATCTCAAACAAAATAATAGTGATATAGTTTCTCAAACCTGCACCATTTTCTTAAAATGAGTAAGTTTGTAGCTACATGGTCACATGACCAAACGCTGATTTTTAAAACTATGAATTACCTCTTTCTGAACAGAAGTTTTGCACTTAAACTTCAAGGAAATTGTTGAAAAGATGATGTGGAAACATTTTCAGCTCATCTGAGCGTAACTATCAACAATTAACAAGATAGAAGCAAAGAGTGGTTTGGCTGCCATGTTGGAGGGCAAACATGGCGGCCAATACAAATCATACTACTTTGATGAAAAATCAAAGTGCCATAAAATATCTCCATGAAATGCGTTTCCTCTCAAATTTCGGGTGTAAGATAATTTCTATGTGCTCCATCAATAAATTTTTGGCATCAGCAAAATTCCAACTCATTGTTTAAAGGAAGCATAATTGGTCAGGTGACCTCTTAGTGCAAGTGGCCTATTGTAACATTAAAATATTGATTAGACAGTAAAAACATTTGCTTCACATTAAAGCTATACTGTACACTGTACCTGTATAAGAATATACAATACTCCCAAGGGAACAATAACTGCAAGGAAGATAGGTGTGGCAAAACTGATGGTAAAGATAGCACCGACCACACTAAAGAAAGTTCTAAGAAAGGTGATAACAGTTCTGGGCACAATATCATCAATACCACTGATGTCCTTTGAAAAGCGGTTCATAATTCTGCCTTGAGGGGTGGTCTCAAAAAATGACATAGGAGAGTGCATGATATTAACTAGCATGTTTTCATGAAGTTGACGTGAGGCAACTCTGGATCCAAGAGCCATACAAATGGATGCAAAGAGAACAAAGATGGCTTGTGACAAGCCCAGGCCACCATAAACTCCAAGGAACAAGTCGCGCTCTTTGTCTGAAGTGACACTGGTTGAACTCCATCTTGCAAGCCAGATGCCTGATGCAACAGCACTTCCCTCCCCAATCAAGACAAACATAAGAATACATAAGGAGAGGAACACAGTCAGGGACTTGGCATATGCCCAGAACACTGAAAATTTAACCTGCAAAAAACAGCATAAAAATGGTTTCAGTGTAGTTATCGTAATGATTGCACTGTAAGCTGACACTCAACCTAATTCACCAACCACTGATTTGAGAGCAGGTTAGGTCCTTGCCCTAAGTTAGAGTATAATAATCCATAATAATCCCTTTCTGGGCGATGAATACATACCCTTCCAGTTTTGGATTTTTCCTCTTCGATCATTTTATCGATCTGTTCTTGATCTGGTCTGGTCAGCTGACAGTCTAGATCAGCAGTATCAACAGTAATAACAGACAAGCTGTCAGCTCGTTTCCTTAGATTATTTTGTGGTACATCAATATGGCTGCTGTCGTCTAATCTCTCCAGGCTTTGCCCCATGCCCAAGTGCAGCCCATCTGTTTCCTCCACAATTTCTAGATCTGGTGTCTCAGCTATTTCATAAAAAAAATGAATTATATATATTATATAAAGATAATACATAACATGTATGAGAAAAAACAAAAGAGAACTATGTCTGGTCCAAAGGAGATATTTGTTAAGGTCCTGACCCTGGATTCATGACTACTCCACAAGGAACGTAACAACAATGTCATAATATCATAATAAAAAACCCAAAACATCAATAAAAATCAAGCAAAGGCTTCAAGGCTTGTGCATAGTTTCAGGCAGGAACATGACTCCACTGAATACCCATGTAAAACATTAACTTCTCTTCTTCATGTAGCATTTAATTTTGTTCATCATCTTTTTGTTTTGTTACTTTTATGCTTCCAATGACATGTTTGTATCACAAACTAGTTGTACATTTAACTCCCTGCAGATGAAAGATGAAGTTTAACCCTTTAAGCCCCAGTATCCACAGACAAATTCTCCAAACTGATCTCCATACATCTCCTTTAAGAATTATTTGAGAGAATTTGATAAAAGATCATGAAATTTTCTCTATGATCATTTTATTAATTCTCATAACTTTATCTCTTGACAGTGTATGGATATTGTTAGGATTGTTGTTGGTCATTAGTGCGACTTAAAGGGTTAAACCAAAGTACAACATTACTGTTGATTACATCTTTTGTTTCCTTGCTGTTATATAGCAGAGAACTGCATGCTGTGTGACTTCAAGTAGTAGCTAACAGTCTGACGAAGCAGCAACGATAATATTGTAATTTTTTTTGTATGCTTCTGCTCAGGTGCAGATCACTATACCATCAAAACTCTTGAAACACTCCAGGTCTTTACAGTTTTCTTAGTTTCACTATGAGTAAGAAATAAGAAAAAGACACTGACTGTATTCCAGGTTTGCTTGTTGTTCTGTTGCATACGTGCTCAAGAATTCAGCAAAAGCACCTTGGTTTTTCACAAGCTCCTCATGTGTTCCAACCTAAAAAGACCAGTGCTGGAATCAATGGTGTATTTATGCTTTTCCTGTATGGATTAGCAGACATGATATACCGGGACAAAGTTAAGCCATTCATTTCTCGAAAATTGCTACAAAAACATGTTAAATGTTGAGGTTAGCTGTTTCCTGCTCACTGTCTGGCTATTAAAAAAATCTTACCAAAATTAGCTTGCAAAAATGCAAAATATCAGTTAATTAGGCATGCACAGAGGGTTGAAGAACTGTTTCCTGACTCACTGTCTTGGCTATTAAAAAAACTCTTACCAAAAAGTGGTAACGTTTGGCCGACTGGTTCGTCTGTTGGTAATCTGTCGGTTTGTCGGTAGACTCGGTTGAAATTCCAGATTTGCAAAATAAATCACATACCCTTCTATTTTCTTAAGCATAATCTCCATTGAGACTTTCTTTCTCGTTCAACGATCGTTGCCCCGTCCGCCATTTTGTAATTTATAACTTCGCCCCAATCCCTCTCAATTTGTAATTTATAACTTTGTCCCAGTCCCTCCCATATTATCAATCATATTAATATCAATGATATTGACCATATTCTTATTTGCTTTCTTATAGTATGTTACAGTATGTTACAGCGTCTTCGAAAGCCAATTCTGTAACTTACCTTTTTATTTTTTAAAAACCCTTTGGTTTTCAAAGTTTGAACTTCAAAACTTGGGGTTATACCCCGTGTTTACGGTAAGCTGTTCTTTGCTTTTGCTGTGTTTACTGTAAGCTGTTCTTCGTTTCGCCTTAGACTTCGATACTTTTGTTTTACCGGTGATTTTGTCATAGGTTTCAGTGTAGTATTTTTTCTTTAGCTGACTGTCGGTAAACTGTCGGTGATCTGTCGGTGACCTGTCGGTAAACTGTTGGTTATCTGTCGGCCGACAGTTGGCCGACAGTCGGTGGAGGTGAGCTGTTCTTCGCTTTTATCAAACTTTTGAGATAGTTTTTAGGTTTAAAAGTGACACAGTATCCCTCCCCACTAACTTATATTTCATTTTTCTTGCCCCGTTTTTAAGTTTCTTTTGTAGGGCATTTGTATAGACTTTATTTTGAGTGGAATTGTTTTTGGGAGAGGTTTAATTATTGAACGATTAGATATGGAAGGAAGTGCGAGAAGCAGGGTTCGTATCTTTTTTTAAACAAAAAATTCAAGGACTTTTAATTTCAAGGACACTTTTCCCATTTTTCGAGGACTCCATTCTGTGCAAAAAAGAGCCTTGAGTCTTTTTTAGTTCTTCCACAACATGAGTAATTTTCTCCTGAAGGTCTTCCTGTGTTTGTTCCTTTCTCTTTGGAGGTCTACTTAAACTATGAAGTTATAGCATTGAAAATCAAGGACTTTCCAGCACTGACTGCAATTTTCAAGGACTTTCAAGGCCTTTAACTTTTATTTTAAAATTTAAGGACTTTCAAGGTGCATGCGAATGCTGGAGAAGATAGTGGAACAAGATTTTGAACCAAATTTTTGGGTCAACTCTACATGTTTTTTTTTGCCTTTTTTTCTAGCCTCCTTGACTGAATTGCGTTCATTTTGCTACACATTGCAGCTGGAAAGATCTCTTTCCCCTGCACAAGTAAGATGACAAATTTGTCCTTGAAGCAGGGTTTGTCAGAAGGATTACAAGGGATGTGGACTGGCATGCGCCAGGTGTTTAAGGGCAGTTCAGGGGCAAAAGGGTTAATTAGCCCCATAAACTTTTGAGCTAACAAATGGCCAATCACTTACTTCTGATATTCTGCCATCTTGTAACACTATTATCTGATCAACTTGAGGAAGAAATGAAATGCCATGTGTAACAAGCACACGTGTCTACAATGGAAGACATTAAATGCAATATTTTAGGTTTCTGACTCTCCCTTTTTTGGGGCTGCCTTATTTAATTAAGTATACAAGTACAATATGGCATTAAATTTAATTTAAGGGCATCTCACTATATATACTGCACCTTCTTTCGCAGCTTTCCTCTTGGTCCAATAACTTTATCAAAGATGTGTTTCCCCACATGTGAATCGACAGCGCTGAGTGGATCATCCAACAGATAGATATCAGCATCAAAATACACTGAACGCGCCAAGCTCACTCGCTGTTTCTGTCCTCCACTCAGGTTTATGCCCTAAAGAAAATAAACATATATTTTTCAATCTTTTTAAAAGTATATAAGTAGTTTATTATAAGCTTACATACAAATCTTTTGACTAGAAGAGATATTTAGGAAGATGGATAGCAGGAATGACAAGTAAAAAAGTGTAGGCCCATGACAGCTTTTTGCATTTTGGAATAGATTGTTGTGTTGTTTAATTGTCAGCAGAAATAAGATAACAGTGATCAGCACCTTTTCACCAATTTCTGTCAGATCTCCCCCTGGTAAGATATCCAGATCAGTTTGTAGAGCACACGTATGAATCACTTTAGCATAACGCTTCCAATCAAAGGTCTTTCCAAACAGAATATTGTCCTTCAGAGTAGCATTCTGTATCCAGGCTTGTTGAGGTACATATGCAACAGATCCCTGAAATGAAAGAAAGATAACTGGTATTTCTTATAGGAATAGAACAGCTTTTAGTGGCTACTAAAACTCCATTTGTGGCTGCATGCTCTGTGTGCCAAAGACACTGTCATTTTATAACTGAAAATGAATTTGAAGCAGATGCAATGTACACTGCATGTAGTAGAAAATTCAGTCAGGTTAAGATAAAATATAAGAAACTACAAATTAATGAAATACACCTTATTATTATTTACACCTGTACATAAACTTTGCCATGTTGTTTTTCAGTTTCTCCAAGTAACGAAGATAACAGAGTAGATTTCCCACAACCGACTTGACCAACCACTGCCACAAGTGAACCACTTGGAATATTTAAATTTATGCTGCAAGAGAAACCAACCTAACATTACCAAGGGCAAAATCTCCAGGAAAACCACAACAAGAATAATGCTCAATAATATTGGCAAGGCTGATGATGAAACAGAGGCTTGTAAATAAAAAGAAAACTGTTTGTGATTCGTGGAATATATCTCAGTCTGCTCCTTCCCTTCCTCAATAGTTGCAGGGTCAAGAGATTCAGGTAGGGTTTCATCCTTCAAAAGGATTAAAGTAGCAGCAAGCTAAGAGCTGGGGGTTTAAAAAATAAAACATAAAACTCTTCCCTTAAGTTAAATCAAACTCACTCTTTAAGTGTTGGTTTCTCACTTTTATCCCAGCTGAATGTTCCATTTTCAACATGGATGGCTTGTGAACTGACTAAAATTTAATTAACAATTCAAGGTTAAACATGCCATGACCAACCTTTCCAAGGTCTTGAAAATTTTTAAAGACAGTAAATACAATGAGATTTGGTAAACAGTTAGTAACATGCTTAGCATGTACTCTTTCAACTAAATTGGCTTTACAAACTAGGCTCAAATGACTTACTGTGGTCTGGCATGGTCTTCTCTACATTACCAGGATCAAGCTCATCAAGACTTAGGAAGTTTGTCAAACGTTTTAGAGAGACTTGGGCCTGAAGTCACAAGATGTTATCTGATCAACAGTTTACCAAAATTACCAGTCCAACAAGTTAATAAAATGCTTTGTGTAGAGGAAGGAAAAAATCAAATGTAATTACCTGGATTATGCTAACTATTATATTTGGAAGCATAACAAGTGGAAAGCGTAGAATATTGAACAGTGAAATGGCAACAAAGGCTTTGGATGCTGTCAGTTCATTTCCAGTCAAAACATAAATTGCAAAAGTGGCTAAGGACACCTGTGGTAGGAAACAGATATCATATCAGACACTTGAAACTCCTGCACTGTTTAACAGTAAGTTACAATATTAATGTGCAGTAGAGAGGTCATGTATTAGACAATGGTGATCCAGCAAAAATAGAAAATGAGTAAAGACAGAGTGGCCAAGTGATTAGAGTGCTGGACGGGTAATCTGGACAAGGCCCCTAGTTTCTCCTTGCAGCTTAAGCTGGATTGGTTCTTGGTAGTTACAAGTTCAAATCCTCTGCTACAGATGTAGAACAGCCAAATAATTCAACTCCTACTATGGGATTCTTAAAACCTTGCTATGCTCCATCTGAATTATTTGTTTCATTGTCCCTAAAAAGCACGATATGGGAAGAGGATAATTGAGTATTTAATTTACGGCTATTTTTTAATATAATATTATTAATATTGTATCCCTGAATAAACTAGAAACTCATACTTACCAGGAATGGAGCACAAGTGAATGTAAAAGCAAATGATGCATTGAGGTAGGAAGCATTCTTCAAATGTTTTAATTCCTTGTTGCGAAGCTTAGAAATGCTTTTCATAAATGAAGTTTCCCAGGCATAAAGTTTAAGGACCTGAGAATCAATAATAAGTTTATTAAATTAATACCAAGTGATAAGCAATAAAGTGATGTATAAAATGAAGAAGAAAAACTCAACAGCAACAACAACAAAACAAACTAAACAAACACACAAAAATAAAAGGCACTCCTATGATGCAAGTCAGTGTGGTGTTATATTTTATGTGAGACTCTGCTCCCTAGCTTATGAAAGGTGTTGCATTATTTCTCTCTACTGCAGAAGCCTAGGGATAATAAGTTCTTATAACATAGCGCGCGTGCTTGCCCTATATAAGTTCTATTGAGCCGCTATGAACAAAATCTTTATTTACGCACGCCCGTGCGTAAATAAGATGACGTGAGCATTTTTTTTTTTTAGCTGGCTGCAAAGTACAGTTCTCGTCTTTTAAGCTGTAGTGCAGTTTTCCTTCGGAAGAAACCAGCGAAGAGCTGCCCGATTTTTATATCGGCATTGACCTTTAGGTCCTGCTCGAACAAGCAGCAAAAATAAAGCGAATTAAAAAACTCGCAAGTTGCGAGTTTCGCAAATTTGTCGGAAGACCAGCTCCAGCAAATTTTGGCCGAAAGACATTCACTGGGAACAGAACAAACACCAACTGGTCATCACCAACATTTATGGGTAACATTTCCGTTTTTATTGTTGTTTTTAAATTTGTTATGCACTTTTGTTATCTCCGGACAATCCGACTGAAGCAGGAAAATTTCTCTCGCAATAACAACACAAATTACACAAGAAGACATAAATTTATTACTCACAAAAACAACTGCTGCCAGGTCTCCTCTAGAAGCCGTAATGACCAGCCAAAGTTCGTAAATGAATATAAGTTTAAAGAAGGATGACAGTCGTCGTCGCTAAAAACATGTTTTCTGGATTTCGCCGAGCAAAACGTAAACATCTCTTCAGCAAATCCAAACCATACTCCACGACTTCTTACGAACATGTTAGTATTTTAACTTTAGGTGAACTTTAAGACTCCTTTACCTTTGTTTCTGCTTAGTTTCCATTGATCGTTAACGAATAAAGAAGCAAATTTACTTTCTCAGTTTTACAGAAAGAATATTTTCGTTCAAACTAGACGATTGTGGCGTGTTCGTAATCAGCCAATAGAACCCTTTGTTATTGTGTGACGCGTTACGAGAATTTTGCAGTTAATCAAAAATCAAGCATTTTTGTCAGCTATGTTATAAAAGAATTTGCGCATGCTTTTAGCTGTGCGTATATCGAGTTATGGATGCACTCGGGAAGTTTGGAGAGCACTCAAGAAGCTAGAGTTGCACTCGGCTATCGCCTCGTGCAACTCTTACGTATCTTTCGTGCTCTCCAAACTTCCCGCGTGCATCCATAACTCGATATACGCACGCTAAGCATGAACAAATTCTTAATTTTTGTATTGGAATACTCAGCAGGAGCATCTGCCACAGGGGATTCAAGTGGAACCATACATTGATCACAAATGACAAAAATGCAGTGATTACCAGCTATGTTAATGACATTAGCTGGGCTGGGGTTTAGAAAAAACAACTGTGAACAAACTGTTGCTACAATGGGACAGAAACTTACACACATGACTCTTTAGTACCTACTTATATCAAATGTGTGGTCAGTGTCCAGAGAGTATAGGTGGAATGGAGTTAAACTTTTATTTTCAATATTGAGAAGTAGCTTGGCATATTCTGCCAGTCCCTACACCATATTAGCCATTTCCCCACTCCACAAAAGAACAATATCAGACAAATGAATACCTTTTTCCATTAAGCCATCTCCATCATTTTCAAAAATCTTTTGAACAATAATGGGTAATTTTAATTTTTTAAAAACAAATAAATACCTTCATTCCATTTTCAATACAATACAATTCATCATTTCTTTATTTTGAGAGGGTAAATACTTTTAACCCAGAAACACATGTCATTTGAAAGAAATTAACAAATAAATTTCAAAAACACACATACAATAATTTTATTTTTTTTAAAAAACATGATAATTTGAGACTAATTAACATAGTTACAAACAATATATCGCACCAAACTTGGAATTCACAAATAGCAATTCAGTTGGTTAGGCAAAACAGCAAAGTTAGTTCGTTGGGCTCCCTAGAATTTTTCTTAGAGCACAGCCATGAATAATAAATACAGTGTAGAAGATAGATAGATAGAAAATCATGTAATGACAGTATAATGATGAAAATGGGATCTGTCAATGATAACATCATTAACAATAGTGATTAAAAAGTTAGCGTAGAAGGAAATTGTAAGTTAATTAAGATTAACCACACAAATAATATTGTCATTCACCCTGTATATAGTTCAGACCTCTATATCTTATTTGCATAAAAACATAGAGGACAAGGTTGTTTTTACGTCCATCACTAAACGTGACTGCTATTTGGAAAAAATAGAACTCAAGTTTTTTAATTAAATGATTTTTCATGTACTAAGATAGTAAAAAATAAAATGTGTTACAATAATACCTGAATACTTCTTGCAAATCGGCTGACAAGGAGATTCACAGGAATCAAAAGTATCATAACTCCCACACCAGCGAGGATGGATACACCCATTGTATTGTACAAGAAATACAATGATACTATAATCTGAAGTGGAGCAGACCAGACAGTGTTTACATAAGTCATCAGATCCATAAGACGCTGTGCATCCACTGACATGAGGTTAACCATTTCTCCCGCTGTGGATTCCTTCCGTGCACTATTGTTCAGGAGAAGAGCCTGGACACAACACATATTTAATTTAACAACAATAATAGAGTGATTTTACTTAACTTAACCCTTAAAAAGATAGTACATTACTATGCAGTATTACACTCTGATTTCATTAATATATAATAATAATAATTTTGTTTGCTTGTAACTATTTAGCACTATCTGTAATATGTCTCATGGGTTAAGTTGAAATCACTGTATTGAACAGTATAATAAACATACTCTAATGTGTATGAGCAAAAGTACTTTCATGTATTTTGAGATTTAGGCAAGTACACAGTGTATATGTTCTTTTAGAACACTATGTGTTGGTTATATGCACTTTAACAGCTTTTAACTGTATATTAATAAGAAATTCGGATGATCATCTTACTGGGTACAGTCAACTCCCGCCTTGCGGACACCCCGCTATAACAGACACCCCGATATTACAGACAGCAGCCAAATCCCAGGCAAAAATAAATTACAGATGTTTGACTGAAATAAACTCGCGATATTACGGACTCTCGCTAATGAGGACACCAACTCAAGGTCCCCACAGTGTCCGCAATAAAGGGAGTTGACTGTATTTGACAAATGCTTTGAATCAGTTTAGCCTGCACTGAGCCATTACCTTTTCATAAACCATGCCTATAACAGCTGTTCTTATTTTCATTCCAAGAGTAAAAACAATGTGAAAGTATTGTTGAAGAGCAATGGACTGAGTTAATGCCACTGCAAATACGCTGATGCTTAAAACATATCCTCGCCATTTTCCACTTGGGTTGTTTTTATCCTCAGTATAGGCAATTATTAATCTAAAACAAATAATAATTAAGGTCACAGATTAAAAAGACTTAAATTAAAATATTTAGTTAACAATAAAGGCATCCCTTTTCTAGTAATTGCAACCTGTATGATTGAGTTTCTGTTTGATAATATGCTGTCATGGATCTTACTTTGCAGTAGCCAGGTGAACCCCCAAAATGTTAAGAGGCTGCACGAATTTTGAAGTACAGTTGAACCCTGCAATACAGACACCCACTTAAAATAGACACCTTGTTATTGTCCCTGGGGTATTAGTAAGCTCTCACATTTTCGCTATTCTTATATGGACACTTTCTTTGGCCCGCCCTCAATGTCTGTATTAACGGGGTTTGACTACATTATTAAAGATTAAACTAAAAATAAACAAACAAACTCAAGTCTGAACTAAATGTCCTGCTTTACATCTTGCTTTACGTTACGCACACTTCAAAATTTAGAATTCAACAGAAACTTTAAATTCATCTGCAAAAATTGATGGTGATCACTCAACAAACTCCAGCATAAAGAATGTTAGTTAGCAACTATGCATGTACGAATCATTGCTCTAATAAAAAAAGCTGTAAACAAACCTGAGTAACTGAGGCTGTACAAACATGATACAATCATTTAACAGTTTAAAAAAAATTGCCAACAGGAAGCTGGAGCGGAACTGTCCAACTATAATTCTAGGGAGTGATGGTCTTTTTTCCTTTTTCTTGCCATCTGAAGAAAACTTTACTTCTTCCTCAACATCATCAGCCTTAAGTTCAGCTCTTTCATTATCAGTTGGTTCCATATGCTGAGATCTAGATGAAGCTCTGGAAAATATAATTAGAACAGAAAGTTTAGATGACTTATTAGTATACACCACTTCCACATTTCCCATAATGCACCTTATTTGCTCCCCCCTCCCCCCCAAATTTTGCATAACCTTTGTTTTTCATTTCTCCTGGGTATTAAGGCCATCCCTAGAGAAATTGAAAACAATGCTTATGCAGAATTTTGGGGGGGCATAATTATTATGCATCAGTCAATTCCAACTGCGCCCCTAACCCCATTTCGCTATGTAAGTCTGGCTTGTTAAGCAGTGAAGAAGTGCATGCATAAAATCAAGCACATGCCTTTACAACCCTCTTCAATGTTTTCCTGTCATTGACAGATGATCCAATCTGCTTTCTTTCCCAGTATAATCCTCTGTGTAGTTATATTCTGATAGAAAACTGTGTGCATGTCAAAAGCTCGAGAATGGCCCCGCGGTTTGCAAATGCCAGGCCCCTGGGCAGCACAAAATTTGCAAATGCCCCACCCCCGGGACTGATGAGGTGGGCAAATGCACTGCAGTAGCCCGGGGACGGGAAAGGGGGGGGTGGGGGGGTGGTGGGCGATGGCTGAGCGTAGCTGGATGCATTACCTGTTTAAAACTGCAGCAGCTGTTGTAATGTTGGCTCATTCTGACAGGGTCGCATACTTAACAAAAATTCTCAATGTCTGATAAAATTTATCACTATATAATTTTTCACTATAGTGTGTACTTTTGTATCTTGAATATACTGTCAAGTAGAGGTGAACTCAAATCTTTTCTCATTTTCTCTTTCAGAAATTCTATGATCCATGCATCATTTAAAAAAGTATTTTTAACTTTGAGGCTGGCAAACAGGGGGTGAAAGAATATTAAATGGTAGCCTGCAATGCAGTTGTATTTTTGGAAGGGTGAAAGAGGTTTCTTTATGTCCATACTGCTGTAGAAGCCATCTTATTTCATAACAAAAGGCTAAAGAATAGGGATCCCTAGCTAGTTGTATAGGCATTAGTGTGAAAGGAGGAAACTCCTCTATTTTTTGTGATTGAATATGACAGTTTCAACATGGTGATTTGATAAGAAAGAAACATTGGGTCAAACTAAAGAGCACATCTGCAATGCAGGCTTTAGTGATTCTAAAAAATTACAGATTTCTCACCTGAGGGAGGTTTGAGCTTCCTTCCACTTTTTTCTTAATGGTGGCACTACTGCTAAAGCTCTGTTTGATTTTTTTAAAGCCCACAAATCGGCATCTGTCAAGGGCCTCTTAAAACCAGTATAGATCAATCTGCCAAAATAACAATCGTTGTAAACACATTAACTTACTTTATGAAGGAATAAAATACTAAGAGAGAAACAAAGTTTCACTCAGAAAACCTTAATTTGCCGTGACCTCTTATTTTTTGTTATCATTTATTATGTTTCGAAGAAGGAAAATATTATTTTCTTTGTCATTGTAACATTGACTTAAGTAATATATGGATTTGTCAGTGTTCCTTTGTCTTGCATTTTTCTTGCCACAAGGATTCTTTCAGCCAGCATTGCTTATAAACAACAACAACAACAAAATAAGGCAATAGCAGTATTTGTTATGAAACTTCTGAACAATTTAACAGTCCTGTTTACCTATTCAGCCACCAAAATGAAATCCTGTAAAAAATGTTGGTTGAATCTTCTGGACAAGGATCCTGCAAAAAAGATACAGTATTTATTTATTTATATATATTTATTTTTTGATCACCTTGAATAGAAAACTGGGCTCTATGTGCATGGAATACTGGTATACATGAACATTGTGTGGCATTATTACTTTAGCGAATATTAAGTACATTGAAGTCTGTAACTGCTGAGAAAGACACTAAACAGAGAGCTCCACACTTGCCATATTGTGGATGTTTTGGTGATTTGCCACAACAAAACTAGAGAAAAAGAAACAGTCTCTGCAATGCCCAAAATGATTAATAGGAATGCATAAAATTGTCAAAACAACCCATTTTGAGGCAACAATCACATGAAAACAAGCTGCTGTATGTGCTTATAGCTAGTAAAGCTGCACACGTATAAAGTACTGTTACAGCTGGTGTGACTGACCTTTAAACTTTCCCATCTCCTTGAAATTTAACTAGTAATAAAGTAATCATTACAAAATACAAGAAGACGTAGCTTACCCTATTAACCAAACTTTTCTGCACTGGAGCATGAGGAAAAAACTTTAAGTCAACTGACATATTCACCAAACCAGCTGTTAACTCCTCACCATTATCTATTGCTTTTGACCTTCAACCAAGTAACATAATTCATTAACATATAAGAACATCATCAATACCACCAGATTACCATAACACCATATTTAAAAAAAAAAATGAAAACAATACTTATCATTCCTTTATGGAATTACTATTTAGAGATAAAAATAATAAAGAACTACGTAAGAGGAAAATAAACTAGATGTGAGAAGTTCAATATTTCGGTTGTAACACAGCTTTATACAAAAACTGTGAAGATGATGACTGTTCACCTTTGTTATGATTGGCAACAAAATTGTTGCGACAGTACATGGTCCTCAAATCCTAGGGTAACTTTGGAGAACACAACAATACAAGTTGGGTTTCATTTGTCATTTGCTGTAAACATGGTCTATTGAGAGGTGTAGCTGCCACTTGCTAAGTGGGATAAGTAATACATGAATAGAAAGTCTGAAAGTTGCCATCAGTTCAAAACAAAAAGAGGACACAGGGTCTCAGAAGTAAAGAGACACCATTGGCATACTATAACACAATTTATAAAAATAATATAATGTCAAAATATTTAACAATAATCTTCTCAGCAGGTTTCATTGTTCTATTCAGTGATTTGAACTAGCCTATAACTTACTCTTCATCAGTTAAATCATCCTTTAATGGCACCACACATGTGCTGGGGATGTAACCTTTCTCTTCACTCTCAATATTCTTTACATAAAGCCACCAGTCAACAATATCGCCCAACACTTCAAATTTGTCTCTGTTTTTAACTAACAACTGTGCTGACAATTCAGGGGCAACAGCTTCTTCAGCTTGAAGATCATCATCCTCTTTGGGTAGGTGTTCTGTCACTGCTATTACTAAGAGATTCTTATCTTCTTCCATTACAAAGATCAAGTGCTTATCTAGGAAAATTAAAAATCTTCTAGGTTGCTAGAATGTAAGACCTAGCATTCTAGGTAAATTGGGTACTGACTTGTGGAACTTTTATGAATACCTCACCCCTAACCTCATTCCCAAGAAATGTCTCATTAGTTTGGGGTTGGGTGGGAAACTCCAAGTTACAACTTTCATAATTTAATACAAATAGATTAAAAATAGATATAATACTTTAATACTACTCATTGCATACAAAAACTGTGTAAGTGTCCTAAATATTAAAGGGAAACGCTAAAAACTGAGTTTGTACCTTTCTGTAAGGCACAATTGCAGAGATGTTGTTGCTACAGCACAAACAGACCTTGTCACGGTTTTGGAAGCCATTTTGTCGCGTAGGCAATTGCGTAAGAAATAACAGTGCTTGTATGAGAATCTAATGTCCAACAATTTTTCTGTAAAATGGCTGTTCTGAAAAAAATATGAATTGTAAACTAAAGCCGCACAGCAAAGGATTCTACTAACAAACTTTGGGGGCAGTATCTCCGCTTAAATTTCTCCAGACCCTTCCTTTAGATTTTCCAAGTATTTGTCTGCAATTTTTCCTCAGAATTTTAGTTGGCAGGATGAAAAATTTTTACAGACTTATGTGCCGAAAATTTTAAAAAGTGGTTCTAGTGCATGTAACCCTCCTCAAATTTTTCATTAGAATCCTTGGGAGATTACAATTCATAATATATATATTTTTTCAGAACAGTCATTTTTAGGAAATTATTTGGCATTTGATTCTCATACAAACACTGTAATTTCTCACATGGTTGCCCACCCGTCAAGATGGCTTCCAAAACCGTGACAAGGTCTATTGCATGGTGGGGTCTTGGAACATGCAAAATGGAGAGGCAGTAAGAGGTACAGGTGCGATCCTGAGTGGTCATAGATGCTGTACCACACCCTAATAAGGCACAGGTCTCATGTCAAGTGTTAAGGCTGGTGATGTTATATAAAAAGGGAGTAACATTACCGTGGGTAAAAAACCATGACATAGCAAATTTTCAAATAGGTTTCTTCGACATTGGTTATAAAAATACATTGTGAAAGGAAACCAAAAACATCACACTTATTCAACACCTGACATCCTCCACACGGAAAACCCACACTACATATTTTACATTTTCTGATGTAAGATATTATAAACAATTATAGATTTCCAATTTTAAAGTTAAGATCTGAATTAAGAAGCGAAGTTCAAGTTTTGGCGCGTGATCATAAACTAGCGATGAAACCAGTCATAAACTTTCAGGTGACCTTGCTCTGTGATACTCTTCTTCTGTCAGTTGTGATGTATACATACCTAAACACGCTGCATACGTAAAAGATCTTTATAAAAACAACTCCATAAACCTGAATAATTAAATTGGCGCTAAATAATCGCGTGCATCGGCCCCTGTTGACTGTTGTTCCCTTGTGAGTTGTTGTATTAAAATAAAGGCGTGAAAATCTTAGAGGGGACTGGAAATAAGAGTTGTAAATTCGTTGAATCACCGAAGGTTAGCCGAACATCTGCCGAGTCATGGGGAGCAGCTTCCCCGGACAGCTGGCGGGGTTTTAATTTTTTTCATTTTACCACACATATCTTTCTTTATATTGAAAAAGGTTTTAATAGTTATCTGGTAGCAGGAATACTTCGTACCTGTTGTAGTCCATGATTATGTTTGTCCGCTGAATGGCTTTGTTGAAAAGATGGTTACCCTCATGATCGCAAGCTACCGGAACCGAACACCTCCCGAGCTGCTGCTATTGTAAAACGATCATAAACATGTGCAGGGTCAACCGGTCAGTGCGTGGTTTGTTTGGAGGCGGTGCTGAACTGGGGACGCTACCTGTTGTATTGGTCTTTGGGACATATTTTTTTGGTAATTGAATTCGATTTGTCGCAGAGCGTTCTGCATTCATCTGGTTTAATTGAATCAAAACGACTTCTTTCATAAGAGAGGCATTTCTTGGTGTCAGTTTCTGAAGGTGCAACGTGCATCCCACCTTCTGCAGCAAAGCTTAAGCTTTTTAATATATTTTTTCAGTAGCAAGCACTATCGTTTGAACTTGTGGTAAGTCGTATTTAGAGTATCTAATCATTTGTATCACGAAATATGATTGTGTTAGTGTTCGTTTAAACTTCACTTTGCTGAGTAGCTAACCCGGCCCAAACAACTCTCGCATCTGAATTATGCAAGCGAAGAACTATCCATTAACTTGTAATCTTTATATTATATTACACGGTTCGCTTCAATGGTTTTGTAACGCCACTTTAAATAGTGTTTGATGTGAGTTGACAAAACTGAAAAGCTCATTCGTCTTCTCCCAACCTCTGTGACCTCGCCTTTGCCGTAGATTACGGCAGCTGCAAGCAGCTTTTCGGTTTGCATTGGATCGGATGAAACAAGAAGCCGGCATATCACATCGCGCATGCATGTTTTGTATTACTTTTAGCGGTTTCATTCTGTTTGTTGACTTGTCACACAATTTGAGAAACAACAGACTTCATTCGAGATTTTTACTGAACAAATAGCAACTGCAACTTTCAGTATTTCAGTAACCGAAAAGAGCATGTTATTTGGGTAGTTAAAGCTATTTTTCGTTTTAACAACACTATAAACAGCTTTCGTTTAAAGTCGAGCCCAGTAACTTGTACGATCAGGCCACAAGACAATGAAACCAAAGTGGTATAAACCAATCGTTTTTAAGTCTTTTTGTGAGTTGTATATTTATTGTTTTGGATAATCTGCATTTTATACCTGCAGAAGGAACTAAAAAAGGAAAATAGTCATGCAAGCATAAATACAACTAGGATATAGTTCACACTTAATCTTCCCCCGTTTTTTATGATTATTATTTTGTACTGTGCTTCAAAATACCTTGATGATAAAAAAAAAAGGAAATCAAACGGCCAAACCTGTGTTTGATAAAATTCACATGCCGTAAATAATAGAAAAATAACAATATAGAAATGTCAAAGTCCATGATGCTGTAAGCTTCTCAAAATGGAAAGAATCAATTTTTGAGCACAGAACATGTTGGCAATGAAGCAAATAGTCAACCAAACAGGAGATGGCACGCACTAATTAAAACAACGTAAAAGAAAGTTAAGTGAAGTGTAAATGAAGATGGCAACAGATTAACTTAGAACCAATCTCATACCCAGATCACTAGTCTACTTCACAGGCATTCTTTGTATCGTCACACAAGACACAACGCTCCTCCCCACAAACGGCTGCTGAGAATTTAATCAAATTCCTTTCAGGCGGGTACAAAAGTCGGACCGGATCAACTCGGACCGCCAGTCCGGGTTGGATCAACTCGGATCGACTCGGACCAACTCCGATCGAATAAAAAAATAAAAATAAAATAAAATTGGACTCGGATCAACTCGGATCATAAAAAAACAACAACTCGGATTATAAAAAGAAAAATAAAATCAGTCGGTATCACTTAACTTTCACCCGCCATTTTGTTTTTTTCTCACGAACTCGTGGTTGCGTCAATTAATTTTAGTTTTATTTTTATTAATTTTAATGATACACTAGTGTGCAGCACACATACACTTCCAGTGAACATTTTCAACTTGGAAGGAGGAGAAACCATGCTCGCCCGGGACAACGAAAACTTTCGTACCCTTGGCGAGCATTGAACTCACGACCCTCCCAATACTACATGTTTATCCGACGTTCCAACCACTGAACCGGAGGGTCGCGAGTTCGATTCTTGCCTAGGGCATGGAAATTTCCTTTGTCCCGGGCGAGCTTGGTTTCTCCTCCTTCCAAGTTGAAAATGTTCACTGGAAGTGTATGTGTGCTGCTCACTAGTGTATCATTAAAATTAATAAAAATAAAGATAAAATCAATTTACGCAACCACGAGTTCGTGAGAAAAAAACAAAATGGCGGGTGAAAGTTAAGTGATACCGACTGATTTTATTTTTCTTCTTATAATCTGAGTTGGTTTTTTTTATGATCCGAGTTGATCCGAGTCCAATAATGAAGGCATCCGTGCAAGAAAGGCCTTAGTGAAATTTTTGGTCGTTTTTTTATTGTGCTCCGATTTTCCCAATATGTTGCTTGTGGACTAAGATTGATAAAAATTATATTGTTCTGTATTTTTTTTTAACAATTTCTGCTTTTTCTTCAAGAAATAACCTATGCAAAAACCTGGTCGGCGTTCTTTGCTTTCTGTTGTTCAAAGAGAAATACAAAAGAAACGGTTTAAGTCCTTTGTTTCACAAAATCAACGGAGCGGGACACTTAAGCCTGATATGAATACAAAGCGATTTATTTAACGTTATCGTGAATTAAATTGTATCGTGTGCCGCCGTGGCGCAATTTTTTTGTGTGTAAAGTGGATGATGGAGATCCGAGTGGTTCGGTGCATCCCTGCCCCATTTTCCTCCTTCTCCTTCTTTCTTTTCTTCTTTTCCTTTTTCGTTTTTGCTTTCTGTCGGAAGCGGGTGTATTTTGGAGCTTCATAACAGACAAAACAAAGCCAAAAATAGGGAAAAAATGGTCTCTGGTCTCATCTTTTTAACACGGTTCACAACATAAAAATCACATGGTCAAGATAAGTTCAGATTGAACACATGAATAACAAATTTTTCGTCTTACCTTCTCGACACGATATGAACCGCCATTTTGAAAATAATAAAAAACCGCTAGCCATTTCTTTGTGGGCGCGAAACAGACCTTTCTCAACCTCGCTTCCCAGGTCCTCTCTCCCACCCGTCACCGGAAATGTAACCGTGAAAGCGTGATCAAAATAGCCATCGTTTATGATTTATATTAAATACATATTTGTATCGAGCGATTTTATGAGAACCAACCTAACAAAATTGGCGGGTGGTTACGAAAACTAAGACCTAAGACCTAAGACCGATTCCTTTCAAGTCCGTTTAAATATGAAGTCAAATTGTAATCGGAATAGGTCTAGTCTGTCAAATTATCTTCTGTCCGATTCTTTCCACAGAGTTTTAGGTCCGAGTTGATCCGAGTCCAATTTTATTTTATTTTTATTTTTTTATTCGGTCCGAGTTGGTCCGAGTCGATCCGAGTTGATCCGACCCAGACTGGCGGTCCAAGTTGATCCGGTCCGACTTTTGTACCTGCCTAATTCCCTTCCTTTGTGTTTGTGGTCTGACGATCAAGCCAATCATGGGTAAGAACCTGACAAATTAACGTGAGCTGCAGGGCGCTAGGAAGTGAACACACTTCTCAGTTTCAACAAATCAATCAAATTTGGACAGGCTTTGTGTCAAAAGGAGAAAAATGGTTCATTTGCAGGGAAAAAAAGTGATATAAGCAGTAACAAAGTTCCAAAGGTGCAAAAAACGGTTTGATAGGCCTACCTACACATGCATGTGTATAATGAATGTCCAGGACCAGATGTGTTCATTGTGTTTCTTTACATGTTAACACTAAACTCTCAAGGGTAGTTATTCAAACAAAAGCAATCTTATAAAATTATTGATAAGACTTTACCTGACAACTTAATTGCGTTTGACGAAGGAGAACGCTTACAATCTTGTACCATACACAAAGTAGTAAGCGTTCTGTATGCCATGCGATTTCACGGTTAGGACCCCATTTTGGACTGGACTGGCCTGGCACACTTTGCCTTGATCTCATGTGTTCAGTTTTTCTCGCCCGGGAGCTTGTATCTATTTTGTGACACTCGTTCACAGATGAAACATTGGCAATTTTCTGTTTATCACTGGTTTGTTTATAGGTTTTCTCGCAGTTTTCAATTAAGTTTTGTTATCGTAGGAAAATTTCCATTCTAAGATAATCGGATATGTAGATATTATGTGAACAATGTGTTTTGCACTAATTCTGGGTGTGTTGTATTTTGAAAACAGTGTTAAGTAGATGGGTCGTGTTATCCCAGTGTCACACAACAAGGGTTTAAAGTGATATGCGACGCTTAAACTTTTCAGATAACTTTAATTTTCTGTATCCCAATTTTTAGCCAGTTTTATTGATCATCCTACAGTGCAAAAGAATATCCTGAGGATCATAGTCAGTGTTTGACCTGTTGTCACTTACATGTACTTTACTCAGAGGATTATAGCCAAGTAAATGTAAAAAGTACAGTACTCTCTTGCATTTTTGAGAAAAAATGAAATAGTAGTGAATTGTAAAGTGGGAGGACAATCAATAACACTGATAAAGACAGCTGCTGATATTCATATTGATAAAATTGTTTGATTTTGATTTCTTGATATTACAAGCCCATCAGGTTTTGCACCCCCTTCCCACTATCACTCACTGCCCACCACCCTCCCCCTCCTCATCGAACGCACTCCCCTGATTTGCAATTAATACTAGTAAACACATCGTTGTTGTGTATCACATTTGCTTGACTTGCCTGCTGCTGCTGCTACTGCCGCTTATCTCGTAAATTTTGAAAAGGACTTGACCGTGACAACACTACTCCAGTTGATATTGCTTGTTTTCATGCGAAGGTTTTAATTGTTCTGTCATTCAAACATGTAATACCAATAAAAGCAAAACTCTGATTGAAGGAGTCACCATTTTAACAATAAAATGTGGTATGAACACCTTCCAGATAGAAAATGGAATCTGAGACCTGATTGGATAATATACGGAAAGTAATGTAAAGGTAATGAACAGCCATGAAGTAGACTACCAGATCACTTGTTATTGAAGCCATTGTTGGGTCATAGTCAAGTAAGAGATTTAATTTTTCTGATTGGCTACTCAAGTTCAATCTGCCGAGGTGCAGATGGAGTAACATGAGTGAGTGTAACCTTTGTTGGTTCAGTTCAAAGTCTTAGCACTAGTCTTCTTAGTTTATCAGCATACATAATAGCTAGGTTTTGTGTTAAAAGAAGTTTTTAATTTTACCAGTTTACATGATCGTTTGTTTATCTTAATGAAGGAAATAGAAAATGTCATTTTTCGTGTTTATATGTACTGCACTGTAATGGGATAAAATGAAATGAGTGTTGCATGCAAATAATATTTAAATTATAGTAAAATAATGAATAGAGAAAAATTGTAAATGATTCTTTTGAAAAACAAGTATAAATGTATTCGTTTTAATACCTTACAGATGTTTTCTCATAAATTAATTATCATTTTAAAATGAAATTCCTAAAGCTGTTCACCAAATAATCTTTTTTTAATTACTTGAAATTCACTTTTACACCAAAGAGATGCACTGTTTGCTTTATATGGAAAGCTTTATAATAGGTGTAATGTAAAAATGAGTTCATTGTACCATATACAGTTTGCTTTTTTACTGTATTTTTGTACTTTTGCATGTTCATATCAGAGGGGACAACACCAAATACATGTAGAACAGATAAAAGGTTTAATTGAGCTTTGAATCTATCCAGCATGGAATGACTTTGTTTGCTTTAAGTCTCATAAGGAATAAACCCAGGAAAATTTACTTACTGTATGAAATTGTAGTTCCTTGCCAATTCTAAGTTTGTAAGGTGTTATGGAACTGCTTGTAGCTAGTTATCGTAAATAAGTGTTTTTAATTTATCCTGTATTTTTTATGTTAAGAGTACGTATTCTCTAAATAAGAACTATGAAACAAATTTTTCTTTTGCAGACAATGGCAGATGATAAAGATAACAAAGATAATAAAGAGGAACAACATGAGATGAATGAAGTGAATGGAAATCCAGAAGATGTAAATATTGAAATCCCATCTCTCTGTAGTAACAGTAAAATGAAGATGAATTTTTCGTTTGTGGGGTTTTTGTGATGAGCTAGTGTAATAGGGTTGGGACCCATTTCTCTCCTGGATTTTTTCCTGAAGGGAGGAGGCAAATGTATACAAACTACAGCATTCCTAGTTAGAATAAGGGAACACTGTTGTTGTGGCTCGCCGCTTGTTGTAGAAGAAAGTTTCAGAATGACTGTAGATTATCAGTCAGTGCAGTGAGGAGGGACTAGTGTTCTGTGAATTTAGGAGAATAGTGGCCAAAATGAGCACATAAGCATGTTATTACTGTCCAGGGGACAAAAACGCGCTTTCACAACACAAGGGTCCCTGAACACAAGTTTAATAATCGAGAGTTGCACACTCAGCATATTTCCTCAACAACACAACAGGATCGAATTTGGAGTCTCATCTTTGGCTAACAAGCTTCACCTCGCAAGTAAAAACCTACAAAACAAACACTTAATCACTGCTGGAAAGGGATTTGGAAATAAACGAGCTCCTAAGACTCACCATACGATGAGAAACTCCCGGCGACTAGCGCGTTACAAAGCACATGGTTTCTTTCTCGCTACACGACGACACTGAGACGCGCTCACTAAGCATGCTGGGAGAATAAATTACAAAAATGGAATGGAACGGACTAGGGAAACAAAAAAATGTTCTCTTGTTGAGGATTGGCCTCAACAATTACTGTCTTGTTCATATTAGTCACACTCTTAGCAAATTTATTGCTTGGTGGACTAACATGTAAGCATTTAGATCCAACCTCAGGAAAATCGATTTCTTGATTTTTATCTTATTTCACATTAAACTTTTTTTTCAAATTGCTTCAACAGGATGTTAAGGAAGATGGTGACAAGGCAGCAGCCACGACTCCTCTTGTTAAACACGAACCTGCAAATGCTGATGATAAAAAAGGCAAAAAGGGAAAGAAGGGTGAAAAGAAGGACAAACTTGATGATCTGAAACAGGAACTGGAAATGGTAGAGTCCACTCTCATGGCCTGCAGGCTGATGTATGGCAGTAATATCCTATTCTAACTATTGTTTCCACTTTTCAGGAGTGGCACAAGATTCCACTGGATGACCTTGAAAGTAAACTTGATACTGATCTAACTAAAGTAAGTGAATCATTTTGATCTGTCCCTAATGGTTGTTTGGTTTTCTACATGTACAACTACTCATTAAGATCTACATGTCCTCATGCCTAGAGTTCACTGGCTTTTAAAACAGGTCTTTCTTGCTCACTTGGGTAGCGAGAAGTTGCTTCATCCCACCTGCTCACAGAGACAGCCACATAAGAGAACTTATTATAATAAATAAATTCTTTTGGGTTACCAGGTTTCTGATGTTTCTGTGATTTAGCCTCGTTTAAATATTTTCCAGGGTCATACACAGGAGAAGGCAGATGAGCTGTTTGAACGTGATGGTCCTAATGCACTGACTCCCCCACCCACCACCCCTGAGTGGGTGAAGTTCTGTAAACAGCTGTTTAGTGGCTTTGCTTTGTTGTTATGGATTGGCTCTATTCTCTGCTTTATAACCTACGGAATCAAAGTGGCAACAATTGAAGAACCTGAAAAAGATGATGTAAGAATAATTTTTGTCTGTTTCTTGGCAAACTTGTGAATACCCCAATTCTTATCAGTTTGTTTTTATCAAGAATACTATACAATGTATGTACATGTATGCAGCACAATGTGACCTTTTAGACAGCTGATTATAATTAACAACAGTCACTTTGTGTCAAATTTTCAGGGTAAACAATAACAGAAGTTGATACTGCAGTACTGAGGAAATGTGATGAAAATTGATTTTACTGGTAGCATATCCCTGCTGTCACTACTGTCTCTAGTGTTATTTGCTTATGGTTTTCCTTTGTCCAGGCCCTTATCTCAACACACAATATATGAGTTTCAGGCTGCTAATGACCTAAATTATTACTATTTTTTGATGACAAAAATTATTAGTATTAATTGGTTTGCAAGGCTGTCTTAGCTCCATTTTTCCTTGCATTCATAACCATAATTTGAGATGTAAAGCTGCTACTAGTCTTGTATGAAATATGTACCCTCCTAATGAATGTGTAATATAATGAAGGCCATGTCATAATATTATTGTAGCTTTACCTGGGTGTAGTGCTGGCTACAGTGGTTATCATCACAGGATGTTTCTCCTACTATCAGGTCAGTTTCTTTTCTCCTGCTTCTCTCTAATATTATTATAGTTAACCAAAACTGAAATTTAAAGAAAGCTTTACATAAAGTTGAGATACTGAACTTAAATACTAAGCCTAGGTAAGTTTAACTCCGGTTACAAAAGGATAAAACCTCTACCTTTGCCATTTGGTTTAAGCTATTTTTATTGCTGTGACTGGTCCAAAGTTTGACTAAGAACTCTGAAATTGCCATTTATGTTGCCTTAACTTATTGATTTGGTTAGGAATTGGTGCTAGCTAGTAAAAGGAAAGGATTTAATAACTCTACAACCAAGCTTTTCTGTCATTTATTTATTGATTTACCATTACAGCAACCCCTCATGCATATGAAGGATTATGTATTTTGTTTGGCATTGGGGTGGGGGAATAACACTGCTTTAAGTTCCCTTTGCCCCTCACCCAGCCCCATTTTCCTCCTCTTAACTGTAAAGACATTACTCATTGTCCATGTGTGTCCATTTTGTTAGTATTTTGGTTAGGGAAGTCTTTTGAGAGTTTGTGACTTAAAGAGACGGTTTAATATTCAAGCTAACAGGGATGATCCTATGATAAAGAGAAAAAAAGAAGGTCTACCATAAAAACTTTCTAATTTCACTGATTGCTGATTGCTTTTTTGAGTAAAGGAGGCCAAGAGCTCAAAGATTATGGAAAGCTTCAAGAAAATGGTTCCACAGGCAAGTTTATTCAATTTTCTTCATTGCAGAGGCTTCTGGGTCTGTTAGGTCTGTTTTATGTTAGGGCAAAATCAAAGAAAATTTATTGGAGAAATCATGGCAATAAGGTTTTGGGTCTTAGAATTAAAAAGGAGTTTATTTTGAAGTATGCATAATTTTATCATCATAAATATATTCCGTCACAGGAAGCCACTGTTCTGCGTGATGGGGAAAAGCACAACATAAATGCAGAAAAGCTTGTCATGGGAGACATCATCTATGTGAAATTTGGAGATAGAGTACCAGCTGATATTCGTGTTATTGAAGCTCAGGGTTTCAAGGTAGGCTTTACAAATTGGGGCTGTGTCTAGTTACGATTTTTGTAGAGAAGTTGGTGTTATGAACAATATAATGCATGCATGTACTAGTTACACAGGATGAGTTCCTTTTTTCTGCTTGATCTATTTAAGTATTATAGTTTAACATGTGTGTTTGTTAAGTATCCTTGAAATTCAGGGTTTCAAAGTCCACAGCATTCCTGTATGATACAAAGTTTTAATTTTTGATTTTGTTTCTGTGTTAAACAAGGTGGATAACTCTTCTCTGACTGGGGAATCAGAACCTCAAGCTCGCACACCAGAGTTTTCCCATGAGAATCCCTTAGAGACAAAGAACTTGGCATTTTTCTCCACAAATGCAGTTGAAGGAACGTGCACAGGAGTTGTTGTCCAGATAGGAGATGATACCGTCATGGGTCGCATTGCCAACTTGGCAAGTGGATTAGGATCAGGAAAAACTCCCATTGCTTTGGAAATTGAACATTTTATCCATATCGTCACTGGTGTTGCTGTTACTCTTGGAGTGACCTTCTTTATTCTTTCCTTGGTTCTAAAATACTCCCCACTTCAATCTGCCATATTTTTAATTGGAATAATTGTGGCTAATGTACCTGAGGGCCTTCTTGCGACTGTTACGGTAATTTTGCTTTTCCTATAGTTGGAACTACTATGTAAAGAGCACTTATCTTGCACATGTTGCAGGTTAAATTTGATTTCAGGTCAATTTTGATTTAACTTAGGGTGATTCTCAATTTCCTTTGACAACTAGCCCTTAGGGACAAAGGAAATTGAGAATTGATCTAGGTTACAAAAATTTTAACCTGGAATCAAATTTAACCTGTAACATACACATTGCACTATCAACACTTGCTGTTCTCTTTCTCTAACAATTTTTGATGCATGCTTTAAAGGTTTGTCTTACTCTGACTGCAAAACGCATGGCTGCCAAAAACTGCTTGGTAAAGAACCTTGAATCTGTTGAAACACTTGGAAGTACATCAACAATCTGCTCAGATAAGACTGGAACACTGACACAGAACAGAATGACAGTGGGTATGCTGACATGTCAATACTGTGTACATAAATCTGTATGAAGTCAGAGAAGAGTAACAGTTAAGGTAGTGTTATTAATTACCCTTACGTTGTACATGTATGTTTTCTCCTATAGCTCACATGTGGTTTGACAATAAAATTTTTGAAGCGGATACAACAGAGGATCAGTCAGGAACTCCTATGGAAAAGGTAGTTTACACAATGTTATGTTATATTTTATTATGAAACCTGATAATTCAGTTATTTAACCCAAATTAATGAAAAACTTTGTATGGCTTGTCATGGTGATGCTCACAGTTGGAGAAAAGTGACCTTCAGAAACTTTACTAGAATAGACCCTTCCAGGGTGTTTTGAACTTTTGACATGGACCAGTGAGGGTAAATCTGTTGACACCACTGGAAAGACCGCCTTAAAATTAGTAAAACTGCCACCAAATTTGAAAGTGATATGTCTTATAAGGTGAAAAAAGACATAGCTCCTCAAAGGTGCACAAATTTACAAACATCTGTAAAATTTTGTGACTTTGAATAAGATTTGTGGAAAACTAACGAAAATGTAGCTCCTCAAAGTCACAAGCTTTTTTAAAGGTTTTCTTTTCAGTGGTGTCAAAGGATTTTCCCTACCTTGACCATATCAAAAGTTGAGAAAACCATGAAAGGGTCTATTAAAAAGTTTTGTATTATTTTGGTATCTTGCAGTCACAAACATGGACTGCATTGTCCAGAATTGCTGGTTTGTGTAATCGTGCTGAGTTTAGAACTGGCCAAGATAACGTCCCTGTGCTAAAAAGGTAAGAAACTTACTTCCATCTAATGAAATTTTCAGTTTTCTCTTAGTCTTAACTCAGTGTATTTTTTGCTTTCTCATTGTCTGTATGTATATGTCTGTATAATTGAGAAAACAAATTTGGTTTGTTTTTGTCTATACAGTATTAAAAAACCCTGGTAACTCAAACTCTGAAGGGGAACAAAAAACAGTTAGAGTTAGTGGGAAATTAGAGTTATTGGAGTAAATTTCAGTGAAATTTTGTTGAAGGGAAAGGAAATTGAGTGTGAGTTAGCGAGGAATTTGAGTCATCTGAGTTCGCGTTATGGAGGTTGTTCTACTGTACTACCAAAGAACTATACGTCACCCACATGAAACAATTTATGACTTGACTGATCGCATTAAATCCATTTTGCAGGGAAACAAATGGAGATGCCTCTGAATCAGCCCTGTTAAAATGTATTGAGCTTCAAGTAGGGAGTGTAACTCAGATGCGACAGAAAAACAAGAAGCTTGCAGAAATTCCATTTAACTCAACCAACAAGTACCAAGTGTCTATTCATGAACAGGAAAATGCTGATGATCCTCGATATCTACTTGTAATGAAAGGTGCTCCAGAGCGTATCCTAGAACGTTGCTCTACAATCCTAATTCAAGGAAAGGAAGAAACATTGGATGATAATATGAAGGAGGCATTTGAAAAGGCATACCTAGAGCTGGGTGGTATGGGAGAACGTGTGTTAGGCTTCTGTCACTTTTACCTGAATGTTGAAGAGTTTCCACCTGGATTTGAATTTGTTACTGACGATGTAAGCTATTGATAGTATAGTCCTTGAAACTTAAATATCTAATCATCTATCGTTTATTTGGCAAAGATGCTATTTACAAATTGTTGGTTTCCTTTCAAAGAAAACCAGCAAAATAATAAATTTTAAAAATAACAAAAGTAAACAAGCATTTACCTGGCTTTTTTCTTCTTTCCAACCAAAGGCCTTAAAAAGTGATAATAAAAAATCTGTGGATAGGTGGATTTGAATAATACTTGTATACTTTCATAGTTTTGGGCCCTCTATAATTTTTTAAGAAAACTAAGCATATAAAAGAATTGTGCAGTGATTAGCAGCATAGTGATAATAAATTTGTTTGTTTTTAATTTGCAGCCCCCTAATTTTCCACTTAAAGACTTGTGCTTTGTTGGTCTAATGTCCATGATTGATCCTCCTCGTGCTGCTGTTCCTGATGCTGTCAGCAAATGTCGCAGTGCAGGAATCAAAGTTATCATGGTCACTGGTGATCACCCAATCACAGCAAAGGCCATTGCAAGGGGTGTGGGAATCATTTCTGAAGGTGAAGAATTTTTTCATCTTACCTCTTTCCTGCATCCTTGTTAGGCCCATAAAAGAGATAATTATTGGATTTTTTTTCAAATCAGACGGAGCTTACAATTTTTTATTGAACACAGCCAAGAGTAAGATGGAAATGGTGCAGATTACATGCAATTTTATCCTTTGATGAAATCATAATATATTCTACTTTTGGTTATTTAATAATAATCCCTTGTGTAGGAGAAAGTGTAACATTGAAAATCATATGCTTGCAAATTACAAAATTTATCACCAGTGATATTATTCTGGTTGCTGTGGTGTCAATATAAATATACAGTAAAATTCACATGTTCATAGCATGCTGTGTGGTTCAACAGTGATACCTTCAAAAGAGTGTGACATCTTACTATGAGAAACAACAAACATCTGAGTGTTTTGACTGTGTGTAAAGTTTTTCAGTGTTTATTTTGTCTTTAAATAGTGTTTGCAATGAGAGGACTCGTTCTAGTCAGTTGATAAGCGAGCTCACTGCTTCAATTATTATAGATAAACTCATTGGTTGAAAATGTCCTCCTTTATTTATTTGATTCGTGTTAAAATTGCCTTCCTTGCAATATATTTGGCCGTTTTGTGTTCAGCCCAACCTGACTTGCATGTGATTCAAAGTTTAAGCAATTAAAAATAAAACAATCTTTTGGGATTGTCTCTTGTACCTTCACCCAAGGACATAGGGGCAAGAAAAAGAGACATACCAATTTGTGACTCTGATGAAAACAATCCAATCAGACATAGGGGTGGCATTACTTATGTAATTTGAGAAAAAATATAATTTAACCAAGGGGAAAATAATATTGAACCACAGCAAAGACACTTTTTTTAACTGATTTAGGGACGGAGACTGTGGAGGACATTGCAGAAAGGCTTGGAATTCCTGTGGCTGATGTGAATCCACGTGATGCTAAAGCCATTGTTGTACATGGAGGACAGTTAAAGGTATCACAAATTATTTTAAGTGGAAGATCAACTGTGCCAATTGAAAGTATAATACATTGCTAACCCTTTTGGCTACTGTGTATATTTCAGGACATCTCGAGTGAAAAGTTAGATGAAATTCTAAAGGAGCACACAGAGATTGTTTTTGCCAGAACCTCTCCACAACAGAAGCTTATTATCGTGGAGGGCTGTCAGCGGCAGGGTGCAATTGTTGCTGTTACAGGAGATGGCGTCAATGACTCACCAGCGTTGAAGAAGGCTGATATTGGTGTGTAAATTAATATTAGATAACATCAATCTTCCAACCTTTCTTCTGTGCTAGTGATGTCCATGTTTTTGTCTTTTCAAACCTGCTGAAACTAGTATAAAAACAAAAAATATTCTGCAAAATGATCACTTTACAAGAATTTGAAGGGATTTAGCCTTGAGGTTGGAGGAGCATGGTGAAGGGATGGATGGAAGTCTTACATGCCAAACAAAATGTGTGAAATCAAAGTGATTTTGCACTACATTGTATCTTCTCTTACTTTAAACTGAAGCTTTTGTCTCTGGTTCCAGGCGTTGCTATGGGTATTGCTGGTTCAGATGTGTCTAAACAGGCTGCAGACATGATTCTGCTGGATGATAACTTTGCTTCAATTGTCACTGGGGTTGAAGAAGGTAATTATGGAGCATATACTAATTGGGGCTGCTTTGAATTTTGTTGCCAGCCTGATCTGGCTATCTTAAATCAAAGTAGCTTATACTGCGCTTCCTATTTAACCACTTCTTGCAAGTGAGAGGTTTTCCCTCAAGCAAATTATTTAAATTGGAACCTCTTGCTTGTGACTTACAGTTCTTTTAATCCGAAAGGTTATGATGAATGTGTTTGTTTTTAGCTGTGGTAGGCAACCACCTTATCTTTGCAGCAGGCGTAGTTTTTCTTTGAGGGCGAAAAGAGAATATTCAAGGACACACATGCAAGGGAAGGAAAGGAGAGGGAGCGCCTGCAGCCGAGCAGCTGCAGCTGACATCAGACCCAAAGGGGAAGAAAACCATTGCGGTGCATAAAGCAAACAATGCAATTTTAAATTAATACTTATAGGGGCAAACAGAATGAACAAACAGCCTTACCTCAGTCCCACTGAGTCCCGTCATCAACAAAGGACGCCACTGTATTCGTGTGGAACAATGATGGCGATTTTAATGAAATTCATTAATCATTTGTCCATCTCCACATAGCTGAGGCTATACGATGTTATAAGTTCCTTGCAGTATTTCTTTTAAACAGTCCAGTTTTTCTTTCGAAACACATGTGCTTACATTTCCATGAAAGTTACCGTGGCTGCTTGAATTATGCTTTGCGATGGGGAAATAATGACAATGCTTGTAAAGATGGTACCAGTCTTCAGACCCCAATAAAAATACAGTGAAACCTCCATTAAGCGGACACCTTCAGGACCTTCCCAAGTGTCTGCTTAATAGAGGTTGTAAAAATTGTGCAATGTTCGTGTTTGTCAACGATCAACATTCAAGGGTTACTGTCTACTGTGTTAAAGTTCCATGTTGTGATGGATGCTAAGGAAGCTGTGCTGTACTTTGTGCAAGACTTTAAGGTAAAGGTTAATCGCAGATGACAATCATACGGCCGAATATCTGTCTAATCTACAGTTTATTGACAGCTAAATGTATTGATTTATCATTATTCATCGACTACAGTACGTATTTCAAGAACGTTATCCAATACTATTATTGTCAATTCAGTCCTGTGTCTTCTTAATAGAGGTTTTTAACAATAGATTAGAAATGAGCCAAATACAACTTATTTTAGTGTCTGCATCCACTTAATAGAGGTGTCCACTGAATAGGGGTTCATTATAAAGGGAAATATAAGATGTTAATTTCAGGACCCAGATTAGTGTCCACTTTATAGAGGGTGTCCACCAGAAACTCATAAGGTGTTGAAAACCCCTTATGAGTTTCTGTGTCCACTTAATTGGGGGTCGACTTAACACAGGTTTCACTGTAACTGGAAAATTGAACTTACTCTGAACTCATTTGGTAATACTGCCAAAACATCTTTACTGAAAAGATGGCGCAGTGCTTTTCGAAAATGAAAAGCAAAATCGAAAATCTCTTCGAGTTTATCTCTTTAAAAGAACACTTCTTGCAAGTATGATTCAAACAGTTCCTCAGCGGTGAGCCATGCGGCACGTGTGTTTTGTTTGCAAGACTCGAATTTCCATTAACTAACAAATAATGCATTGAGGTGACAGACTAACTCCCAAGAGGCATTCTTAGCCAATGGCATTCTATGCACCATCAGAGAACATAGAAAACGGAAACTAGGGCCTTTACTGCAGGTGCCTTCTCTCACCTTCGTGTGTTCCCCTCACATGGCCTTTAAAAAAAATTAACCAACGCCTGCTATGCAGCCTACTGTGCATCACACAGGTGCAAATTAAAAATTGCTAAAGGGTGGCACATTTATGGATTGTAAAAACACTAAAACTAACACTGGTCAACACTTCATCAATCTGATTTTAATTAGTGCCACGAACGGATCATGTATCATAAAAAATGCCTGACTATGTTACCGTTCTGATGAAATAAGTTAAGTTTGCATTGCACTATACACTAAAGTGCTGAAAAATTAGTAACTATCAAGTTTTAATATGGCAAAATTGAATATTTTGCAATCGACACCAATAACTGGAACCCTTGTTAACTCAAACTGTTTTCTTTTCCCTTTAGAGTTTGAGTTACTGGGGTTCTACTGTAGTTTACCTATGGTAATTGTTGATATTAACCCTTCATTTATATGTTGACCAAAACTTTTACTGTCTTCACTGTTACCTTTGTAAGCAAGCACCAAAAATATCAAGCCAAAGTCCTCTTTGTATAATCCCACTGTATCAAGTCTGTTAATAATAATTTATGAACTTATTGTGCGCAGCTTAACATGAGAATGATCAGTTGCACATTACAACTACATTACTTTAAAAGAAACGAATAATACATAATGCATGAAAAAATAAAAAACAAAAAGAATATATATGCATGCAAGTAAGAACTGAACATAAAATTGCTCACCAATATAAAGTCTTAAAAAGATAAGTGTTAATATGCACCTTAAAACTGTTCACATTAGTAATCGCACAAAGTTCTTTTGGAAAAGAGTTCCAGAGCCTTGGCGCTGCTACCATAACCAGGCCTCTTGAGAGATGGTAACACAAGCGCCTCTTTCTAGGCCTCAGCAAATCGACCGGTTTCAAAAGAGAGGTTGATCAGCTTAGTGATAACTGGCAATAGAACATCCAGCAACTTGAGAACAATCGGAGTGGGAATGGGGTCGAGTTGACAAGATTTACCCGCTGCTCTACTAATCAATATGCGCACTTGTTCTTGAGAGAGTCCTGAAACCGGTAAACTGTTCTTTCAGGCAAGTAATGATGGTTCATCATGGCATTTTCAGCTAAAGTTAGATGATGAGAACACCATGCTGCCTTCCTTCTGACAACAGAAGGAGTCATTGAATAAGCTTGCACTGTGTGTAATTTTTAATGACAGGGAATCAACAAATAGTCAGCAATTAGATAGAGCAGCAGCTGCATCACTTTATAAGTACAAAATACTTTAATCACGATTCATAAATGTATGCATATCAATTTCTACCCTGCGTATCTTAAGGACTTATTAACTTTGTGCTCATCAATAATAATAATAATAATAATAATAATAATAAAGATTTGGAGGTAGCACATCCACAAAGTGGTTCTTCGTCTACCTGATTCCTGGTCGAATTGGAGTTTGGAAATGCTGGTTTTTGAGGAGAGGGGAAAGCGGAGTTTCTGAAGAAAAACCTCTCGGAGCAAGGGAGAGAACCAACAACAAACTCAACCCACATATGGAGTCAAAGCCGGGATTTGAACCCAGGCCACATTGGTGGGAGGCTAGCACTCTCACCACTGCGCCGTCCCTTGCTCCCCCATCAACAGTCTGCTCTCTTAGAGGAACTGATATATTGTCGTTGTGGAGATCTGCTTCCACTTCTTATGATCTTCACTCTTTTAATTATTTTGCCTGTAAAACTTGGAACTCTTTACCTGAGAGAATTAGAATGGAGTCCACTCTGGCTGGTTTTAAATGTCTAATACGAACCATCTCCTTTCATGGCACTTAGCATTTATTTAATAGATATTTTTCTGTTTATAATGAAACATGACCCTCAACACTAGATAATAGGGAGCCTAAGCAACTACACTGACCACGACGATGACAACTTCAAAAAACAATGGATTTAATGATCAAAACAACAGCTCTGCATGTGCACCACGCTTTTTAGTACATTTCTTTGACAATCACTGCACGGCTATGACGTGAAAACTCCTAATTTGACGTTTTATGGAGGACATGGACATATGACGACAAATTTTCCTTCCTCTTTTTGAACGTGAATAAAATCCTTATGAATTAAACTCCAGGGAAAGCCACCTGCATTTGACACATTGAACGGGGCCAAATAGACGCGATTAAGTTTCAAAGAATGCAAATTCATTTTTTTAGCGACATTTTCTCTGCCACCGTCGTCATCGTTGCTTAAGGCCCTTAATGATAATTAGTACTTAGTAATGTTATTTTATTATTTAATTTTTTTTATTTTCTTGAAGATATTAGCTTTTGAGCTATTCTGTAATTTCGAGGTAAAATAAAGTCATGCACAGACAGTCATACAAGGTTGTACCCTGAGGTGTTCAACCAAGTAGTGATGACACTTTTGTAATGACATGACAACTGCATTATTAATACTCGACTATCATGACTCTTACTAACAGCAGACTGAATGGCCTGTTTTGTATCCCTAGGTCGTCTGATCTTTGATAACTTGAAGAAATCGATTGCATACACACTGACCAGTAATATTCCTGAGATCACACCATTCTTGATGTTTATCATTATTGGTATCCCTCAGCCACTTGGTATTATCACCATATTGTGCATTGATTTAGGAACTGATATGGTAGGTGTTACTTTTCAGCTACTTTAATATGGCAATGTTAAAGTAATGGAACTGTTTTTGAACCTGCATTTGGTAACAAATTACTACTGTTAAGGTGGATACTTACTCACACAGTCCCAAAGTGGAGGTTTGCATTTTCCATTCTGAGATCTCTCCTTTGTTAAATGTGTAATACTGTATCTCTTTCATGGAAACCCAGTTATTGCTAACTGCTTATTTTCTGCTCTTTAATGTTAGGTTCCGGCTATTTCATTGGCTTATGAGAAAGCAGAAAGTGATATCATGAAGAGGACACCTCGTGATCCCTTACATGACAAACTTGTGAATGAAAGGTGAGAACACAGACTGACTCTAGCACTTTTATTATTATTTGATTTGCCTTGCCTCTTTTGACCCTTCATTGTTGTTTCTTATCTTTTTCAGATTGATTGCTATGGCTTATGGACAGATCGGTTTTATCCAGGTATTATCACGTGCAGCACAGTCATTCACTTTGCTGCTGATATTATGCATTTCTTAAACTGAAAAGAAAATCAAACTATTCTTGCAAGAAAGTTGATGATTAAAAGTACAAGGAAAATAGCCTTGCAAGTTTTTGCTTCCTCTTTTTTTTGGGTTATCATTGCTATTTACATCTTGATAGTTAAGCTGTGTTTTTAAAATTTATTTCCTATTTTAAATTTTTGTTAGGCTCTGGGAGGCTTCTTCACTTACTTTGTTATTATGACGGAAAATGGATTCCGGCCAACTCGTTTGTTTGGCATCCGAGCAGAGTGGGAAGACAAGAATGATCATGGTGTTTTGGACAGTTATGGACAAGAATGGGTCAGTATGCTGGGCTTGATAATAAATTTACTAGTAACAAATTGAGAGATTTGACTTGGTTTTAAATATTGTTGATGTTTTTGTTTTACAGTCATACAGTCAGCGTAAAGAGTTGGAGTACACTTGCCACACTGCTTTCTTTGTTAGTATCGTCGTTGTTCAGTGGGCTGATTTAATCATCTGCAAGACTCGCAAAAATTCTATTATTCATCAGAAAATGACGTGAGTACTACTTCAGACATGAGTGAGTTCAGCTGTCTGTTAATTGGCCTGATTACACTTGTTCTCACCATGATGGAGGTTTTGCCTTTCTGAAAATTTTTTAAAAAGTGGGAGCATCAATCTTTGCCCAATCCTTGGTAGTTTGACTTTTCATTTCCTTGCAGAAATAAAGCACTGAACTTTGGCTTGGTGTTTGAGACTGCCTTGGCGGTATTATTGTGTTATACGCCCGGCCTCTCAACTGGTTTGCGGATGCAGCCATTAAGGTAAGTTTCTCTTTATTACCTCATCATAAATCAGACTCAAACCACTCCAGCCTGTGATCCCCTTCCCCACCCCAGCATGTGAGCACCTCCCCCACCCCAGCATGTGAACCCCTCCCACACCCCAGCATGTGAACCCCTCCCACACCCCAGCATGTGAACCCCTTCCGCATCCCAGCATGTGCGCTCCTCCCTCACCCCAGCATGTGAGCACCTCCCCCACCCCAGCATGTGAGCACCTCCCCACCCCAGCATGTGAACCCCTTCGGCACCCCAGCATGTTAGCTCCTCCCCCAACCCAGCCTGTGAGCCCCTCCCTCACCACAGCTTGTGAACACCTCCCCGCTCCCACCCATGAACTACCCCCCTTTTCCTCCCTTTCTGTGGCACTTTCTGGCAGTGAAAAACAACCCTTTCAACCTATTAAACATGTTCAATGTTGTTAGATGTACATAATTAACATTTTTCATCCATGTTTTTGATTGTTTTTAGGTTTGCGTGGTGGTTTCCTGCTATTCCTTTCAGCTTGCTCATCTTCGTGTATGATGAGTGCCGCAGATACATCATCCGTAGACATCCAGGCTGTAAGTTTTTGTTTGTTGTAGATGTTTGTTTATTTTGTTTTTATTGTGTTGATTGTTCCCATGTGGCACCCTTTAGGAAGTCATGTTTTCTTTGACACAGTGCCCCATTTGATTTGAAACTAAAATGTAGACTGCTCTCACACTTGAAAACCCACCCTTCGTCCATCACAGGGGATGTTTGAAACAAGTGCAAATGTGGTAAGGACTACTTCCAGACACCTATGGGTTAATTCTCATTTTTTTTTCTCTTTTTATCAGGTTGGCTGGAACAAGAAACTTATTATTAACCAAGGCTGGACCGTATTAAGAGATGTTTCCGTGAAAGAGATGGTGAATTGAAATTATTTGAGCGTTTGGATAAAGTTTTTTCATTTGACAATTTTTAACGATAAAATTTGCATTATTCGTCCCTTGTATGAAATATTGTGTAATTTTGCTTAAATTCAGGACTTGGCAATGGTATTTTAAGCAATATCCTGAGGTCTTTTTCATACTTTGCTTAATATAATATTCACGCATATTATTTGGAGTAAAATTATTCAACATTTTTATGACTTAAGTTTTATTTGTTGTTTTTTTAAAGCCGGCATCCAAGTTATCTTTGGAAATACTCACTCACCTTAATCTTTTAAGAAGTATCCTCCCACGCTCATGTCCTTAGGATTTCACGTGTTCTTGCCCCTTGAAAGTGTAAGGGCTTGGAATGCGTGTGTTTTTATGACTTCATCACGTGTAGGAACGCGTGTGACGAAGGCCTACGGACTCCAGCGTTGGAGGCTACTTAAGAGGAGCTGGGGATGGTTGTTTCTTTCTTTGTGTTTAGTTAAGATACTCTTTTAAGCATACAGGGAAAAGGTATCTGCTTGTTGAAGCTAAAGCGCCCCCCACATTCCCACTAACTTTGCAGACTGCTCCAAATCTGAGTAGTCATCGCCCACCAACACAACAACATTTCAGATTGACATTAAATAACAGGGACGGCACAAGACAAAGTTTGTGAATGTTTATTTAAGCAAAACAATATTTCTGGCAAATTTTTGACCATCCTATGACGTACTTATTGTAAATAGCACCCGTGTTATGAATTTATATTTTAGGGATTGGTTTTCCCCTGCAACCTTTTAATAAACTGGGCAGTGTAGGAATAAATATACTTGAAATTTAAAGCGTTTTGCTGCTCCGAATGGGGTCACCACCTTATCGTGGAAGGGGGCGGGGCTATGTCGCCTGCAGCCTTGTACTTCTTTTTGAGGTACTCGTAGAGACCAGACAAAGAGTGACCCGGCCCTAGTCCTCCCTGTTGGAGGTTTTGGCGTAGCCTGGCTAACGACCTTGCGCCATCAAAATACTAATTTTTACAGAAACCAGAAAAACTAACTTGGGACAGAAAGTGTTGGTCTGAAAGCGTGATTGCCTCATGCGCGTTAGACTTGATGACAATGTGCGCATCCGCAACTTTACTCCGCTTTCACGTGTTTTCTTGTTCCTTGAGACAACTTTGAGCAAGCTAGCAACGAAATAAGCAATTTTATGCTAGCCTGGGTCTGGCGTTTAGATAATGGAGAGGAGCGCGAAAAAGAGAGCGAAAGAAAAGAGTGTGAGGAGAGGTTCGCTTGCCCTCGCTCCCTACCGCCACCCTTCCGGTTTGTTTTCCTGCTCACTATTATTTGCACCGTCCCCACCATCAGAGCGCCTGGAACAGGTAAATTTGCAAGGTTCTCTCCTTTCAGTGTTCGATCCTTTTAAAAAGGCAATCCTATAGACACAATCTATGATCTGTTGGACCCATGTAAGGAAGGGGTGTTCGGATCCCCGGGACCCTTCCCCTGCCGGGATCCGTCGATGCTACAGTCGTAAAAAAGGAGAAGGAAAATTAAAAGAGAACCTATTTACACATGAGTGAAAGTACTTTTAATAACACAGTTGCCAAGTTACAAAATAATTTGAGTCAGCCCTACAAAAGTTGTGACACTTCATATTACTGATATGAAAGGCTATTACGTTGTGGGTCACCACGTTGGTGCTCTTCAACTAAACTAGTGCCTGTTGTGCAATAAAATAATAAACTGTTGATAAAAATACTGATAACATTGTTTAAGGCCTGCGTAGCACTTCTATCATGTTTAAATTCCTTAAGTAAACATCATCACATTTTCACCAATTATATTCTTGATTCACTGAACTACTCATTATTTTTGATTAACTATTCGAAAAGACGGGACAGCAAAATTTAAAATGTCTACTTTGAAATGGAAGAGACAATGGGCGCAGTTTATCTCAAGTACACCTGAATGCACCTCCAATTTATAATTCTTCCAAGTTTAAACTGGGCGAAACGGTAACAAAATAATCCTTTCATCCCCGATAAATACATTCGTTCCAATCAGGAAGCGAATACTGAGTTAAAAAGTCGTTAAGAGATAAAACCCTGTCATTTCAACGTTACAACAAGAGAAAGATTGGCCTTTCCCTCTTCAAAAATAGAAACCTACCAATACATCATGTTGTAAAAGTAGAAAGTTAAGCCAGTTCCTGGCCAACACTCAGTTGTAAGCCACCATGGTAATAGTTCTACAAGACAAAACTTCAAAAGTCTCTAGCAAGTGAAAAAAAGCACCGAGCTTTGGAGGCCACTGTTCAGAGAAATAATGAGGACTGCACATGTTCTGTTAAAAACATGTTAAAATTCTACAACTGTAACTTAATCCCTTTTTAAAACAAGTGGCAGAAAATTGACAGAGGAAAATTCACCAGTAGCAATTGGTGAACTGTGTACTTTGGTCGTGCTCTTTTGAAAGCATTCAAGCTGTAATGCTCACATTGCGATAACAAAGTCACTGCAGAAAAAATTGAAAACTCTTACTACCGAATCTCTCCTATGTATTTTAAATTTAACTTAAATTTCAAAAAGTATTCCTAGTGACACCACCGAGTTATTGGAGTTCCACACAAATCCTAACGAACCAAGAAACGTTTTTTTAAATAACTACAAACAAGCCTCAGATGATTACACCCTTGCCTAAAAGTATTTTAAATTGCAATCCAGAAAAGCAGACATGTAGTAACTAGCTTGAATGTTAATGGGGACGTTAAAGTAACCTTCCATGTAACTGTAAAGAAATAATTATTCATTACAATTAAAACGAAGCCTAAATAAATGTCATCAGTTAAACAAGTGGCAACTTGGACATTAATGTGCGCGCCTCCGTTTGCCACAGATATCGATTGTCATTTAGTAATATGTTTCTCGATCCAGCCAGGCTGAAAAAAGAAAAAAAAAACATTCAGTTAAGATTCATCTCTTCTAACCCGCTATTTACATCTTGCTGCGCTGCCTGACTATCTGATCGAATGCTTAGGATGAATAGGCTAACATGGCTTTTCCAAAGCAAATGCAGTGGAACCACTTTTCACAGACAGGATAGTTATGCTGATATAGACACTCTTATTAATGAAATTAAAAAAAGATAATCTAAGGGCCTGTTTACATGAAGGTGGGAGACCCCAGATAGGTGAGGTAACATGTGGCGGGTTACCCCACCTAACATGTAAACGTGATCACATTAAAATGAGGGATTATATAGACAGGTGGGTTACCCCACCTAAGCGGGTTACCTCACCTACCTGGGGTCCCCCACCTCCATATAAACACGCCCTTCATCCAGTGTATTTCTACTTATTTACATATTTATTCATTCATGTTATTATTCGTTTTAGCCTCTTTTTCCTTGATGTAGTTAATCTCTCTTATTTGCCTTGTAAAATGTCTTTAAAGTTTGTTTATAGAATACGCGCGCTCTGATTGGCCGAGAGGAGTGTTTGCATGAGAGTATGTAAACAGATGTAAACATGGCTGTGGCGTCAAGTTGTTTGGCTTTTCGCGCGCTAAACACGCAAGCACGAATTTGATGTTTCGAGTTAAAAACTCGACAAGTTTACTTTATTTACCCATTCCTTCGTCGGCTGAAACTTGGAAAATCGTTACAAAGAAGGTGTGTCAATTTTTTTCGCTTAAGCTGGCATTTTAAGCGAGAAAAGTCCGTATTTTGGAAAGCATCTTTTTGCAAAACAAGAACTGATTACGCGTGCAAGACATGGTGGACAAGACTTTGCGACTGGTAAGAATTTCTCTTTTAATCAGTGCCATACAAAGAGTTTTGCGGCTTTTCTCGGGAAATTTATGTTATAAAAGCTATAGAAAACTTTTTACCTTTGTTTGCATAGCCTGATATAAACACTCGAGACGTTGGGAGAATTCTCGACAGTTATGAAAACCCGAGACGAAGTCGAGGGTTTGCATAACTGTCTCAGAGTACCCACGTCTCAGTCTCAGAGTACCCACGCTGCTTGCCACGAATAGCTTTAGCTAAGTGCAGGCAGTGTGTATGTTTAATGTATTTCTTTGCTTTTTAATAAAGTTGTTGTTGTTGTTGTCGTTCGCAAACCAGACACCTAACAGTATTATGCATAAGCACTAAAGGACAAGGACAGTTCTCATGTTCCCAAAGACTTCATAGTTCAATCTGTATACAAACACTTTTACTTGGTTAACTATCCTAAAGTTAGAAACATTTAGCTTTAAAAGGGTAAATAGAAGACTTACATCCTGGATATCTACGCAGAATATAACGACGTATCTCATCATAGACCCAGATTGCCAAACTGAAAGGCACGGCTGGGAACCACCACGTCCAACTGAAAAAAAAAAAGAAAACCATCCCACACACTGTTAATAAACCTGACTCATATCACTAACGTAACGTTTTCCTTTTGCCACACATCAAAAAACAGTACTATCCTCTCCAAAGACGTTTCAGTTTTTTTCTTGCTTTTCCCAGCAATTAGGCGCCTACTCCCCGGAACATTGCAAGGTAAAGAAAAAAAATTGCTACAACTTTGTTTCATTTCTTTGTGATGACAGTACTTACTGTAGAGGATACATGCGAAGCCCATTTGACATGCCAGGGGTGTAACTCAGGAACGCTGCCAAGCAGGTTTCAAACACCAGGCCAAAATTTAAGAACCAGTTACTGTAACAAAAGGACAAGGAATTATCAATAAATCACACGCAGCTGGCCTGAAAAAAGCCTGTTCTTCACAACATGGAAAAAAATCTAGTTTTTTGAGCTGTTGCTTACATCCAATTCAGTGGCTCAGGTGTCGTACGCAAGTGTTTTCACAATTACCCAGAGTTTTTTGATAGTATATCAATTAACAGTTACTGTTTTCTTTGTATACCGCTATCGTTTATTAAGGCGTTCATGAGCGACAAATTGTTCTCGAAAAAAACTGTTAACGGGCCTGAGTTAATACGTACGTCATTCCCTGAGTGAAGAGGGAGTTGCGCCTAGTCTTACAGATGATTAAATCAGCCCACTGTACGACAACAATGCTCACAAAGAAGGCAGTATGACAAGTGAACTCCAATATTTTACGCTGATCATAAGTCTGCAAGAAAAAAATACAGTTGACTCCCAATAACTGAAACCCTCGCTAACTCGAACCAAAGACAATTGTCCCTGGATTTCCCTCATACATACGTAATTTTACCCTCAGTAACTACAGCCTTCGATAACTCGAACCTCCCGCTAACTCAAGGTAATTTTTGTTTCCCCTCAGATCATTTCTATGCAATTTTACCCTTGATAACTTCAACTCTGCTTTAAGCGCCTGACAAGTCGAGAAAAATAACAGTGTACTGAAGTCTGAAACATTGAATTTATTTCACAACAATAGAGTCAATTCGTTGTCTTTACTTTTTGGTCATCACTCCCGTTTAAATTCAGTGTCCATCCCTGTACATTAATCAGGCTTTGCTGCATAATTCCTTTTTCAAAAGATCAATCTATATCTCTTGCCGCCCTTCCCCATCCATTTGCTTACTTCCTTATTTCCAGTTATTTCAGCTTTGAACTCCCGATAACTCGAACTTTTTTGATTTCCCTGGAAGGTTCGAGTTATCAACTGTACACATCATTTTTAAAAGTATACAGCAAACCGAATTTATCCAGAAAAAAAAACATGATGGTGCTTGTGAAAACCCAAAAAGTTGGAAAATTAAGGTAGCTTCAAACACAGCTGGATAGGCTGGGGATCGTCACCATTCACTGGGGTGTTATTTAAGACTTGTTGCATGTATAAAGCTCAAGTTCGGTAAGAACAAAATATATTGTTCAATGTAGGTTAAATGTAAAATTTAGATCTTTGCCATGACAAAATGAATTGTTGACAAAGAAACAAGACAGCATATCAGTTCATTTGCGTCGGTACTTTACCCATTCCTGTCCATAGGAATCTGTTAAACTGTTCTGTGATCTGTCATCCCACGGTTTTCTCAGGCCAAAGAGTTTTTTAGGTAGGAAGCCATTTTCTGCCATGATAACAAAGTAAGTAAAGAAACCCGCCGTGGCCTGTAAGATAAAATAAATTTACACAATTTATACACTAATAAGATAGTGTTTCCCTAAACTTAGCCTGTTAAACAATGATAAGACAGCAGTTTTACCTGAATCATTCCGATCTGACCATAAGCCATTGCAATCAGCCTGGGAATTAATGAAACATTCATTATCAAATCATATTAATCTGTCTAAAAAGGAAGGCAGTATGGTAAGATAGGCCATAAAAGGAAGTTAGTACAAATGTACATGTAACAGGGTGAATAACAAGCTCATAGTAAAATTGATGTTTTGTAGATTGCATTGGAATTTACGAGGAGTCAAAATTACTACAAATGATTGGCTGATGTTCCTGAGCATCAACACAAAACATCTTATGACTGCTATGAGGCCAATGGCTGGTGTTTAACTGTGTGCTTGTCAGAGGCCTCAAAAGAGTTTGATGACTGGTGTCTTGTGCACTAACCAGCACAGGTGAGGAGCTGGTGGCTTAGTTTAGCAAGGTTCAATAATTGAAGTTTAATGGCAAATGTAAGAGGCCCTGCAGGGAAGTGTCGGTGTCGATGTCAGTGTTTATAAATGCTTGTCGCTTATTGTCGGCTTTGCCGTCACTGTCGCAGTTTGGCCGAGGGAGGTTGTCTCTTGTCCCGATTTCATTTTATGCGCTGTCACTGCTTTTGGGGCCATGTTGCTTGTCAGAATTTACCCTGGCAGGGCTTCATGTAAATATCAATAAAAAAAAACTTAACTTCAATCTGTGTCACAGCATATTACAGCTGTTTGTAACATACCAACCCATGCGTCTGTTTACAGTGATACAAGATTTGGTAACTGATTTAGAATTGGTAAATTTTGCATAAACATAATTATCAAGGAGCTCACCTTTCATTTACAAGTTTGTCATTGACAGGATCACGTGGCTGTCGCTTCATGATGTCAGATTCAGCTTTTTCATAGGCAAGTGAAATTGCAGGAACCTTGAAGGAAAAGAACAGTTGTAGTCAACTGGTTAAATGGCTCTCAACTGTCAACTTAAGCTGGTGCACCAAGACAGGCCAGCTGGTGTACTTTTTATAAATTAGCTAGAAGATGTGAGTGAATAATGATGGGTGAGGGGACATGATCTAAGGCTAGGCCCAGGTAAGGTGAATCTGGCTTAAACTGGCCATTTACTTCAAAAGCATAACTTTACTGTCCAACAATCAGCCCAATGTTTGAAAAAATGCTTGAAAAAAGAGTAGAACATGGCCAGGTTTTTGGTGGCTGTGGTGAGAATTTGTCCAAGGTTTATTGTCACGGCTGATCTCGCTAACTTTCCATCGCATGTACGTGCCCACAGGTCCGTCAATCCAAAGAAATAGTTTCTTGTCTAAGGACAAATAACACTGGGTCACCACAACAATATAAAAATGCAGGTTCTACATGTATATTAAAAAATAATGTAAGTCAATATTGTACATACCATGTCAGTACCCAAGTCAATACAGAGAATGGTGACAGTACCAAGAGGAAGAGGAATGGACAAGATGATAAACATGAGGAACGGGCTGATCTCTGGGATATTACTAGTCAGTGTGTATGCAATAGACTTTTTCAAGTTATCAAAGATCAGACGACCTGAAGAGAAAATATATAATCTTGTCAACTCAAACAGCATGTTCACTGAATTCTACTCAAATTTCTCCATTATTCATAACAACTTTACAACAGGATTATAAGGATACTTCTCATTATATAGTTTGTTTTACATCTAGTAGTAAGAGAACAAGTGAGAAGAATTTGACTTCAGTACTGCTTCTCTCGTTTTAGCTTGAAAGAGCAGGTGAAAAAAGCAATAATTCCTCAAACTGACAGTAGATGTCTGTCTTCAGAAGGAAGGCAGCATGGTTTTCTCATCACTTTACTTCAGCTGAGAAAATCCATGATAAATCATCATAAACAGACTAATAACCTAACACATTTGTAAGAGTGTGATGTACTGAACAAACTAGGATACTACAATCAGGGATTTAACTATCCTGATCACAAGAGAAACATCTTGGTGAGAACATACCATGTCTTACCAAAGTTATATAACCCAGTCTTGAAATAAAATTTGTACCTTCTTCAACTCCAGTAACAATAGAAGCAAAGTTATCATCCAGTAGAATCATGTCTGCAGCCTGTTTAGACACATCTGAACCAGCAATACCCATAGCAACACCTGTAATCAACCCACATAATTAAATAGCTGATAAATATAAATTCTTCTATCCCCTTAGATTGTTAAAATGTTCCACCCAATGTTTAGTCTGTGAATGATATACTGTGTAATAATCCACTACCGGCATTACATACTAAATACACTATTGTAATAATATTATTATACATTAAGTGGTACAATTATCTATCAGTATTAAGGCCAGTATTGATTTACACACCAATGTCTGCTCTTTTCAAAGCTGGTGAGTCATTAACTCCATCTCCTGTAACAGCAACAATTGAACCCTGCCGTTGACAGCCCTCTACGATGATCAGTTTTTGTTGTGGAGAGGTTCTGGCAAAAACAATCTCTGTATGATGCTGCAGAATATCATCAATGTCACTTTGATCCATTTCCTACAGACAAAGAAAAAAAAGTCTTCATTGTAGATCTAAGAGGGTTTGTACACTACTGTTCGATCAAAATTCCAGGACTTTCCAGGACCATATATAATCCAGGACCAGGAATAGCCAGGAAAACATAAACAATTGCAACAAACCAACAAACTATGTAGCCTTTCTGCAATGTTTCTGCAAGAGTTAAGTGTTTCCTCTTTGGCTATATAACATGTTACCAACGTTTCTTTACGAGAAGCACATGAGCTTGCTGTTTCAGCACTTGCATCATGTACTAAAGGGCTTGAAACTAAGCCACAAGACATCAAAGGATTTGGGTTGTCAGAGCTAGATAAAGATGCTGTGTTTGAAGACGACTGCTCAAGCTATTAATGCTGCTAATTATCTAAATCTAAATTGGTTACCACATCTTATTTCCTCTCATATGACTTTTGAGAGTGGATTCCCCCATGTTTGAGCATGCAGTCGAATGATTTTTGGCAAAGGCAACAACGTGCTTTGCACTGAGAGTATGAATCTCGTAATATCCAGTCTTTGCACCCCACATGCGTAAGAAGTACAGTTTTTCGCTGTCCACATAAAAGTCTGATTTCCCATGAATTTCAAGGACCAACACATATTTTCAAGGTTTTCCAGGCCTGGATTTTGACATTTAAATTTCGATGACTTTCCAGATTTTCCAGGACCCTGCACGAACCCGGAGCTAAAATGTAGTTGTTTAAAGTTAAAATGCAAAATATGGCTTCCAGCCTAGTCAAGTTACAATAGAATACTCATCACACTAAAAATAACCTTTAAAAGGCAAACAACAAAATAGCCTTTAGAAAACAACCATAAATATTTCCTTATTTGATTGGTAGATATTAGTAGTAGGGTTGTTACACAAATACAAGTCATCTAGAAACATACGTTTTCTAAATAAAAATTACATATATGCAGTCTGTTACTAAAAGTATAGCATTATACATATGTACAGGTATAATTTGAAACTTTGTTTCTCTGTATGGTAAGTAGAGTGTGTAGTTACAATGGGATGCTAAAACTAACCTTCAATTGTGAACCATGAACAACAATGGCTTTAGCTTGTCTTGGATCAACTTCATTTACTGGGATGTTAAGGCGGACAGCAATGTCCTCCACTGTCTCTGTTCCTAAAAGAGTTCCATAATGCATGTTAACCATGTACTTCACATTAGAAAACTGTTTAGTAAAAAGTACCATTTTCTTTATTCTATATAAAAAAAAAAACATTCAATAAATTAGCAGTGTTTGTCTGTTGTCAGAAGGAAGGCAGCATGGTGTTCTCATCACTTTACTTCAGCTGAGAAAATCCATGATAAATCATCACTAACAGACTTGAGAGGACAAGAGTGTACTCCTAGCACTAGCTGCCACCATCCCAAGAAATGCTAGCAGTAACACATAGAAAACTGTGGCAAGAATTTTCCATTAAATCAAAAATGAGTTTAAGTAGCAGTGTTCTGTTTGAATTGATCAAAATCTTTAAGTGACTGGATAATTGATTATGGGAAATGTTCATTCGATTATCCCCATATGCCTACAAATGCAGCAATAAAAATGTAAGGAAGAATCATATTTCCAAGAACATACATGTACGTATGTTGTTACTAGTTATCGATTAGGTATGCTGGCAGACTCTCAGTTTTAATTAAGATTCTCTAGTCCCCTGGATGGGTTGCAAAGTTCTAAGAGCAAACTGATCGCACAGCATTAAAATAGTATGTCTTGTTTTTTTTTAATTATACGAATCTAAATTTTTTTCTGTGATCTCCAGCTCTTTAATGAACATGTGAACACAATTACTCCTAGCATTTTACCCTCAGAAATGATTCCAACTCCTTTTGCAATGGCCTTAGCTGTGATTGGGTGATCACCAGTGACCATGATAACTTTGATTCCAGCACTGCGGCATTTGCTGACAGCATCAGGAACAGCGGCACGAGGAGGATCAATCATGGACATTAGACCAACAAAGCACAAGTTTTCGAGGGGGAAATTAGGAGGCTATGAAAAAAAATGTTTGAGTCGTGAAAACTGGACTGTATAACAGGATATATACATAATGTAAAAAAATCACTAAGGAGGACTTTGGTTAACCTGTACTTGAAAAATGTCACTTACAACATGACTATGTCTAAAAATGCATTGTCTTAAGTTTTCCTATCGTTCCATTCATGTATACTAGCTCTATAATTGATGTATATGTTGTAGGTAAAATCCATTCTCAAGTAAACCAAGGGAAATTTGTATCACAATAGTTTGAATGCTGGTTTAAGCTGACAAAATGCAGCATATCATACAACTACAAAATTTTGTATTTGCAAACAATATATGTACCTCATCAGTAACAAACTCAAAACCCTGTGGGAACTGATCCTCAGGCAGGAAAAAATGACAGAAACCAAGCACACGCTCTCCCATGCCTCCCAGTTCAAGGTAAGCAGTATTGAAAGCTTCCTTCATCTTTTCATCAAGTTCCTGTTCTTCACCATTCAGCAGGATTGTTGAGCATCGGTCCAATATTCTCTCTGGGGCGCCCTTCATCACAAGAATATAGCGATTATCATCAGGATCAGCATTTTCATGAACTGATACTTGGTACTTATTTGTGGAATTGAAAGGGATCTCTGCAATCTTTTTGTTTTTGTCCCTCATATCTTTCACACTTCCCTCTGACAGCTCCACATACTTCATTAAGGCTGACTCAGAAGCATCTCCAGAACAATCTCTGCAAAAAAACGAATTAAGTCAGCCTCAAAAAACTGTTTATCCTGTCCCTACCCCTATTAATCCAAACCTGTTTAACAGTCATAAGGTTTTATCTCACTAATATCACTTTAAACTCCTTATGAACATAATATATTCTTTTGAAAACAAACAGTTTTCAGTTAACAAGAGCCTATAAAGAAATACACATGTTTATGTGTAAATCAAATTTTCTACTTGCTAATTAATCATTTTTAAGTTCAGACCTTACCTTTTTAAAATAGGAATGTGATCTTGATCAGCCTTAAACACTGCTCTATTACACAGTCCTGCAATACGAGCCAGTGCTTTCCATGTAGTAGATGTCTACAAGAGAACAATAGAAACTTTATGACCCTTAGTTAGTCCTGATGGGCAACATTGTGGCCACCAGGTCCATTTTTATATTCCAGCTACCACCCCTAATCAAGGTGGTTCTTTTGGCTTTGTCAAGTGCATGTTTTGACAATAAGAGATGTATAAAGAGAGCAGAGCACAGTTATCCCTACCTTATTAAAGGAAACTCCTGACTGGTCCTCAGTGGTATCAGCTTCAATTGTTGTGTTGTCAAACCACATATGAGCTGCAAAATTTGTGTTCACTTTAGTAATGGTGCATGACCTTTTCACGTACTAGTAACAGCTCTGATCTAGTACATCTAGCTTTCCATTAAGGAACTTGTCAGAAATTAGCAGGGGGGAAGGGGGGGGGTGGAAACAGAGGGAGGGTCACAACTTTTTGCGACTGCAGAAAAGGGAGGGGGTCATGAAAAATGGGCTGTTAAAAGGGGGAGGGTCATGAAAATATTTGTCCGTGATCATGTAGAGGTTCACCCACAGAAGAAAAAAGAAGTTCTTTATTAAAAAAAAAAAAAAATTTTGCGATAAATATTAGCGATAAAAAATCACGACGTTTCGACCTCTCCGAGGTCATTTTCAAGTGTATAAAAGTTCTCTAAATTAGCATAGATAAGTTAAAAGCAAGTTATAATAGATAAAAATGTAGTGAACGCTAAAATGTGATAAAATATGTAAAAATGTAAAAAGTGCTAAAAAAATATTTATAAAGTCAAAAAACAATGGAAATAAAACAATGTTAACAAGAACTACTCTAAACAAATAATTTGGCGCGAATTGAATCGCACTGTTTGTTAAGTGTCGGTTTCAGTTCTTGGATAAAAAACATTTCAAAAATAAGGCAGTCAAATTTGTTCTGACACTTCCTTAAGATTCTAAAACTTTGTGCGATGTCTTCAGGCTCCATATCATGCTGCTCTCTGAGTAGGAAGATCAAAGATGAAATTAAGGTCAAGGAAGACAAGCCGCCTCTTGTGAGTCAACAATGCGTGGTGTATTCTTTCCAGTGTAGCCTGTGTGATGCAGGTTATGTCGGCTACACGTGCCGACACCTACACCAACGAATTGAAGAACACAAAGGATCGGCAATCGGAAACCACCTCAGAGAGCAGCATGATATGGAGCCTGAAGACATCGCACAAAGTTTTAGAATCTTAAGGAAGTGTCAGAACAAATTTGACTGCCTTATTTTTGAAATGTTTTTATCCAAGAACTGAAACCGACACTTAACAAACAGTGCGATTCAATTCGCCAAATTATTTGTTTAGAGTAGTTCTTGTTAACATTGTTTTATTTCCATTGTTTTTTGACTTTATAAATATTTTTTTAGCACTTTTTACATTTTTACATATTTTATCACATTTTAGCGTTCACTACATTTTTATCTATTATAACTTGCTTTTAACTTATCTATGCTAATTTAGAGAACTTTTATACACTTGAAAATGACCTCGGAGAGGTCGAAACGTCGTGATTTTTTATCGCTAATATTTATCGCAAAATCGATTTCCAAGAAACTACTTATTAAAAAAAAAAAACTGGGAGAAATAGGAGAGTCGCGTGATCAGCTGTCAGAATCAGAGTCTGACTCTTAATGCTGTCATCTAAAATGTATGTATTGGCATTACAAAAAACAGATTAGAAATATATTTTGAGCTTTTATAATACTGACTGACCCTAGTGTATTGCAAGAACTAGATTTTATCATTTATACATGAGAGGAAGGGTCAGGATATTTTAGGCCAGGGTCAAGGGAAGGGTTAGCAAATTTCACTCCCATTGCAGGGATGGGTCACCTCATTTCCGAACCCAAATTTAAAATTCCCACCCCACTCCCCCCGCTAATTTCTGACAAGTCCCTAACAACAAACTTGTCAACAGACCTTTTTACCAATACGGCGGCCATAGATAAAAATTTAAGGAGTATTATTGTATCCCCAAGGGGCACTCACTCAGTATTTATGCGCGGTTTTGGGCAAAAAGAGAACTTCACTGTATATTTCTCGGTAAAAAGGCGATCATAATTATTACATCCAAACACGACACAACGATCTTTTTTTCCCATCTTTCTCTAGGAAAACTTAAAAAGAAAAATTGGCCCAAAAAGCACACGTAAATACGGAGCGAATATGTCAGATATTTGTGCTCGTGCTCCCTGGGAATCCTATAATACTCCTTAAATCTAATTAATTCAATATGGCCACCATATTGGTAAAAAGGTCTATTTTAGGATGTGTGCAAAATGCCTGAACTTTACACAGTCATAAACTGACATAAATGTAGCCCTAGAGTATTTACAAACTAAGAAAACTCTACACTGCAATGTAGTTCAACAGAAACATCATGTCTGCAAGTCTATATTCTGATCAGAATCTATTTAAAATCACGTGAATAATAACTACAATCATAGCCTTAAGAATAAAAAAAATGCATTGCACCTTCACTAGTCACTCTCTCCAAATTGAGAACTTTACATACCGACTGTCATTCTGTTTTGTGTCAAAGTTCCAGTCTTATCTGAGCAGATTGTTGATGTACTTCCAAGTGTTTCAACAGCCTCAAGATTCTTCACCAAGCAATTTTTGGATGCCATCCTTTTTGCAGTGAGTGTCAAACATACCTTCATTTCACATGGAAAAAAAAGCAGCATTGATTACATGTACAGCCATTTAATCCCTTCATGCATAGTCAGTTCAAATACAGGCCACTGGTGGTTTAAACAATGGTCATTTTATAAAGTTCATATGACCTTAGTTACACTTCCAAAAAATAAGATCGTTTTTTTCTCTTTATATACAATAGCAATATCATTTTGTATAGAGGAAACTAATGTAAGGACAGTTCAGCAGTCTTTTTACCTGTAACTTGCATAAGAATATGTAACTTTAAAGAGTATGTAATGTTTCAACTTACCGTAACAGTTGCAAGAAGTCCCTCAGGTACATTAGCCACAATGATTCCAATTAAAAAGACAACAGACTCAATCAATTTGTATTTCTGAATCTGAGCAATAATGAAGAAGGAAACACCAAGGAACACTGCAACAGCAGTAATGATATGGATGAAATGCTCAACCTCAATAGCAATAGGAGTTTTGTCACTGCCTAGACCGCTTGCCAGGTTAGCTATACGACCCATCACAGTGTTGTCACCAGTTTGTACAGCAACACCCACACAGTTTCCTTCTAATCCATTTGTAGAGAAGAAAGCTAGATTTCTGGTTTCCAAAGGGTTTTCATGGGTGCAGTCTGGGCCTCTGCTCTGGGGTTCAGATTCACCAGTCAGTGAGGAATTGTCAACCTACACAGAGAAACAAACTCAAGACTAACTCTTATTGTCGTATTTGAAAATAAAATGATGATAAAGAATGTCTTTCCACTGCCAAAAATAATAAAGTGTGTGCATCCTGATAATAAATAGTTTGCATTTGAATTTTTATACAGTTCATGTGACCATTCCAAACACTCTGATTTGTCAAGTGGCTCTCCAACCCTTCTACAAAGACAATAAGCATGGTTTGCTGTTCAAATGCTCTAAAACTGCCAGAGGATAGAATTCTGTTGAAACATCTCAGCCTGCCCTAAAAATCAGTGACCTCACATCTTTGAAGTGATTTTTTGCCATTCTAAAATTAAAAGAGAGCCAAATGACAAAATGGGAAACTCAAAATGGTCATGTGGCGTATTCAAAATTTCAAAGAAGAACATGATTTTCCTGTAAGGGTAACAGTTTAGCAATTTTGGAAGTTATAATAAGAAGAAATGTTATTTAGCCAGGGTTACCTCTTCAGCATAAAATGCTGATATCAATGAGGGCCCTGGAAAAAAATTTATAACATAGCGCGCATGCTTGCCCTATATAAGTTCTATTGAGCCGCTATGAACAAAATCTTTATTTACGCACAGGCGTGCATCAATAAAAATTTTGTTCATGATGATGTGTTCAGCTGTATTTTTCGTCTCTTTTTCTAAGTACCCAAAAATTGACGGCCATGATAAAAAACTTTCTAAACTTTTTTTGGAATTTAGCTTTGTTCTAGCCACTCAAACCAACAGCAAAAGTGGTGAAGATGTTTCACAAAATAATAGAGTCTGATCTGAATGATTCGTTGAAAAGTCTGCCATAACGACTGACATTTAAGTGGAAAAAGACTACAAATTGGTCTGTGTCGGAAAATATCCAATTTGTCTAAAGTGTCCTCCATTTTTAACGTTTGTTTTATATCCTACAAAACAAGTTAATTATAAAGTAAGCTTAACAGCAAAAAATTATGCACTTTTGTTATCACCAGACAATCCTACTGAAGCAGGAAAATTTCTCCTGCAATAACAAGACAAATTACACAAGAAGACATAAATTTATTTCGCACAAAAACAACAAGCAATTCCAAACCATACTCCACGACTTCTTACGAACATGTGAGTATTTTAACTTTAGGTGGACTTTAAGACTCTTAGCTTTTACCTTTGTTTCTTTATAGTTTTCATTGATCGTTAATGAATAAATAAGCAAATTTTCTTTCTCAGTTTTACAGAAAGAATTTTCATTCAAACTAGACCATGGTGGCATGTTTGTAATCAGCCAATAGAAGTGTTTGTTATTGTGTCGTGCGTTGCAAGAATTTTGTAGTTAATCAAAAAGCAAGCATTTTTGTCAGCTACATTATAAAAGAATTTGCTCATGCTTTTAGCTGTGCATATATCAAGTTATGGATGCACTTGGGAAGTTTGGAGAGTACTCAAGAAGCTAGAGTTGCACTCAGCGAACTCTTACGAATCTTTCATGCTCTCCAAACTTCCCACAAGCATCCATAACTCAAAATACGAATTCTAAGGACGAACAAATTCTTAAATATATAAAAGTAGCCTAAATTGCAATAATTAAAAATACATTAAAGTTAAAAATACAACAATCTTTAAAAAAACATTTAAAAAAAGCTAAAATACAACAATAGTAGTGTTTTTCACTTATGGGTTAGGAAATAGTTATGTATAAATGACTATTTTTCCTTGACTTTTCATGACTGATTCTAAATTGATGATCTACTGCCAGATTTTACCTTGAAGCCTCTGGCCTCAATAACCCTGATATCAGCAGGAATGCGGTCTCCTCCTTTAACAAAGATGATGTCACCAACTACAACCTGTTCTGCATTGATTGTGTACCTTTCACCACCTCGCATCACATGTGCTTCTTGTGGAACCAAATTTTTAAAGCTTTCCATGATTCGAGAACTCTTAGCTTCCTAAGATGATTATCACGGCAGAAAGAATGAAGAAAGATGATTTTAAGTCAGTGACAAAGTACAGGCAGCTCAGAAGATAAATATTCAGAAGTGAATGCCTTTTTACTAACTTCATTAGCTTTTGACAAGAAAGACAATCAAATATTATTTTGTTATACTATAGGATCTGAGTAAAAAACAAAATACTGTTCAGAGGAAGGACTGTCTTAGCTGTTGAACTGGCATGGCCAATACAGCTAAGACAGTCCTTCACTTTAAAAAACATATCAGAAGTCTTTGTCTTGATTAATTTGCTACAGAGAAGGGAGGTGTCTTTTCCAATTTTGCATCAAATGGGGTAAATCACGATATTCAGTGATAAAGAAAAAATATAGACTATACCACGATGCACCAGCAGCAGGTTCAAATCAATCATGATAACTACAAACAATCAATGACTCTTCAGGAACATGTGGATACTGTGCCAATAAAATCTCTATACCTGATAATATGAGAAGATTCCAGTCACGATAACCACCAATGCAAGCACAACTCCAAGGTACAACTAAAACAACAACAGAAAAATTGTCAAATGAATCTGATAACAGGGTTACAAGAGGTGACTGCCACTATTATAATTAGTGATTATAATTCATGCATAACAACTTACATTATCTTTTGATGGTTCTTCCTCTGTAGCTACCAGGATGCCATATGCAATAAAGCAAAGAATAGATCCAAACCACAGAAGAAGGGCAAAACCACCAAACAACTGCTTAGCAAACTTCACCCATTCAGGAGTAGTAGGAGGGGGGGACAAGGCATTGGGGCCATCACGTTCTAAAATTTCAGCAGCTTTTTCCTTCGATAGACCCTGCAGGGAAAAAAAGACTCAGATTTATAACTTTCAAAATGATCCTCTAAATTTTTTTTCTTCTTTCCATGGTGACCAAAATGGTTTCAGCACATAGGACACTGTACAGTGATTTAATTAGGCTGGTGATCTGAGCAACAAAATTATCAGAAAAGTAATCTTGGTGTAGCCAAAATACAAACATCAATGCCATAAAACCAATATATTTTGATACTATTTTTATTTTACAGGTAATTATTGCTCCATTTCAAACTAGGAAAATGTAAGCAAAGAAAACTTAGCAGGAAAGTTGCATTACACAAAATGTGGCTGATCACATGACCATTGAACCACTCTAAAATTACAGTTCTACAATGTTTAACATACTTTTTCAAAGAGTTGAATACCGTAAAATTCCGAAAATAAGCCCCGGGGCTTATATTTTTCAAAGGCTGTTTCTGAGTTCTACAATGTTTTCAAAATCATACTTTTTCAATTGGAAGTAAATCTGTTTTTGCTTTGTTTCACTTTGTATTTGAGGGTAATTTTCCAAGTACAAGCCCCCGGGGGAGCTTATATTTGGAGGGGCTTATACATGGAGGGGCTTATTTTGGGAATTTTACGGTATATGATTGGGCTTGCCACAGGCAGCCCAAAAACTGAAAAAGAGAAGCAATACCTAGCTACATGTATATGTGCAGCACTTGACAATATGTCAGTGAAAAAGGGGCAAGTCTTAAAACTTTGATAACATCCAAATAAAGAATTATAGAAAAGTTTCTAAAGCAAAGATGGTAAATTTTGATTTCAGTTATGAAATGTTTTGGTTATGATTGAGTGACCATCCCATTATGTCTGTTGCAGCTGGTTTGTCATGATCACATTATAAAATCAATATTCATTTCTAAGATTTTTGCAAAAATGCCTCTTTATGCAACAAAAGCCTACACTGTAAAATAATACAACAGACAAAAACTGTAAGTTTAAACGATATAATTTGCATTTAGAACTGCCAAAAGAGAGTTTTAGTAATTCTAGCAATTTCATAGCAAATTATTAACTGGCCTTTAATATAAAAAGCATCAAGGCTTTTATGCCCGAAATCGACAGTAACTTGACTTCCAAGACCCCAGCTGGTTTGCATGGCATTATAAAATCAGATCATATGGCAGAAATAATGTATGGTTTTAATAACAAACACGTCGCCGTAAAACAAAGTTAACATATCTTTTGTCGAGCCAGCTCGTGCAAGTAGGAGGGAAGGTCCGAAATAAACATTGTTGTCGATTTCCGTCTGGGCCCATTTTAGGAAGGCCTGTGCAACGACATACGGTTTAACAACAATGGAATAAAGTCAAGTTGCCTTTACGAAAACTTATAGAAATATGCAAAAGAAATGTTTGATATTTGCATTTTGACAAAAGAGCTCGCCACTTTTAGAGCTGGACTTAAGCATAACATCACAAAATAATTATTAGAAACAGAGTCAGCAAAACGAGAGCTTCCTACAAAAATCGTCTGTGGTTAGTTATTGTACTACAGGGGCGTAGTATAAAATCCTTCTTCAACAAAATCATCAAGCGCGACAACTTATGAGGTAGGAAATATTAAAGGTGTTTGAGAGAAGCCAATATTCCGAGGCTATTAAGCATATGTACATTTTAATTAAGCTCACTCCGTAACCGGCAACTAGTAGTAGATTTGCTAGCTTTACAAACACTGTGTAATCAGATCGACTTGAACAAAGTAACGGCTTTTCCTTCCGCGTACTGTATAAAAGATTGAACCTAACTGAAATATATAAAGAGTATATACAAGATTTGAACTAACCGTTTGTGTGTTTGTTTCCAAGCGGCTACACAAATCTTCGAGAGTAATTGTGTGCCAATCCTACAAAATATAAGAACGATTTCAGCATGACAACTAAAGATAACCATATCGTTGCATTGAATATGTTTCCTTACAATTTCTAACTCCTTTTTGAGATCGTCCAAGTCTTCCTTCTTATCCTTCTTTTTGGCTTTCGACTTAGAAGGCTTCTTTGCCGGTTTTCCGCCATCTTTCTCTTTCGAACCATCTCCCATAAGAGGTGTTGTTGCGACGCGGTAGCTTTGACTTCTACCAAACTAGAAAAAGAAATAAATCTTTCCGTTAGTTTTGATAAACATACCGAAGAAGTAATCATACAAAAGCATCATACGTCTTCGTCCATTTCAAGCTCCGTGGTCGCCATATTGGAGTACAACTACACAACCCCTGTGGAAACCCACGTGTAGTGTTAATGACTGCCAATCGAATGCCACGTGATCAACTCATTCTTGTGGGTCCCACCGGGTTACGTAAGCGGGTCAGTGGAGTTTCTTAATTTGTTTTATATTTGGTCAATCGGAAACGGTTTAGAGATTTTTAGAGATAGTTACCGTAAAATTGCGAAAATAAGCCCCGGGGCTTATATTTTTCAAAGGCCCTTTTTGAGGGGCTTATTTTTGGAGGGGCTTATAATCGGAGAGGCTTATGTACGGAGGGAAATTTGCGTTTCAAAATCGATTGCCGGCTAGCTTATAGTGGGAGGGAAATTTACCATTTTTGCTTTGTTTTACTTTGTATTGGAGGGCAAATTCCAAGCACAAGCCCCCGGGGCGCTTATATTCTTATATTCCAAGGGGCGATTACAAGGAGGGGCTTTTTTTCGGAATTTTTACGGTATTTGTTTTGTAACGTTCTTCTGGCAAAATTAAAGCTGAGACCAGAAGCATGAAGCTGAGACACCAGAAGCACAAGTGTCAATGAAAAATGTCAATGAGTCCTTTCCCGCTTCCCAGGAAAACCTTACAATCATATATCCTTTTGTTCCCAAAGTGACTCGGAAGAAACAGTCACCAATTTTCTTTCTTTCTTTCTTTCTTTCTTTCTTTCTTGCCTTCGTTCTTTTTTGATACATTTTGTAACCTAAACTTTACTTTCATATCTGCTGATAAAGCAGTGAAAAATATAGCTTTTCTGGTATTTATGTTATTTTTAACTCTTTCAGTGATAGAGCACTTTGGCAGGTAGTTTGAGATGTGTGTAACTTAGGTTTCGACATACAGCCGTAAAACAAAGAAGCCAGGAATAAAATCTTGTTCACCAGCTAATTCCTTTTTTAAGATTGAACGGGCTCCATGATGTCTATGATAAAGTGCTTACAATGGTATATAATGCAATACATCAAACTGAATACATGTCAGTAGACTAAGCCAAGAACAACATTGGCCACATAACGTCTTCAAAATTCCAGTGGCAAGGTAGAACAAAGATGGTAAACGGTAATTGGACAGTATTCAAAAGGTCTCTGATCTTAACACGGACCCGACTGACTGGCTAGAACATCACTCTGACAAGATAAAGCCGCTGACATTAAATTTAATGTTTAAAAGATGAAACAACGATACTGGTGACTTAAGTAGATTCTTGGTCAGTAAAAAATACATCGCACTCATCCATTCACGTGTGATAGCCAATACGGCAAAATAGTGTATATAGTATACTGTTAAAAATTAGAGACTCCATGATCACGCTATATCTTCCTTTTTGCCGTTTCATACGGCATACTCATGTATTCGTTACAATCTTGAGTCTCTTAACAAACCCGTTCGCAGTATCAGAATTGTAGAATTTATTTAAGTGAAAACTGGAAAGTTTTCTGCTGTGAGGTCTGTTTTATCGCGAACTTGACCTGCGTAATAATGGCAATCAGCCACCAACGGCCGGTATATACGTCACAACCACGTGACCTAATATAGTTGCTCTTTCCGTATGCACACCATATTAAAATACTACCGTACCTAATTAGAGTATTACAAATTTTTGGTTTGCTCATTTCCTCAGCCGTATGTTAATACAAATATCAGTATAAAGGCTTTTTTCAAGCAAAAGCTTTACTTTAGATCGCGAAAAGGTTAAGAAATGTTTTAGAAGGAATATGCCTAAATACAATTTTAAAAAAATTAAAAGAATTTTGAAAAGTCTTATTAACTACCAGTGAGTCACTGTTGTTGAGGTTCCCAGTTCACTGTCACTCTCATACTTGATCTTAACTTCGCTCACAAGTTATGGGGAAACCAAACCATTTTACCGTTTTACTGGTTTTATGAGATACAGCAGGAAAGAAATAACTTGCAGAGGTCTTTCTATATTTAGAACATTGGTAAAGGCAAACGTTTACACGACGTTTGTCACATTATTAAAATCAGAAGTTAAAACTGCGTCTGATGCACGCTTTAGCGAAAATCTTTAGCTAATGGAAAATGCTTTAACTAATTACGTAACAAAAAGAGCTTATAATTTGCCAATCGTTCGTCATTGCTAGCGGCGACAAACTACAAGCTGAGAATACTTTACCAAATTCTCTTTTTCCTCTGCGCTTCCCGCTTTTGCTCGTTTTCCACCTGAAGCCTTACTCATGTTTGCACTGTGTAAAGTTAGTAGAACTAATCAGCCTTTAACTGAATAAATCAGTGTCTCAGTTTAGGAAACAGGCAGCAGAGTAATGGTCAGTCAAGTCAGTCACCGGCCGGCGGAGTAGTGACTCAGCTGGAGGCAGAGCTTTTACACGGACCTTGATCGGAAGACGCGAGTACGCCTCAAATGAGATTAAAGGACCTTTGAAATTTATTGCCGGGTGACTGAATACAGTATAAATAAATTAGCCGGGAGACCCAATGGTGAAGTAGTTATCTATGATATTGCCTGTTTGAATTGTTGAGTTAATGTTCAAACCCAATACAACAAACAATCAGTGGTCAATTGAATTTTATACTTGTGCGTAGTATAACACTGATAAAACATTGGAACTTTAGGTCCAACACAATAAGCTTATAGAAACCGGTATTGGCCCTCATTGTATCGTCGTCACACTTTAGATCTGAAAATCCCTTCATGTTTGTTGTCACTTTCAGTCTTTTTTTAAGTTGTTTTTTGCCCTTCAGTCTCTACATAGTCCGGCTATGTAAAGAAGTTTGGTTGGTTTGGGAAATGTAGATCTAGATAAACTGGGTAAAAACATTCTTTTAACTCGAAACTCTTGAGATCTTTATGCATCAGTGATGTTTTTTCAAGCGTGATGGCTTTTAATATTTGCATGAGTACGCTGTGGAGTTGAGCAGCTCATACAGTACTGGAGCCAGTTAAAGGAGATGGCAATAAACAGAGCCCTGAGTGAGTCTTGTTCGACTCACCGCCTCAGTTTCTCATGTTGAATACGAACATTGAAACGTCTGAAAAATTTCTCGGTTAAAGCAGGTCTCATTATGACAAGAACCATGCCGACTTTTTTGGAAAAGTAGCCATATTTTGGAGTCAAACTCATTCAGATTGTCAGTTAATGTGTTGCATTGCAACGTTGTTGGGAAATGTGGAGGAGGTGGACAGAAATAACTGCAAAGAATTGCAGTTACACAGTGCAAGTAATTCATCAAATTTAATTCATACACTGAAAAAATGTCTAAAGGAACTGAAGAAGTATTCACCGGGTGATCGGACCAAGAATGAAACCGTCGATCGACGAGTCTCGGCGGCGTCCTGGGTACGATCCCAATTAAGAGCACTTCGATTGATATATTTTCCGCTTCAATTCTTAACTTCGACTCTGGCGGGTTTAAAATAACGTCGATCTCGTGGTCCGTGTTCAATGATCCTTTTATAAAATTTATTTGCTCGAAACCTTTGTTCTCAGTATACTGCAGCCATGTATCAAACCGCAAAAAATGCGATTCTCGGGAAGCTGTTCTATTAGCGTATTTACATTTACATAAAAATCAAGCGCCCCCGAATCCCATCTAATAAATTAAAATCTCAACATTTTCAGAAACAACTTCATCACTTAACTTTTTTTTAATCTTGATAATGTTGTTGAATAATTCGAAACGTCGAACAACTTTACGTTAATTACTCTTGCAAGTTAAATCGTAAAACTGACCAGTTTAAACTGAAGTAAAACGAGTAATCATTGAAGGAGCAACTTCGAATAAGGATCAGTATTAACTGAACTATATTAGCTAGTCAGGGTTTAAGTGCCTACCGACTCCGGCTCGGCTCCATTGACTTCATACTGCTCTTGGACATACAAACTACCCAGCAACTCCTTGTTCAGTTCTGCCATTTATCCAGCTGCTCGTATCTAACAAACAACACACAATCAAACTATAACAGAGCGGCAGAAATCAGCATCAGAAATAAGTAATAGTTTTATGTCAATATTGTTTTAGTAAACTAACAAGAACGTCGCTTTAAAAACAGTTGTATAAACAATAATTTGTAAACCGTAAATTGGAGAACAATTTTTTCCCCTCATATTTCAGCCAAGAAGAACCATTTCAATAACGAGCTCTCTTGATTTGTCCTGGGAAGGAATGTTGAAAAAAAATTAAAAGAACGAAAATGGCCTGACAACTGCCACATGTATATGTATATCATATACTATACTGCTATTATTTATGTGTCTGCTATTAAAAACAGGAATTAGTCTATTTTCCGCCGATTAAAAAAGAAAGTTTGGTGAGCCAAGGGGACGCGAAACTGAGAAATAAGACAAATAAAGAAAGAGCGTCAGGAACTTCGCAAGTAATGCCGTGATGTAGTTTGTTGTATACTAGTACTTCTATCATATTTAATCAGTTGACCCTCTATCATTCATTTACAGTCTGTATAGCTTACTCTTAAGTTAAGTAACCTCCCAATATCCTAACCTGCTCATGGCTTGATTGAGTTGACTCTATAAACGAGGGTCATTGTAAAGACTACTCGACGTAGAATTTTTGGAACATTTACACGTCATAAGAAAATCAAAAATATAAAGAAATATCTGCGGAAAGGGTACTTGAATATTGACTCAGGATGAATGCTCTGATTATATTCAGAAAACTTTAAGAGTTTTAAAAGCCTGTTCAGACTTCAGCAAGCTATACCAACCAATAGCTGAGTCACGAAATTTAAAATCGAAATTAAAAGACTCCAAAAATGTTTTATTATGAAATGGATCGCCAAGAGCTTTTGTATTGTGGCAACAAAAACACGAATAGGCTGCGTCATTTCTTAAGGTTTCTGTAGTAAACAGGAGACTGTGAACGACAGGTTTTAATTAATCTTATTAAACAAAGTATAATTGCTTTTATCCCGTCATTTTAGATTTTAAATATTGACGACGACGTCACAATATCAGAATAACGAAGTATTTATAATTGTGCTCATAAGAGACTAAAACAAAATTTCACGTGATCCTTATACCTTTGTCCTTTGGAAGTAAATGTGCCCGACAGTTGGCAATCATGTATTGTACTTTTGATAAATCGTGAAGAGACTTTTCACGGTGTGTACAATCAGGAAAATAATTAGTACACGGGGATACACAAAAGAAGAAGAAGAGTCAAAGTTTTGTGGGATCAGTACAGTCTCGTGACACGATTCGACTAGAAATTACTCCAGCGCATGATAGGGCCAATTTATGTGGACAGTGGTCAAGAAAGTCATTGATTGATTAATTGTTCGAGTAGTTTAGAGTATTGATATTTGTGTTTCAGTAAATCGTTTTGATATTTTCTGTTGAACTTGGCCACAGTATTGGCGAGACGGAAGGCTTTCCAATAATGTCAGCGTCAAATGAGTTCACGAAAAATATCTAGCATTCATTGAAAATATTGCAAAAGTTGAACACAAACACTGCTTGTAAACATTTTCATAACACTGACTCAATTCCAAACGAGTTGATTAATTTAGCCATTTGTATATTACTGTATGTTACGCGTCACATCCCGACTTAGCCCTTGATCTTTCCCACAAAGTTGAGATCATGAAAGCGTCACAAAAAAATGAAAATTTAAATAATAGTGACCGACAATTTCGGACAGAATAAAATGGAGACTGAGCAAATCCCCTTTTTCCGCGAAATTAAGGATGAAAGTCGCGTGAAGGCCAAAACGCGTCATTTTCCCATCATTGATTTGGTGAAAGGGTGATCTTAACTATCCTTCTTTGTTGTTTAAGATTGAAGTGCTGGGACATTATGGCGCACACTGGAAGTTGTGATTAATTCACGTCTAGTCGGCGACGGTACCGTAATACCACGGGCTGTCGCATCAGTGGTATTTTACGTTGTGTGCGCTGTATCAACAGCCGTTTATTATTTTTTTTTTTTCAAAGTTCAATCTAAAGGCTCAGGGGAGCGCCTCCCATATAAGATAGACGAGTACGCTCGTCCGAAAATAAGAAAAACTGAAGTATTGGCTTTCCACCCTGAACAGCGTAAAGAAGACTTAGGCGAGACGAACATGAGCGTGCCCGTTCCTGTCAATTGGTAGCGTGTCCCCATGCTGGATCTGAAGGTCGCTTTTGTTGTTGCTGCGGAAACGAGCAGAAGCGTTTAAACCACTACAAGCGCATGCGCAACGCCAAGGCTATCGACATAGGACGAAACAGTTAACGCTGCAAATTGTTTGGCTTGAGTTTGATGTGAGCGGCAGCCACTCCTTTCAGGAGCCTAAGAAAGGCTCCCAGATCACTCGGAATTCGTTTAGAGTAATATTAGTTAGCTCCTATATTTATTATTTTTTGAAAATACTATTCATCTCATTTTCTATAAAATGAAAATCAATTTAGATTGATCCAGTCACGAGTCTGTTGGGCGTTTAATCGGTTTAATTGGTCTGTCTGCATCTCACTTTGGTCTGCCTGTGTCAGACAAGAAGCTAATTCGATCAAAAAATACGGAAAACTTGACCAACTTGAACTATCTCTATAAAAAGACGATAAAACATCAAGAGGAGAAAGTCAAAGTTTACTTTTCTGCCAGAAAAATATGAAAAAATAATGTGAAGACATTTATATATTCAATTTCGGCAAACTAAGCCGCAGATTGTTTTGTTTGGGTCTAACAGAGATTTTCAATATTTTGGAAGCGAATAATGTGTTCTCTGTACCGGTGATAATTCCGAAAATACTTTCCATCATTAAATTTAGTGCTCTTCTTGAAAGAAATGGTGTCATCTATTGGTCTTATAAATGGAAATACGAAGCTGAATATGACATCCTACGCCCTATCAGCATATTGATAAACTCAGTGATCAAGATTATTAATTGTAATTGCAGATATTACACATAGATTAGATTTTTCGTCAACAGAAAGAACCTTTCGATAAGAAATATGAGCCCGCGGCTTCAAGAAAAATCTAATCAGTTTTCGCTTTGTTGGTATCATCTGAACACTAACAATTTGATTTTTAGTTTTTTCCTCTCCCTTGAAAACGACGAAAACAAAGATAAGGCTTCGGACCCGTGCATCATGAACTGTCTGTTAACAATCACAGACATCCGCGCAAACCTTTCGAGTTTAAACAAGTCAAAATACGAAAAAGTCTGTTTTCCTTCTATGGCAAATTCTTATCAACTACGATAATGGAGACGAAATTAACCAGAAAGAAGTTGAAGCAATCCTAGTGAAAGCACGTTGTGATAAACTTGTGGCATAAAACTAATTCGCATTTTTGAGAAGAGTGAAAGGCAATTCAAAATCCTTTATATTTTTAAATCAACGTAACAAGTAAAACTTACCTATGTAAAATTCACGTCCTAAACTTGCCTATCAAATCATGAATTTGATAACCTCATTTCATGATGCATACCGAAAAACCAGATCGGTACCGGCGGCACTGGGATGGTCGGCTGCTGAAACACACATAGATTCCAGACCACAATCTAAGCAAAGGAGAATGCTTTTATTCATTTCAGCCAGTTACAATTTGCATTTCTGTTCTTACTTAAGCATATTTTACCACCTGGTGGTTTGAAAAGTGTCACGTGGTGTCATGCTTGGCAACACCTGCTCTGTTCGCCCCAGACCCAATCTGCTTATGCCGCGTGGAACCTGGGAGAGAGATATGACCTGTTGTCACCTTAGTTACTAGTCAAGTCGGAATCGAGCTAATACAAGAACTTACCCAAATATCAGAACTATCAAATAATCTAAATTAAAATGTGACTGGCGTAACGAATGTAACTTCCCCCTTCCACTTCTGTGTTGGATCATTTCAAGGACCTAGAATTTACAATTCGCGTGTCGTCTTATGTGATAGCAGACCAGGATAGAAGCCGCACAGGACTTTCCTCTCCATATTCCAGCTGGTGAGGGAGGGTGGGTAAGAGTCCTTATTTAGTATCGGCTTCTCTCAATAAACTTAGTTGCATACTGTTTCAGGACTCTACGCTAGTTTTGTGGCTACGTTCGACAGAAGAAGTAAGAATTGCTTCCAAGTAAGTTGTAAAAAAGTGATTTATTCACGATTTCATACAGAATATATTAACACCAGCATACTGAATAATTTCAATATACGATTTCCAGCAAGGCGCTTTGAAAAAGAAGTTAAAATATATTTTCTCAACTCGCTCGAGGTTACCCCTTCAGTTTGAAATCAAGCACCCAGTCCCATCTTCCCTTTCATTTTCAAAGCCCCAAGCTTTCACATTTTCAGGCTCCGACTTAGTGTTTTCTTAAATGTTATTTTACAAACTCATACAACTCATACAGCTTTTCACTTCACTTTCACGCCAGACATTCAATTCATACAACTTTGCAATTTTAAGTAGTGACGTGTTCTCATTTGTGCATGCTTAGTGCATTATCACACTGGTGGCCTGAAAAGTGAATTTCGCCAACGTATCTTTACTGCTGATGACCCTATTTGAACCTTATTCGTTTTAGTTTCTTTGATTCCTATAAAGCAATTATAAAAGGCTTGAAATAGACACTTTATACACTACTTTATTGTTGCCTTATGGAAATGAGTGTGCCAACCAGTGCTTCTATAGTAAAGTAACTCGATTTATCTATAATCCGGCAGATATTTCTCAGGCAAAGAAACTTGGCGAAAGATACATTGATTTTAGTAAAAAAAAATTGCCAGTGCGGATGGAAAATATATTTCGTTTTCAACATTGACACAACTTTATCTTTAAAACAGTGCCCTCTTATGTTCTCTTTCATCATTCACTTTTCCAAAGTCATTAGTGAGAAATATGACGGACTTGCTGGCGAATCACCATGCACTGATCGCGGTCGATAAACAGACTGTTGGTCTTAACCTCGATATCATCCTCCAAACGTTCCTTGTTCCTAAGTAACGCCATTAAAGAGGCCTCAGCTTCAGCCAAACGCATGCGCAAGCGATCAATAGAAACGGTGATCTCCCCGACTTCACCGACCAGGCGGTACTGGACAGGGTCTCTGCACAGCTCCACATTAGGTCTTAATGAACGCTTGTCCAATCTGGTGTGAGCTACTTTGAGGGGATTTTCTTTGTCCGCGATCGCTTGTTTAAGATCACGGATGTTGTTTTCCATGGACGCTATCTCATCCATAACCTTAATAAAGAAAGAAAGCTTGGGGTTAGGACCTAATAAAATACTTGTTCAATCGGAGTAATGTTGAACAGTAACGGAAAAAATCTCAACCAAAGAGGTGGGTTTATGCAGCAGCCCTTTAGAGTCTTTAGAGTGGGCGCTGTAGTTAGCGCAGTCAGGAGTTCCATTCCAGGGTTTTCAAGCGTGACAACTCAATTCCAGGACTTTGCTCCGCCACAAAAGGCGGTAACATAACGCTGGGGGAATCTTGCAACGATAGTCTAGCTTCGAAGCTTCCTATCAGCGAAGAATTACAACATTGTATTCTGGTTGACTGTCAGTCTTGCTCTTCGAAGGTATCTAGTGTTTCTTTCTTAGAATACGCTAAAATGCTTAAGGCAAAAAAATGACAAGACTCAGAGCAAGTACTTTACCTTTGCTAATTCCTTCTCAAGTGACTTTTTAGCAATAGTCGTCTCTTCAATGCGCTTGGTGAACTCATTGTTAACGGTCTCAAAGATGTTTCTCAGATCAACATAGGTCTGCATGAGGATTCCATTGATCTCTGATCGTAAAGCCACCGAGGCTTTACGCTCTCGCTCAGCTTTAGCAATGTTCTCTGAAGAGTACGCTTCCCATTCATCAGGAGTGAAGGAACTGAAATCACAAAGAAACGAAGGACAATTATACAGTTAGAAACAAGTCGATTTAAGAGGAAAAACGGCCTGTATCTCTGAAATGGATGTTTTAAAAATTTTAACTTTTGTTTTTTGGGGTAACGTTTAAAAATAACATTGTACAATAATTCGGCCCCCTTAAAAAAATGGGTTTTTTAGACATTGACAGTGGGTGTTTTTACGTTTGAAAATTGTTTGCACACAATCATAAATAAGGCACACTGAAGGAGATATGAGCACATGAAGCTTACTGTTGTTGAATAGTGACTGAATGAGGAGCAAAATGAATGTCCCTGGAGAAGTTGTTCAGCGTAGAGCATTTGCCATCTATCTGGAGTGACCCGTACTTGTCGCCAAGATCCTTTTCTAACAGAGTTTTAGCAGAGCGTAGCAACCTGAAATATTGTGGGAAAGCATAGAATAGTTAATCGCAGGTGTTTATAATTCAAGATTATTTAAAAATTCGCAAGGAAACCACCTCAGACTAGACACCCCAGAAAAGAACCTGTCGTGAGTTCGTAGCACATTCTCAATAGAATCAAGCAAGGGAGAGGGGTTCAGGTGTATTGTATTTTAACGAGAAAACGTTTAAAACTGCTAAGCAACACATTGTAAAAAGTTGAATTGCGGTTAAACAGCAAATTTTTAAAACAATTTTCTAAATTTCCGGCAGACGAAGATTACAATTTTAATGCTAGTCAGGTAGACTAGTGGACCAGTAAATAATAACGTAACAAATGTAAAAAGAAATCTGAAGCCTAATCAGAAATGTTTACTTTCACAGCGCGTGGTGTCAATGGCACCAAAGGAGAGGAAAAGAACTTACCACAATTGTTCATGGGCTTGGTCCATTGTTTTCTTCAATAAAGCGCGCACATTCTCAATCATTTCCACTTCCTAAAAAACAAAACAATGGTGAAGACTATTGCTGACTGAAAGTCGCTTGATATGTTTCCTTATTTTTACCCGAAACAAAGCGGTGTTTCTTCTTTCTGTATGAGAGTGAAACTGAAGGTTTTTTATAACTTGAATTTTTCTATACACTGCAAACGTTTCGGTATAGTTTGTATAAAGTATACATATAAACATTTCACGCACGAGTAGCTGGCTGTCATAACAACCACATTGTTTGGCAAATTTTAAACGGCATAAAAAAATTACCAGAATTAGGGGGAAAAAATAACAGAACTTTATAATGCAGGGTCCTTATAATGAATATATCTTTAGGAAATTATAACAAAGAAAAATAAGTTCAAGCTATCGCTTCGGTCGAAGAAGAAAATTTGTGTTCACATTTCGTTGTTGTACAAACAATGGTCAGCGTTAGTGACGCTTAATTACTAAATCAGAAATAAATGGATACAAGTATAAGTCTCCCCCTGTTTTGCGAGAATAACTATTTAGCGCCTTTAGCCGGATCCTTTCGTTATCACGGAAATGAAGGGAATTTTAAAATATCAATCCTGTGACACTTTAGTCATGATAACGCTCTTGTGAGGGCAAAGTGAATGGAAAACAAAATCATTCATGTGACTTAATACAAATCGGTTTCCAAGAGGATGTATATTAGCATAATAAACTATTGATCTCTGTTACCGAAGTCTCGCCAATATTTTTAACTGCTCCGGTGCTATACAATTAAACATTTTTGTCACCCAATAAACACGGGAACTTCGAACAAGATCGCCTGCAAAACTCAACACTTCTATTCAACTATTCTGAGCATTTATTAAATCTTTTACCACATTAAAACGCTAAACCAGACAAAAACTGCAACTTTCTCACTTGTGCTTAAATCATTCTTGAAATAAGGGAAAAGAAGTGTGGCTAAAGCATCAATTAAAAAAAAAAACAGCTGTTGATTAAACAAGGTTCTACGCGTTGCTGGCGCCAGCAGTAGACCTGACTAGAGATCATCTTACCTTGCTTATGTGTGTCTCCACATTATCATGCACAAGATCGACCTTGACTCTCCTTTCTCTGTATTCCAAGCATTGCTTAGATACGTTCAAAGGCCGTTCAGTAGCGGCTAAAGCCTTCTCCAAGCGGCCGATGAACGCTTGTAATGCCTTGATCTCAGCCACAGTTTCCGCATGCTGCTTCTCCAACTCGGTCTTCCAGTATGTAATGTCACTGATGCGATATTCCAGCTTCTTGTTCACGTCCGTCTGTGTTCTATGAGTTAAAAGAGCTGTTTCCGTTCGAAGACGCGAACATTCATCCCGAAGCCTCTCTGCAGTTGCTCGCTCCTTCTCACCAGATGAAACATTCAACACGTTAGAGGTTCTCCATTGTTGAGGTGTATACTTATGTATGGCTCTTTGTGTCACAGCAGTGTATGGCAAATGTTCCAATCCAGAAGATGAACCGTTTAAGATCTTAGATGGGAATTCAAAAGATCTTGAGAGTGGCCTGAACGCGTGAGGCGATGTGTACGGTCTGCCTGTTTGGAACGAAGCTGTGTATGTTGTTTCGTAAGGTCCACCGGAAGGCCGCAGATATGGCGGAGGATCGAAGGTCGAGGACGACAGATATTTAGCTGTTTCCACAAACGATTGCGTCATATCGAGCGTCTTAGACAGCGCCAACCTCTTCTCGAAAAATTACGCCAAGAAACTTGTAGATTTTCGAACAATTTCTACAAGAGTTGTTCTTCCTAAGGGTGAAAATATGTCTGTTTAGTGTAACCAGAATCGCTTTATATCCGGCGTCGTCGCCCGTTGCTTAGTGACGAACCAGCCACACCACCCCTCGACTGTCTATTGGTGTAGAAGGCAATCAGCTATCTTCTGATTGGCTCAAAGGAAGACCTCTGTCTTGATACTTTCACTTCCGGTCGTCTGAAAAGACACGTGCTCGTCTGTTTGATTGAGACGAGAACGATTTGAGAGAAATTTACATCTTGTGAGAACCAAAAGAATAAACACGAAAGAAAGAAAAAGAAGGGTGCAGAACGTTTACGTATTTTGTTGGTATTTTGGTCATGGAAATATAATACAATCATGAATTCTTAATAGCCTTGCTTTTCAATTACAGTTTTTTATTAACAGTGAAAAGATGAATTATTCCCGGGAAATTATTTGCAAAAGCAGGCATACTATGAATGTGTAAATTACTCACTGTTTTATTCTGAAGCTCTCAATTCAAAATAAAGTGTCAGGCTTATGTGTGAAATGCGATAGAAAACGGTATTATTAAATGCTTTGCGAAATTACCAGACTTTTTTCTTAACAGTATTTTTAGTTTCGAGCAAATTTAAGTTAGTTACTGGCCTCTCACTTAGACAGGTGACATGGAAATAAATGGGAAGTTGTTAAATTTTAAACATTCCATTAACTGTGGGGTCTTCAGTCTCACATGCAAAGCTATATCACAGTTTGTGGTTAACATTTATTATGATAGGCTAAAAATATCTCTTTTACAATTGCAGCTGCTGCTGAGTTATTGAACGGTCCACAAAAAAAAAAGAAAACTGAAAAAAAAAGAAACCTGCTTTCCTGAAACAAGTGCCAAATGTAAACTGGGTCAAAGAGAAAACTGCATCCACAGATTTTCTTTTTTGCCGTACTACTTGGTCGAGCAGAAAATAAGTTCCAGTTTTTTTAGCCCCTTATATGACTGCGAGAAAACCTAGAAAGCACTGAAAAGGGTTTTCACATATCATCTGTAGTACAGCAGACTGTTACTAAGTGTGACTTGGTGTAAACAAACTTCTCTTAGCAGCCAATACAAAGAAAGAGATCTATTTAATTTCCATGGCTATGTTAATGATGATTTGAGTGAACTTTCTTGGACTTAATTATACAGTACACTCTCTGTTGTTTCCGAATATACATCAAAGGCTCTATGCTCTGTTGGTTATTGGAGTATTCTCTTTCAGTAATCCGCCTAATTCCCTGCTTTGTTCAATCGTGAATTATACTTTATTGACTTCCTAGGCTGCTGTACTTAAGTGTTAACCCAAATTAGATGAATTTCAAAGTTTTTGCGCGCACTGAAGCTATAAATCCTGAATACCAAATAAAAACACAAAATCGCATTTATTTTACGAGAATATAGATCTTTTTCACTGTCATTCCAGCGATGCAAGTTTTTTCTGGGTCATAATGGCTTTCGTTTTTTTCTCTTTGCCACGATCAAAGCTATGTATCAAAAAAAGTTAAACTAGACTTACTTGACTTTTGTGATCTGAACAGTCTTATGGGAGAAATTCAGAGGTTACTCCCGGTTTACAATAAGATTTTATTCAAAATTGTCTGTTAACAGTGGTAGCACTGAGAACTTCGGTTTCCTTGGTTACTGAGATTATCGTAAAGTTCCGAAAGTAACAACCCTTGTTACCTTCGGATTTAGCAGCCTTTTCGTATCGCTACGTTCGGAGGGTCGCTATTTTCAGGAGGTCGCTACTTTTTCGGGCAGCTAAAACGTGTATCATACAAGGCCCGTACGAACTGAGTTACGATAACAATATCGCGACAATTGTAAAAACAAAATCACTTATTATAACCGTTTAAAAATAGATCTCGAATCAGTTTGGTAAAGCTTGTAACTATAATTTCCGTTATTTCTACGCAAGAAGGGAAAACACTTTTGAAGTCGCTTCTTTCGGAGGAAAGAAGCGAAAATATTGAAATATTTGAAATATTATCTCTACTTTCGAAGGGTCGCTACTTTCGGGGCGGTCGTTGCTTTGGAAACTTTACGGTATTAAACTTAGCGACGATCGCGTCAACTCATGAAGATTCAGCCGAGTTAAGTTTTGTCTTTTTTGTACGTAAGTGTTTGACTTCTTGTTGCCTAATCACAATTCGTGTGAAAAAAGTCAAAGCTAGAGTAAGAGTTAAAAGATTTTTAAAACCGTGGTTCAGTGATTTGCAAAGAGAGCGAGAGACCGGCAGTTGACTCGTCCGAAAATATCGTAATCTAGGTGTCAAGCCTTTTATCTGTACCGACTTTATAAATATTTGATCAGTCAGATAGTGAAGACAACCACAAAAAAGCAAGGTTTCACTTCTCATTGACTTATTCGGTTTACTTTGTTTCGTCTAACTAAGAGTAGGCTATTTTAAAAGTACCTTCTAACAAAGTTGAATTAGACTGACTAGACTGATATATCAGCTCACCGCGATCTGAATAACATAGTACTGCGGACCCTACTGACCTTGAGCATCAGATATAGCGCGGGAGATGCATGCCACGGTTGCTTGGCAACAAATCTAGGGTGAGATTACTTATTGCGGTTCCAAACTATAAATAATAGTAATAAGTCCAGCATTTAAATGTTTTAAGCCTAGCATATACCGGTAACAGTCGCATTAACTTTCATTCCAATTACCAATCAACGTAGTTAAACAAAACTGTGTCAGGCTTATGTGTGAAATGCGATAGAAAACTGTATTATTAAATGCTTTGCGAAATTACCAGACTTTTTTCTTAACAGTATTTTTAGTTTCGAGCAAATTTAGGTCAGTTACTTGCCTCTCGGCACTTGGACAGGTGACATGGAAATAAATGGGAGGTTGTTAAATTTTAAACATTCCATTAACTGTGGGGTCTTCAGTCTCACATGCAAAGCTATATCACAGTTTGTGGTTAACATTTATTATGATAGGCTAAAAATATCTCTTTACAATTGCAGCTGCTGCTGAGTTATTGAACGGTCCACAAAAAAAAAAAAAAAAAACTGAAAAAAAAAAAAAACCTGCTTTCCTGAAACAAGTGCCAAATGTAAACTGGGTCAAAGAGAAAACTGCATCCACAGATTTTCTTTTTTGCCGTACTACTTGGTCGAGCAGAAAATAAGTTCCAGTTTTTTTAGCCCCTTATATGACTGCGAGAAAACCTAGAAAGCACTGAAAAGGGTTTTCACATATCATCTGTAGTACAGCAGACTGTTACTAAGTGTGACTTGGTGTAAACAAACTTCTCTTAGCAGCCAATACAAAGAAAGAGATCTATTTAATTTCCATGGCTATGTTAATGATGATTTGAGTGAACTTTCTTGGACTTAATTATACAGTACACTCTCTGTCAGTTTCCGAATATACATCAAAGGCTCTATGCTCTGTTGGTTATTGGAGTATTCTCTTTCAGTAATCCGCCTAATCCCTTGCTTTGTTCAATCGTGAATTATACTTTATTGACTTCCTAGGCTGCTGTACTTAAGTGTTAACCCAAATTAGATGAATTTCAAAGTTTTTGCGCGCACTGAAGCTATAAATCCTGAATACCAAATAAAAACACAAAATCGCATTTATTTTACGAGAATATAGATCTTTTTCACTGTCATTCCAGCGATGCAAGTTTTTTCTGGGTCATAATGGCTTTCGTTTTTTTCTCTTTGCCACGATCAAAGCTATGTATAAAAAAAAGTTAAACTAGACTTACTTGACTTTTGTGATCTGAACAGTCTTATGGGAGAAATTCAGAGGTTACTCCCGGTTTACAATAAGATTTTATTCAAAATTGTCTGTTAACAGTGGTAGCACTGAGAACTTCGGTTTCCTTGGTTACTGAGATTATCGTAAAGTTCCGAAAGTAACAACCCTTGTTACCTTCGGATTTAGCAGCCTTTTCGTATCGCTACGTTCGGAGGGTCGCTATTTTCAGGAGGTCGCTACTTTTTCGGGCAGCTAAAACGTGTATCATACAAGGCCCGTACGAACTGAGTTACGATAACAATATCGCGACAATTGTAAAAACAAAATCACTTATTATAACCGTTTAAAAATAGATCTCGAATCAGTTTGGTAAAGCTTGTAACTATAATTTCCGTTATTTCTACGCAAGAAGGAAAACACTTTTTGAAGTCGCTTCTTTCGGAGGAAAGAAGCGAAAATATTGAAATATTTGAAATATTATCTCTACTTTCGAAGGGTCGCTACTTTCGGGGCGGTCGTTGCTTTGGAAACTTTACGGTATTAAACTTAGCGACGATCGCGTCAACTCATGAAGATTCAGCCGAGTTAAGTTTTGTCTTTTTTGTACGTAAGTGTTTGACTTCTTGTTGCCTAATCACAATTCGTGTGAAAAAAGTCAAAGCTAGAGTAAGAGTTAAAAGATTTTTAAAACCGTGGTTCAGTGATTTGAAAAGAGAGCGAGAGACCGGCAGTTGACTCGTCCGAAAATATCGTAATCTAGGTGTCAAGCCTTTTATCTGTACCGACTTTATAAATATTTGATCAGTCAGATAGTGAAGACAACCACAAAAAAGCAAGGTTTCACTTCTCATTGACTTATTCGGTTTACTTTGTTTCGTCTAACTAAGAGTAGGCTATTTTAAAAGTACCTTCTAACAAAGTTGAATTAGACTGACTAGACTGATATATCAGCTCACCGCGATCTGAATAACATAGTACTGCGGACCCTACTGACCTTGAGCATCAGATATAGCGCGGGAGATGCATGCCACGGTTGCTTGGCAACAAATCTAGGGTGAGATTACTTATTGCGGTTCCAAACTATAAATAATAGTAATAAGTCCAGCATTTAAATGTTTTAAGCCTAGCATATACCGGTAACAGTCGCATTAACTTTCATTTCAATTACCAATCAACGTAGTTAAACAAAACTGTGGTGGGGCCCCGTAATAAACCACATACATTTCATCCAACTGAGGAGGTGAAACTTTCTGTGCTGTTACTATTCATCAGTTAAATTTCAGAAAAGAAAGTGTGGTCGGCGCTTTTCAGCTTTAGTTGTGTTAAAAACTTTGTTGTTTTAATGGTTTGGGACCTTAGTCGCAAAAATTAACTTTGTACAATGCTCAGCCGTGTGTACGAATGTTTCACTGATATTCAAACGTAACTTTTTACACGTCATTCTTTTTCCCCCAAATCTAGGACTGACTTTGTCAACTGGCGGCACCAACTGCGCGCGCACATGGTTTACATTGTTCGTATAAAAAGAATACGGAAATAATATGACAGGCCACAGTCCAGCACAGTCCAGCACAGTCCAGCTATACCCTCAAGAGTAAGCCGATAAAACATGTAATCATGCAGTCATACCTACAATTAGCACAGAGGTCCTTTTTCGTACGTGTATATCCTTTTTCAGCGTTAAAATGTGATTTTGTTCGTTCTCTGCTTTCTCCAATTCGCATTGTGACGTAATCTTCTCTATTCTAATTTCATTCTAATGAAATAATCAATCTACCATACAGAGCTCTTTGGCCAAACCAGGCAATGCTTATCACTTATTAATAATAAGTTAATTAGCTAATGAACTAGGCTATACACTAAAACACCAAAGTTTGTTTTATAGCTCAGGCCCGAGGGCAACTTCTTGACTCTGCAGAGAGAAGATTGAGATTCAAAGAGATTTAAAATAACGCATATGGCCCCAATATACCCTCCATTCGTCCATAGCCAACTTATTCGTCATCGGACTCGTAAGAAGTGGTAAGCTGAGTAGCAGTTTGAAACCGCTGGCTTTAGCTCTAGTTGCGTCTGTAATCAGGCTAGATAAACTGAATATCAATAGCAATCATAGTTTATTGCGATCTTTAAAGAAATTTATCTTCTTATTACAACTAAATTTTTTTTATAACAGCAATGCGTCCCAAAACCTGTGCCTGAATTACAAAAGAAAATGGAAAATATTAAATCACTGAATTATTCATTTGTATACGATATCAACATATATTAAAGACGGTGGCTGAAATCTATTTTGCAGTTTAAGGAAACAACAAAGGCTACATTTGCGAAGAAACAAGCTCGATCATTCTTCCGAAAGACAGGGCTCATGAAAAAATAAACCCGATGTTTAGAATCAGTTTTTAGCATCAAAACGCAAATTCCTTGATGTACTCCTTAAGATTTATTAACTCGATCAGCTCTGTTTCTAAGATGCCTGCTGCAGTTTTTAACTTTTTTTAGATCCTCTTTCTGTTCGTCTTTGAATCTCTCTAAGAAGTCATATTCTGTCTCAAGCTTTTGATAATTCCAACTCAAGTCTTCAATCCGTTGCAAAATATCAAAGTACAAGTCTTCCCGCGACTTGTAGCCAGTCTTGTGGCGATAGGAACCCAGCTCTGTTGTCTGAATCTGTAACATCGGACGGTGAAGATTTTCTTGGGTCAAAACAAGCTTTGATGATTTAGAGTTCTGAAATAGAAAGAAATGAGGCATTAGTAAACTGTTGTTTAGATTAAAGAGAAAGTTTTAGAGCGACCTCAGGGGACTTTGGCACTAGAGAAGGATAGGTTATCCACTGAATGTCCCTACAAAATGTCCAAATCATTGAAGAAATTAAAAGCGAACTTCTAGCTTTCAAATAGCTTGAATTGCCGAGTATGTTTGCCATAAAGCGACGTCCTCTATAAGAGCCAGGTATCGAATCCCATCTCGCACGTGCTCGCGAGCTTTGTTTGAACTCTCAGAACTCTATAAACTCAGTAATAAAGAGCTAACCGATCACATTACCATCTAGTTCCATCTAAACACAGCCGACGAAGACAGCAACTGTTGACAGCTCTGGTGAAGCTGGAGCGACAGAAATAATGCAAAGAATGTATTAAATTTTAGTGAAATAAATTTAAGGTCTAAGCAGGACGCGCAGCGAAATTCTTTGCATTGTAGTCCTTTGCCCCATGGTGGTCATTGATTTATAATGAAGTCTAAGCTTTGTTTCTTCAGCAGCTATTTTTAGCATGTTTTGGGTGTTTTTCTTTTTCTTTTCTTTTGTGTTTACATTCGTTTACAGACCCCTACAGCTCTCTTATTGGCCTCCCTGATGTCTTTGCCTTTACATTTAGTCTTAATGGATTCTTATCAAGGCATTCCTTCGGCTCCGTAGTTACCAACAGACTAGTAATAACAACGTTTTTTTAATCTTTTTCATGATTTTTCCTGTTATATTTCTTCGATAATAACAGCGTCAGGTGATTATTGGACCCGACTTACTACAGTTCAGTGTAACTTACATGGAGCTGCTTTCTTGGTGACTCTTCTGATTTGGTGTCTTTACGATAAACACCGCTGACATTTTGCTTTTCATGTCTTGGGCTCACAAATGTTCGTTGCTCTGGTGTTGAGGTCCTTGGTGTACCATTCAAAGGTTTTTTAGCCATCTGGCCGCTTAATACAGAGTAAGACAAGCTGCTATCTCTTGAAATGTTCGCCGTCTCATCATTTTCGATTGTTTGTCTTTGAGATGAGGCGCTTACATTGGGGCTGGACAACTGTTAAATTAAAATCAGTAAAAGAGGAGGAAAAAATTGTTTAGCAGTCTGTTTTGAAGTAGAGAAAAAAAGATGCTCTGTGATAAAGAAAAGAACGGAACATCTGAATTTATATGTAAATGTGGCTTGTAGACCGGGTGCTTGTTATGTAGCACGTAACACAAATAACATATTCCATATCATTATCTCCATCATTAAACGCCTAACATTAAAGTAGTCTATATACTTTTATTCTGATATGATGCTCTCATCAAAGCTTTTTTTCTTTGAAGTAAGTAGGAAAAGTAAAAGGAATAGTAGGTCTAAACTGAACTGAAGAATACAGCGGTCTTTTTTTGTTGTCAAGGTTTGCAGGTGCTAGCTTACCACGCTATTCTTTTCAACAGAGATGTTTCCCGCAGCGAACTTTTTCTAACAAGCTATAATATTCAGGTACCTCTTGAAAATGTGGCCTGTCTAAAAGGACTTTGGATTTACTAGTTTAACATGACTCAGTAAGATTCACCTGTTTGAAATCATATACTGACAACAATCATGAAGTCTTAGAATTACTATTTTTAAAGAGGCATAAATATTAACGAATAATAAACTGCGGTTTTCAACATTTTTTTTGCCTTCGGATTGTCAGTGCACAAATGAAAAATTCAGGCAAAAATTATTCACTGTATTTTATTTACCTGACTGGAAGACTCTTTTATACATCCATCAAGTTGTATCTGTTGAGAGAGAGATGGCAATGAGAAACGTTTTCAGAGGTTTCTGTAAATATAACTTACAAGCAAGTCTCTTATTCAACCATGGTTATAAACTCGAGGGTTGCTTGAATTAGAAGCTGATGACTTGTAGCGCATGATTTACCGTCACTTTGGAGATATATATTGCTGGATTGTTGGAAACATATTCCATCTCTTGAAATCGAGGGCTAAAAGGTTTTGATTTAGTAGAACCGCGAAAGCCATACATATTACTGAAGTGAGTGAGAACTGAATTCAGTCGAGGATTTTGTTTTCCGCGTACCGGCTCTCACTCCTTGGATTAGTTTGCACTATAAATTATTCATAAAAGGAAAAACCAACAACTTCAGCTCTCCCCAGTAAACCTGTATTATTGTTCTTTTGTAATCGGTCGGGTTCCTTTCATTATTTCCACGGCAGAATTTATTAACATACGGAAGACGTTCAGTTTGATTGTCGAAGTGAGAATCATCAACTGCATAGTGACGAAATCATAAATTCATATTCAGAATCTCTTTACTGCTGGTAATTTCTGAACTCCATGTTGTTAAACGAAACTCTTCATTGTTTTTTAGCATGTAAATTTTCCCTTATATTGTAGCAGGGTCATTTTCCGCAACAGGGTTTGAGCTAACGATTCCATCATTCAAGATTTGAAAATTCAGCTTGGTGATTGACAGCGTCTAATTATAAATTGTAAGATGGTCTTTTCCTCAAATAAGAAATATGATTACCTCTCAGTAAATTAAACACTGATCAAATAAAATACAAAGAAATTAGGGCACTAAACCGCATCAGCCCGGCGGCGGTTAAATTTGAGGACGCTAGATTGTTCGTACTCTCCTCAGTGCAACATGACGTCCAACAGTGACAAGCAAAAATTAAATAATCATGGTATTTGTATGAAAACAAAGATGTTACTACCAACCAATCCTTAGCTGGAAAAATATCGTGGCTAGGAACGAGAAACATTTTTACCCTTCGGTCCAATGAAAGGCTTACGCTGCAAAGAAAGTCGAAAGTAAATTTGCAATAGAAATTGCCGTGGAATATTTTGGAGAAAACTTCATTGAAGTATATTAACTGTCTGACTAGTACCGCGCGGAGCTTACGCGGGGCATTACAGGGGCAATGCTCTCGCCAATTTTAAAGTACGGTACTGCCAGTAAAGTTTCAGTTGTTGTCAATTTACCTTGTTTTCAAATTGTTCATCACTTGTGTTCGTAATTTCCAGATCCGTTGATACTTCTGTTGGGTTGTTCAAGTTACTATGACTCAAGGAGTATGACTTTAAAATTGAGGTACAAAAAGCCTGGGTGTTAAATTACTTGACGAACAGAAGGGAACATAAACTAAACGGGTTGAGAAGCCACTTTAAAATGTTCGATCTTCGTGTTTTTTGCAAGAGGAGATTATATTTTTGACTTACAGACAACCATTGACAGATAACCAATTGAAGGTTTCTTAAGCAACAAAAGATGCCTATTGATACGCGCAATTGAATGTCTCTTAACAACACAATTGTATTGTTATAATGCTCAAAACCAAAGCCTCTTTGGTTAAAGCTAAGATATCCATTAACACAAAAGAACGAAGGGAAATGAGATTGATCATGCATGCCAAGAGTTCAGAATTTCCACCGGATCTGTTCTTTCTCTCTTCTCGGTACCGTTTAGACTGAGTCTCTCTGAAGACAAACCCTGGAGAAGAGAATTTTATACTTGCAAATGTTTTGTTACTTTGTTTACTCAAACAGTTATAACTTGGTTATGATGATATTTTTATACTTCTAAAAGACTTTAAATCTTTAGAATCTCCATTTTAAATTTAGTAGAAGTAACAAGTAACCTGCAGCGGTGCAGCCGGCCCACGTACCGCGTATCAGGGTATTAGGGAGCTGTAGCATCGACGACGGCAACGGCAGCGAAAACGTCAGTTTTAAAATGAATTCCCGGTTTTTCAATCTTTGTCGCGTTTATTCCAACTTGCTAAAAATGGCAAGTGTAGGCGAATTTCCCTGGAGTTGATTTCTTGAGGACCGCACCAAAGTTTAGAGAGAGAAAAAGAGACTCTTCGTCACTTGTTTACGTCCTCCATAAAACTTGCAATTAGGCATTTTCACGTCGTAGTCGTGCAAGGAGGGTGAAGAAATGTACAAAAAAGCGTGATGCACGAGCAAAGTTGGTGTTTTGCGTAATAAACCTATTGCTTTTTGACGTCCTGGTTGCCGTCGCCGCCGTCGTTGCTAAAGCTCCCTATTGATATAGTGTCTGCGGCGACATAGTCTATATGAACCAATTCACTCCTTTAGGCCTCATATCTTTTAACTGCAGACTAAAATGTTAGCATCCCTGTTGCTTGGGATTTACGGTATGACATGTAAAGAATGCTCAAGATACTCAATAAAAATCCTGAACTTTAGGTGAAACGCATCGCAATATCTTGTTGTGTCACAGTGACTAAAGAAAACCTTTCCCAAATCCTATCAGCTATAACCATCGTTAATTCAATTTACACCTGTCGACAAATTATTATTTAATTGATCCGTCCTGCCAAAATTAGCACTTAGTGCAGATAAAGTTCTATGTAACACACGAGACCTCCCAAGGTAATACTCTCCTGATCATGTTTTAAGAACAAATAGCAGGAGCTCCCCCTCAGCAGCAATTTTAAGGCAGTATTGTTAAGAGCAAGCAGAATTTCTTCTTCAAAATACCTGTCCTGATGTCAAAGGTTAATGTATGTCGATTATATTGTCAAAACTGGCACAGAGAATGACTTAGCCAAAGCTCTGAATTCCGACTGTAAAGATGAACTCTCTCTGGCTGGACGTGCTGTTACTAGGTTGTTTTACAGTAAGATCTGAAACTCTTCAAAAGCGCAGCAACTCTTCACATCCTGATACACAGGTAAGCGCTGCTTTGGAGAGGAGGTCGGGTACGTTGTTTAAGAAAGACAGTATCCCCTCAGAATGCGATACATGAACTGCGTACCGTGATTATTTTACTGACTGCATTTAACCACGAGAGTAACTTCAGAGAAACTTTTCAAATCGTTTCAACCTCCTTTCTTTATTTTAAAAACACATAAACACCGCAACATCCATGAAAATCCAGTTTTATTGACAAACAAAGTTCACTGGTCAATACATACTGAGTCCACCTGTTCATTTCACAGCAGGTGAGCGGACAAAAGCGAGCCGGCAATTTTGGAGTGGTCTCGGCTGCATTTACCTCTTTCAACAAAATAGCTGACTTTAAAGAGAGATGCAACACTGTTGAGCGTTGGTTTGGTAGCATTGACCGCTTTATGGGATCAGGAGGAGTACAGGGAGAAAGCGAAGTCACCTCACAACTTCTGGACAGTATTAAAACCGATATCGAGGACCTAGCCTCTAATGTTGAGGGTAAGCTCATAGCCCCTAGATACGCTCAGGTGTTCCATAGTTAAAATTCCTATCTCTGGTAGTGATAACAGAAGTAGGCTAAAGTGAGTGAAAAGAGCTGTAAACTCTGATGTTAAACCCGTACCTTCTCGAGCTTTTGTAAGTATGCTGTCGATTGGCATCTGATGTTTACGCTCCCCCGGACTACTTTAACAACTTCTGATACCCTGAAGGAAATGAATGAAAAAAGAACATTTCTTCTTTCCGGAGTTTGATTGTCCTTTCTTTCTAATTTACTTATTTGCAGCTGGGTTTAAAGAAATACTTGCCGGAAAGGAATACAGTGAAATTCTAGCCAGCGTCACGAGTCACATGGACACTTTTCGTAACCTTCACAACGTACAAAAGGAGTACTTAGAAGCAACCAAACGCTACAAAGAAACTGCCGCTGCAAGAAGAAGCAAGAAATCAATGCAGGAGACAAGACAAAAATGGTTTGACTTAGTAAGTATATATACAGAACATACTAGGATATCCCGCTCTGTTTAATACTAGTTGCTAGGGTATAAACAGACCAATTGTATTGTTTGCTACACTTCCTAGGATACACCATTTACACCTTGGGACACTTTCTACGACTATGTTTCCGTAGCTTTTTGTTCTCTATAGCGCATGTTAACTGTAACTAAAAATATTCTTGATGTGTCTTTTTTCCAAATTTTCAGGTTGGCAAGAAACTTGTTGCTTTGAAGAACGCGCTAATTATTCTTCATGAAAATATTTGTGACCCCATCTTGAACAGCTATGATTTGTTTGAAGGTTACGCGTGGAAGAAAGGTCAACAGCAGGGGACTGGTACACAAGTGGATCTTATGAACTTCATAACAAACATTCGAATGTTAGAAGCAAATGCTTATGGTGTATGGAAGAGTCACATCTTAAAGAAATATGAAAACGACGAGGAAAGGCAAAAAATGGAGATAAACAATATTCAAATGAAGATCGACAATGTGGCAAAACGAGAAAATGCAGCAATCGCTAGAGCATTTACAAGAATAACTGATTATCAAGGTTTGTTAATATAAACTATACTGAATAATGTTTTGGTCGTTTTTGACTTCGTGTGTGATTAGATTAGGCCGAGGTGGACATGAAAAGTCATGAAACCACTTAAGCCTTTTGGCTATTCCTTACGAACAACAAGCGGATTATTTTTTGGTCTCTTTGTATCAGTAATGTATCCTGCTGAAGGCAGTGAACTTTTGTAAGGTTTTTACTTGACTGTCTTCCTCCTACAACGAGGAGACTGATTGTCAACATTGTTTGCTGTGGCTATGAAAGCCAGAAGGTGGTTATTGATAAGTTCTTGCCGTGTGTCGAAGTGGATCTATTGCAAGTTCTCTTCAAATGCACCGATCACCTTAGGGACACTGTAGTGATACTGACTTACTGCTGCCCCCTTTGTTAGTTCCCTGTTTAACCAGCTGTGCCTATTTAACTCTTTCCCGGTTAGGGACTCCGGCCTTTGGAAGGATCCGTTGGACACATGCGTTTGAGAATACAATTGGTTATGATATCCTTGGAAATCCCATAAAAAAGAAATCTGACAGGTTTGAAAACGATTATTGATTGTTTTATGGCTGTCAAACAGATAACATTGCATTCAGCGAAGCCAACAATCAGAGAATGAATTTAAAATAAACCAGTGGAAAAGTTATACAAACTAGTAAATAATAACCTAAATTCTCAACTTAACTCCAATTTTAGTGACTGTTTAGCTTTTTATTCGCATCATTTATTTATTTATTCTTAATTAACTCCCTTCTCTATCTGTATAATGTCTTCTTTGTCTTCTTTGCGCAACACGTGAAATTGTTCCTTTTCCTGGTGATTGCCTATATTATTATTCACCAGATATTCGCAAACGTCTACTGAACTAAATTTGGCCATGCAACGCTAGCTGCTGGTAGTGGAGAATAAGCCGGGGGAGCTGAGCCAATCAGAAATGAAACGGAGAAATATACAAAAATAAAATAGGCGATATTACTGAAACTAAAAAATTTTGAAAAGAGTTAAACTAAAGATAGCCTTCAACTTCATTGTAAGTTTTCTTAGTTCAAAGTTGCATACAATTACGCTACATTATAAGGTTTCTTACGTTGATCCCTTTAAAATTTTGTTGAATATTTTCGTGGATAGACCTCAATTTTTGCCTCTTTCAAGATTCCTATAGTACCATACAGTGACAGGGGCTACAATCTTGAAAACAAGTACATTTTTAATTTCTTTAAACAGGTGTTTGACCAATATGGGTGGAATGGAAGCTGTCCCTTACGCCAGAGAATGCTCAGATGACTTAAACCAACAGTGGAAACTGTTCTCTGATAACACATTGCGGCCCAAAAATGATATTAACAAGTGCTTGTTTCTGATGGAGTCTGGAGAGGGCAATTTCAGTCCCTCTGATGACTTTAAATTACTTCCATGCAGCTCAAGAAACGGCAACAAACAATTTGTGTTTGAATACCTGACACAGCAGGAAGCAAGCGAACCAAAACTGTTTACTTACTTCAAGTTGAAAGCTAAAAATAACGGTGTTGGCAGGAACGGTTGTCGTGGCCGGAATGTTTATTTAGTGTACAGAGGGATTGAAGCCGGATGGGAAGGTGGGGGCCCTGAGTTTGAAGACTTGTCCCCCAGCTTACTTTCCTGTCCCTGCCCCGGTGGCAGCGCCGGTCAGGATGTTCATAATTGTCTCAGCAATGATTTCATTCCCGATACCAAGCCTGGTTGGTTTAAATTTGAACCAGTATCTGAATAAAAAAGAAACAACGGGAAATAACTCGGACAATAAAATTTACTACCGCATTGCTCTTTACTATTTATCAATATTTATTTATGAAATTGTTAAAGCAGGTCTAGTTTAGTGTAATTGGGAATATTGTTACAGCTGTATTTTCTTTTTACTTTAGAGACTTCATAGATACATATTAATTGCATGATAATAGAAATTATTTCTCAGTTATCTATGGTATTGAAAGGACCTGATGAATTTTTACCGTGTTTTTAAAGTAAAGAATTGACTGATTGATTGAACTCTTGTTCTTTTCGTCTTCTTCCTCTGATTTTTCTATTGTTTCCCTTACTATCTTTATAAACATAATATGATAATAATGATTAAATGATAATGACTACAGCTTGGTAACTGATTTACTTGTAAAAGGGAACTCTAAATTCTGAAAGTCATGAGTTAATTCGCCTTGTTTGGAGGGAAGTGCAACGGAGTACCTAAGAGAGGGCGGCTAGCCTGCGAGACCACAAACTTTTTTCGGCCTTTGTCTGTGAAAGAAAAGCCAAAGCTAGCGAGCAGCGGAACAGACGGAAAACTACGAACATAAAATAAAGAAGATGGATTTAGCTACCCATCAAATACGTCGTTTTTACAGCTAAAGCCAACGCCCTTGCCATCTCGCCTCATCCCCGCCCTTTTAATACTGCTCCCAGTCTCTCTCGGATATTCTGCAGGAGTCTGTCTGTAAACAGAACAGCCTCCGAAAGCCTCCGCGTGCTGTAGCTTGAATCAGGAGTGCAGGAGCTCTTAAAAAGCCAAAGGTTAAGAGGTTAGTCAAAAATATATGGCGCTTTACAGCACGTAGAGGTCTTAAACATGATTAAGAAGTGATTGCAGATTGCTTTGAGGCCTTACTTAACGCCTAACATGTTGCGTGGTTTCTTTGTCACACCAAGGTCACGGTGTTTTCATAGCTTAATAATTAAGCTTACATAACCTTCTTTGTATCAATGTTCTTTCTATCTGCCTAACTATCTATCTTTTTCTCAATGTTAAAGTGTATAGACTTGTCAACGGCAAGTGAGGGGCAACTTTCCTTCTGTAAATTAGTGGCGCTCAAACCCCACCTGGCTTTGGACGGATTTGCATACTTAATTTTGATCATAGGTCTTTTATCTTTAATATTTATTCTCATTACGTTTTGCGTAGATGTTGCAAAGGTTGATTTATTTTAGTTTTGCAAGAGAGTAATGCAGCATTAGCAGATTGCATGGGAAACTTGTTAAACTGAGCATACTGTTGTTCGTAAGCTAAGGTAGACGAGGTACATTGAAATATTGTTTGCGGCAGGCCGGCAGTGCGTGGGCGGGAACTCACGCGAAATTGTCATGGGAATACTTAATTCAATTTTCAACGGCTCTTAACATCATTCACAAAAATTTTGCTTACCCAGTCAGTAGCTGAAGTGCAAGGATTAAGTAAAGAATTATTAGATTTGAAGTGGAATCCAACATAATTATTGTTTAAAACCCTCTTTCAGGGCTCAAATAACTGAGCCACTCTATGGACAATTTAGTGAGCATACAGAACAAAAAGGCGGAATGAGGAGGACGTGAGAGGGCTATAACTTGCATGTTATTTGGTGATCTTCACTTCGAATTTCTTTGTTTTGGTCTTTTACAAAAAGAGGTTTGACGAAAATTTTTCAAACATAAATTTATTATTGTCATGCTTGTCACACAAGGTTTGCCATCGCTCTTCTTTCCTCTGCCATCGATCTGCATGATAATTGCTTAAGGTCACTATCAAATGTCAACCAGAATGGTAACTTGAGCAGTCAAACACTTCTGTTGTCAGTTTTATATGTTGACCAGTTACCCACACTCTCACCCTTGAAGAAAGTCAAATGATTCTCAGTTTTTGTCTCATTGTAAAAATACAATATTACATTCACAAGTACATTGTGCAAAGAAAATCGTTTTTACAGCTTGCCATTCGGGCAAACTGAAGCTAGCATTATTTTACTGACCCAGACGCCATTTCAACTAGCCTCTAAAGCTTTTTGACAAGCAGAATTGATTTCACAGTTCTTCTGTTATTCGAATTCCCCAAAAAACATCACTTGCCCGTTGGGCATGTTAAAAACAAAATTCACTAGCCCGATAGCAAAATCCACTAGCCATAGGCTATCGGACACTACTTTCTTTGCACTCTGCAAGTAGGAAATAGATAAGTGTTGCCATGATTTCTATATTGCCGGCCTATATTTGAGGAGGTGGGGGCAATAGTGCAAAATAGAGAGTCTCCAGATTTAGATCTCTGGAGGTTGGCATCTCTGCTTACTATCAAAACAGAGATCAGAGGCTGTCTTTGGTTAAGTTTTAAACCATTTTGTCCATTAAGCAACTTTTCAAACTTTAACATTCTAGGGACAACTAGACTTGATTCACAAAAATTTGTTTTGGCTTGTGAACAAGTCAGGCCACTGTCTGAAAATTATTTTGAGCCCTTCTCCAAACTAAAATCCAACATTTTGATTTGAGTCCTACTAGGAAGTAATGCCAAAGAGTTTTCATTTGAATAATCATATCACAGGATTTCATCCACAGACTTGAAAGTACTGCATTTCTGTTATTTTACTATTACCATTATTTTTATGGGGTGATATCATAATATCTGGATAGCTGTCAGTATTTAATTAGCTAGGAGATGGGCATCTCACAGTAATCTACCTTCTGCACTGTTTAATCATCCTTCTTTTATAGATCAAAGTATTGCAAAGTAATAATCCCTTGTTCTTACCTCTCTCGTGTATCATACTGAAATAATAAAAATGTTTTATTTGTTCTAAAATTATATTTCCACAACGAAAAAACTGTTAAAATTGCCTTATAGTTGAAAATCTATTGAAAAGAAATTATTGAATTTATTGAAGAATTTCCAGGAGCTTTTTACATCATTTGTATAAAATCTAATACCCAATCTTAAAAATGCTCTCCCTCACAAAACAACTGGCTGAAACAACATGGAAGTTATGGAACATTCTAGTTCATTATCGGTGTATTTTTTTGCCTAGGTAACAGATTATTATTTAACTGCCATCTGAAGGAAGAGCTTTATTGGTGATGTTATGTTGCAATGACAGAACAAGCCAAAAAAAATCTGCTGGTTGTTGCTGTGTCTGCACATGATCCTAATGTGGATGATGACCTTGAAGCAGCAGAAGCTGTATTTACAGCCCCTGATATATCCTCTCAGCTGCCTGTAAGACGAGGAGACAAGTTTGAGGTGTTAGGCAGAGATGTTGACTGGTGGCTTTATGTAAAGAATGTTGAAAATGAAGAGAAAGGTTACATCCCCAGCACATGTGTGGTGCCATTAAAGGATGATTTAACTATTGAAGAGTAGGTGACATTTGATACAAATATTTTATTGCAATAATTATTTTAAATTGATAAAATTACAATGTATCTTTAATGCTACTGTACTCAATAAAGCAGTCTAACAAGTATTTGTGGGTTCTAGGGATGAAGAGTTAGGACATAATGTTGAATTGACGGCTGACTTGGTCAACTCAAGTGTTGAACTGAAATTCTTTCCTGAGGCTCCCGCTGAAAAGGATGCAGTAAATAGGGTAAGTTGAAGTTTCCAGTCCTTAATTTGACATTATCTTTTGTGTGCGATTTGCATGAGCAATGCACCAGTTTATTGAACATTTGCATACTCAGTGTATTTGTTTGCTTTTAGTACCTTTCTTTTTGGTACTTTCAGAAATGTGGCTATGATAGAATTGAGTTGGAAGCTACAGTTTCTAGTGCAAACTTCCTATAACTCTGAATTCTATTGTGCCAAAGTAACAAAAGAGGCCAGAGTATATTATGCATTATAGATTGAATACTATAGTATTTTTGGAATTTGGACATTGCAAGAGCAGTTCTTGCCAAGAGCAAAAGATGGTGGGAATGTTAGGTTTACATGAAGCTCTACCCAAATGGCAATTTGAGAGTATCATTGTATTTTTCAAAGTGGCCTGCTGCAGTAAGGGTAATGTTATACAGCTATTTCGAGAAAGGTTGTCAGAAAAAGTGCACGCGACAATCCCGAAAGGTATTGTGCGTGGTTTTGAGTTCAGTGTTCTTCAAAGAAATTTGAAAGAATGATGCAAGAGGCCACAGTAGTATGTTTGTGAGTGCTAAAGGAAAGCAACAAAAGTAGGTTCGACAGCTACAGGGTCAGGAACAGTGTATTGATCATATTCCACATTACCGTTTGGGATTGTCCCAAGCACTTTTTTCCGACAACCTTTCTCGAAACTGCTGTATACTACACCTGTCAGACAACCCTCAAATTCACCTAATACTTTATGCTATCACTATATTGTACTCAATAGAGAGGTAGGACATGACCACACTCATAACCTTTAAACTTTTATTTGTTATTTTTGATAAGTAAACAAAAAATTGTGCAAATACTGTGTCTTATGTACTGTCTTCAAATAGTGAAAGTTATCTAAGTTCAATAGTAGTAGTATAAGATAGATCAGTATTTTGAAATCACACAACTTGTGTTATCTTAAAATAGAGTGACTCCCCTGAAGTAAAGGCCAACATCTTTTCAAAACTGACCTTTTGGTGGCTGACTGGGTGAGTTAAATTTATTTTGTTTGAAATTATCCCTAAACAGCTCTTAACCCTTACTTCTATTCCCACCAATTATTTCCTAAGTTATCTGACAGCTATTGAACAGTCACATGACTGTTAATTGTACAGTTGTACTTCATGTAAGCAACAAGCGAAAATATGAAGACAGTCATGGTTAGTTATGGCAGGTTGTTGCTTTAATACAATATTAAATCAAACTCTCTTTCAAGAAGAGATCCAGAGACATTTTTTTAAAATAATTTATGACATATAATTTCGAGGTTGCTAATTGTGTATTAAGTTCCATTTTGTTGCTAAGAGGTCTTTGCATACTCTGAATTGACCCCATATGAAACAGACGGGATGCTCGCTCAGTCGGTTAGGGGTGTGAATTTTGACTTTTGGTCTCGCTTTTTAGGGTGGTCGGCAAAGCGCCCGATATTTTAAGGCGCTAAGGTCTCGTTTAATACTTTACGAAAGAGAAACAGAAGTCAATTTTCTTTTTAACTTTGTTTGTTATGTCTTTATGTCATTAAAACTCATTGCATGTCGGTATTTGTGTGTTTTTTAGCGGTCTCTTTTAGGGGTCAAAATTTGGATGACCCACGTAAAGATTGGTCTCCTTTAGGGGTCACAAAAAAATGAGCCACCCCAGATGGTTATTAGCCTTTGGCTATTAAATTCAAAATTTCTTTAAATCCCCGCTTTTTTTTTTTTTTTTTTGCTGAATACTATAGCCACATACGTCATACATAGAGATCAGAGTATGTGTTAAGTGCTCGTTTACAAGATCTAGAGGTTAAACCCAATGGGAAAATTATAAAACCTACACCCTAAAAAGTGTCTGTGTTTGATACTTATAAGAGGTATTGACTGTAGGACTTTGGCAGGGAAAATTTTGGTATTTTGGATACAGTGAGCTGTAGATTGATGTTGCTTATGGGTGGTGCAGGTGACTTACAAGAGGTGTTTATGTTTGACTGTATTTTGGTTTGGAATTTTGTTTCAACATGATATTGCAACAAAAATGATATTACAATGTTATTAATGGTTGCAGTTAAGTCAACAAGAAAGTACTGAGGTTTGTCAAGATAATCAATTTGATCAATTATTGCTTGTGTTAATGTCTTCTCTTTTCCTCAGATTAATCTTCAAAGGTTATAAAAATCCCCTGGTTGACAGTGATCTCTGGGCGTTAGGAAAAAATAACAAGTCTGCAACCATTGTTCCCAAGTTCATGGAGAAGTGGGCCAAAGAGGAAAAGAGATGCGCTATGTAAGTTAAACACAATTTTCGCCACATATTCCTTCTTATAATTTTTTGGAAAACTTCTGTTACATATTTTGATGCATTTTGTAGTGGTAAAAGGTGCCCCATGGAGGAACAACAAGAGCTTGAGACAGCAAAGTTAAAAGGAGAAGAAGAAAATGATGATCAAGCTGTAGTGTATAATGACAAGGATAAGAAACAGAAAAAAAAGAAAAAAGAGAAGGAAAAAAAAGCTTCATTACTGCGAGCCATGGCGCACTTGTTTGGGCCACAGTTCCTGATTGGCATGCTCATAAAACTTAGTTATGATGTGATCCAGTTTGCTCAGCCACAATTGGTGAAGTGAGTATGCTTTTGGGTCGTCATTTTATGGTTTTAATTTAAGAGCTGCATTAAAGTGGCTGTTACATTCCTTATCACCATAATTCTCCATTGATTGGAGAAAAGTGGATTTAGATTTTTGAAAAATTATGCAGAATGAGGGTGTTAGGGTAACGGTTAAGATGAGAGTTTAGGGTTAAAAAAATGTACTGTGTACATTTGATGTGGCATTGTTAGGCCATCAAACCTACATTATGTGAGGTTTTTCTTGGCTGTCACCATCAAATAGTTTTCATAGCCACAACCACCATCCTGGCATCACCATCATCACCTTGGAAATATCATCATAATTACACTGAGCTCATCTTTACTGTTATTTTACAGTTTGTTGATTTCATATACAGCCAACAAAAGTGACACTGAAGAATGGAAAGGATATGTGTATGCCATTGCCATGTTCCTTGTGGCAGTAACAATGTCTGTTATAGTCCATCAGTACTGGCAGATTGTTTTTGTCCTTGGAATGAGAATACGAACTGCAATCATTGGGATGGTTTATGCTAAGGTATATATATGTCACCTTTCCTTTTAACTGCTAAGACATAAACTAAATGCTGATGCATCCAAATAAGTTACTCAACCTTTATGTTCATTCTCTCCAAAGGCACTTGCCTTAAACAACAGTGCTCGAAAAGAATCCACCGCGGGTGAAATGGTGAATCTGATGTCAGTGGATGCTCAACGACTCATGGATCTCACAACTTACATCAATGTTCTGTGGTCTTCACCTCTAGTTATTTTGATAACATTGTATTTTCTGTTTGATGTGATGGGTCCCTCCACTTTAGCTGGTTTTGCTGTGTTGCTCTTGCTTATTCCGGTCAACCTTGTTATCACTAGAATTGCAAGAAAATTACAGGCAAGTATTAACTTATACTTAAGATGCACATATATGTAGTGTATTCTTATATTTTTAGCAAACGTATAGTTAATTAGCCCCTTGCTTCTTTATATGGTTCTTGCCAATTATTTTGTAGGAATTTTGGTTCAATTATTATCAATTCCAGGTAGGGTAAATCGAACAAGCCATAATAATTATGATATACCTTTTTAAGTTTGGTAGTGATAGCAGTTGTGTATTTCTGGATGACAAAGTGTTGCTGTCAAAAATGTTGAGAGATAAAAGGGACAGATGATCAGCGTCAAGTTTCAAATGCTTTAATGATACCAATGCCTTTCAGTTCCGATATCTCAAAAGTAAACAAGCTGTTGTCAATCACTGCAGTGCTTCCCATACTCCTTTTTGTGCCTCATTTTGCCATCATAACTTGCACTTATAAAAATGCTCTCCTTTTTTGCTTATATTGCAGTCTTTCGCAATCATTTCATACAGGTATACTGACTGCAGACTCTTAGGGAAGTAACGGCAGGACTAGCTCTAGTCTCTACTTTGTTACAATAAAATTCGAAGGCATTGCACTGCAGTGATTACTTAGTACAGCTTTCTGGTTTCTCCTTAGGTGAAACAAATGGCTGCAAAAGACTTGCGTATTAAACTGATAAATGAAATCATCAGTGGAGTCAAGGTACTTTGTATGTAACAAGTCATGATAATGCATGTTTCAATTTGATCCATTACCATGCCACTCCTCTCCCCCCAGGGATTTGCAATTTTTTTTTCTTTTCTGCTACTCTATTCCCCACCCCCGAGCTCCTGATGAACATCATATACGTTTCATGGGTATGTCTTTGAGAGTGATTTCCGTACAATAGCAAAACAAGACATTTTCAGAACTATTATAAACGTTTTCTAGAGTTTATTGAGAGAGGGATAATACATGTCTGTAGTTAAAACATGAACAATACATTTGAAAACGAAAAGAAAGAAAAACCTCTTAAACTCATCCTTGATAGAACACTTTATAAGAACACTGCTGCAGAAATGTAGCTAAGGAAAAGATAAGCAGGCTTTTTTAGATGTCAAGCTGGCTTTTGAACTCAACTGCATCTCTAAACTTCCCAGGCTAAGCCTTTGTTTTTGTTTGCAATTTGAGCTGGTGGTAAGTTTTTTTTTTAGGCGATGAAATTAGCCGGCAGCCAGCTGCTCTTAGCGACATCCCTGCTGACTAGACTGGATCTCAGTTTATTGATATATACTAAAAGCCTTGTATCCGTTTTCATATAAAGTCTATTTAAGTTGTCTTCTTATGAAACTAGGCTGAAGAAATATTTCTTTCATGGAGCTTAATGTGTGCTTTGAGCAAGTAGAGTTTGGTTGAAATTATCTTATAATTTTGTCTCGAAAAAGCGTACGTTACTCAAAAGTTAAGCAATGCAACATCAGAATGATTCAATGATGAAAGAACCGCAAACTTTGAGTAACGAATTCAGCCGACTTCAAGAGTCTTTAAGATCACACGAGGCTGAAGCAAGCAAACATGGTGGCCAAAGACAACCTGGACTGGATCCTGAAACTACCAAGACATTACAGTTCGGTAGAGGTAAGAACGATGACTTGACTGGTTTCTGTAATGCGGCAAAGAAAGATCTTGCTGCATTTAAGAACTGCCTCGAGTCTCTTACTGTTCAAGTTAGCGAAATGGTGGGAGGACTGGATGCCCTAGCAAGATACAGTTACAGCTTTAATGTCAAGCTATTGGGCATTCTAGAGATTGATCGGGAAGGAGTCAAGTCACATTGCTGGGAAATCACTGAAGTGGACCCGACATCCGTTGGTCTTTATGGGCAATTCCTATATTAAGCACTTGAGAACGGACTATATGAAGAACTGCTTTTCAAGAATTGGTGCAAAAATATGGAATAGTATTCCTGACAGTGATTGTACTCTACCTAAATATAAATGTAAGAATACCCTACAGAGTCGGCTACTGATAACCTAACAGGAGGATACTTATGTTTGCATGTGAACTTTAATTGATGTATTAAATAAATATCAAATTTTCAGTTTAATTTCAATCATACCTTGTTTCATTAACCTATTTTGAAATATATGTATTCTCTGTCTTATTAATTTAATATGTTGATGTTCATGTATCTGTAATCTTGAGTTCCACAGCTTCTTGCAAACTGCATGAGAAATAACATGTACTTTGCAAAATCAAAAAGAAGTTCTTTTTGATTTGCCCCACCCCCCTACCCCTGAGACAGGACCGCTTCAAACATTTCCCCACTCCCAGGTTCGAAGGGCTGGATGTGCCCCAGGGGTTGCCCGGGAGGGGGATGGTAACAGGTCAAATTGTCCATGCATAACTTGTTTGCGATATGTCGGTCAGTTATTAGTAAAAAACACGTCATTATCAAATTACTGAAGTGTATTGTAATAGTTTTGACTGTTGCATGCCGGTTAACCCATGTTTAATGCCTGGGTTGGTGATGGTTTAATATGTAGTTATTTATTGATGACAGCATGTATCAATGTATTTTTTAGTGGTCAGCACTTCTTAGATAATAGGGTTTTTTTATTTCAGGTTCTTAAGTTATATGCGTGGGAAAAGTCTTTTTTGAGTCAGGTGTCTCAAATCCGCAAAAAAGAATTACATCAACTCAAGAATGCTGCATATTTAAATGCCTCTTTTGCCTTCTCCTTCACCTGTGCTCCTTTTATGGTAAGAATCATGAACATTAGACCACAAGTGACGGAACAAAACGTACGTTCCATTATGTATATGTTACAAATCAAATTTCAATTCAGTTGAAATATTTTAACCTGGGTTTATTCTCAATTTCCTTGGTCTCCCGGCCCTAATTATTCGTGATTTTCAGGAATATTATTTGATATAACACACTTATATAAGTTTAACATTTCTTTTTCTTCAGTTTCAATAGAAATAGGCAAAAACAAAACGTGAGAGTCACACAGTCATTATAATTCTTTCTGTGTGGTTATTCAGTCTACTGATACAATCATACTGTACAATTTATAAAATAGTTTCCTGTACAAACACAGTGTGTCAAGACTCTCTACTCTAATGTGTTGATGATGGTCAATTAAATTGCTGTTTTTTTATCCTCAGGTTGCACTTGCGACATTTGCCATTTATGTTTTAACTGGAAATGAGTTGACAGCCAACAAAGCGTTTGTGGCCCTTGCTTTGTTCAACATCCTAAGATATCCAATCACTTTTTTACCTAATGTCATTGTTAGTGCCATACAGGTCAGTATCAGACGATAATGAACACATGTTTTTATTGAAATTTTTTCACAGTGACAAATTGCAAAAACCTTTGGCGTTATACTCATACAAATACCTTCCGCCCGATTGCAACAACCAAAGTCCTTTCTTAGTTATATCGGTTTTTTTTCTCCTCCTTTTCAGGGTCAAGTATCAATCAATCGGCTGACAGACTTTCTCAATTTGCCAGAACTGGATCCAAATAATGTCGAAAAGACAATGCCTGAACACAGTGAGTTCTTTATGAGCTTTAGATTGTTCTTGTTGCTACTTACAGTAATACTTGGGAAGTAACTGTCCAGATGTGAAAATGAAATAATCAGCATATCACGAGCGTGGGACAAAGAAAAAGTCTGAGTCCCTGACAGGATTGGAACCTATGACCTGCCAAACACTGGACGGGCGCTCTATCTACTTGAGCTACGGAGAACTCATGGAGAGCGAGGCCATACTCTAGGTTCATATTTGACGCGCGCCTTGCATGCTGCTAGGATCAGCAATGTCGATGTTGCACAGTGTGCTGAAAGAAATGAAAGATGGTAAACTTTAAGCTTGGTGAAACAAATGTGAAAATGAAATAATTTATGGTCCCACTATTCTGGGACCATAAACGGTAACGTTCATGATAAAATGTCAGGGGTATCCAACGATGATTTCCTCCTAAATACGTTGAAAACATCTTTAGGCTATCCAGAGTACTTGTATAGATCTGTAGAAATACATTCTGAGCGGCGCTACAAAATTTGTATCTGTTCGGTCAGCCTAGGGGACTTTGAGTCTTTTCGAAATTACAAGGGCTTCCGTATTATTTTCACGAAAATTTTTTTTCGTTTTACGAACGTGAGAATTTTTCTTACTCCTATCTCAATCACATTTTTGAATCCGAAAATTTTAGGTTTCCCTCTTCTACCAAAGACGGCATTATTTGGGGAGTGAAATGTCAAAAATTATGCTTCAGAGAATCGTAGGGAATTTATTAGATAAGTTTCGACAATTGTACTTGAATGGAACGGTCATCTAGAAATGTGTAGCCGTCCTCAAGCAATAGAAAATTCTATGCAATGTTGGCTTCTCCGAACAGATATTTACAGAAAACAGTCGTTGGGTGCCCCTGAAATGTATGTATGACAAATGAAGCAAGTAAAAAACAATTTTAACGCAAAACTGTTTTCATGACATTAGTTAGTACACAAGCTATTCATGTGGAGGATGGATCTTTCAGTTGGGATATTGATGAAAAGCCAACCTTGCAGAAGTAAGCACCTTATCAGGGACAATTCACTGATTTTCCACTCGCGCATGTGTGAGTTTTAAGCCTTTTTTGGCTTTGTCTGCTGATGTGTGTTTGTGTTTTTTTCTTGTAGCATTAATGTGAACATTCCAAGCGGTTCACTTGTAGCAGTTGTTGGTCAAGTCGGTTGTGGCAAATCCACTCTTTTATCGGCTTTCCTGGGTGAAACTGAAAAAGTGGCAGGAAAGGTTTACGTTAAGGTGAACTTGGTTGTTCCAGTATAAAAAACATTCCTTTCTTAGATTATTCTTTTCTTAAATTAAGCCCATCTGTAAAAATCTTTTAGATAATTTTGTAAATACTTCTTAGTTAAGTTTAAAAACATTGTAATTAGCTAACATTGTAATTAGGATTAGGTTAAGTGTTGTAATTAGTTATCATAAATAATGTAATATAATCATTGTTCCTGAAAAGCCCCTTTGGAGAGGTAACAATAAAGTATGTATGCAAATATGTATGTATTCCTGGAGACTGGTTGTTATTAAATTTTCCCTTTCCATTCTGAACAGAAAACGTAACTTGACATATAGTGTACTATTATGAAAAAAGACTAATTTATAGGGTTTAAAACACGACTGAGGCGCAGCCCAAAACTGCTGGTTTTTTGAACGGCTTAAAATCTTTTCTCTACTGGCTCAATAATCGTTGTTGTTGTTGGTTTTTTAATTTTACGAGAAAATTGGAGCAAAAAAACTCAGCCATGTTTTATTAGATTTAAAGACACTCTATTTTCTTCTTGAATTGTCAGTAAGTCTATTTCAATTATATTTTCTTGTGAATTCTCACAGTCGTATCCTATGTCTGCTGCAGGGTTCTGTGGCTTATGTACCACAACAAGCTTGGATTCAGAATGCCACTGTCCGTGATAACATACTGTTTGGAAGAAGTTTTGATCCCAAGCGTTACTGTAAGACAATCAGCTCCTGTGCATTGAGAACTGACTTGGATATTTTACCAGGAGGAGATATGACAGAGATTGGAGAAAAGGTAGTGAATTGTATTGTGCTTCCTTGGGTTAGATGGTATAACCAGCCAGTGGTATCATACGTACTGGTTTTACAATTTTAACATTACCAAAGTAACAAGGACAAACCAAAGTGAAAATGGCTACGTAACAAATATGGTACTATAAATGATGCATGGCACGAGGCGATTACATGACAAGTTTATTTGACTGAAACAAATCTGGAGTTGAAAAAATCTTCCTTTGTGAACATTTTCTTAATCTGCTATCACAGATCAGCGGCAAAAATGTTAGCAACGCTATAACTAGAAGTTCCAATGCTGTTCACGTGTTTGTTGTCTTCCTGTTTGTGTTTGTTTTGCCATAGTGAATTTGTTTTCTTTAATATTTAGGGAATCAACCTTAGTGGAGGGCAGAAACAGCGCATTAGCTTGGCAAGAGCAGTGTATTTTGATGCTGATGTTTATCTGTTGGATGATCCACTCAGCGCCGTAGATTCACATGTGGGGAAACACATCTTTGATAAAGTTATTGGACCAAGAGGAAAGCTGAGAAAGAAGGTTGTGTTTTGTTAAAGTTTGATAAACACATTATAAAATTTTTTTATAATTGACGAAATATATACTTTAGAGATCTTAGTTTAAAATGTTTTGTTGTTTTACAGACTCGAGTATTTGTCACCCATGGAGTCGGTTTCCTTCCTCAGGTGGATCAGATTATAGTGTTACAAAACGGAAGAATATCGGAGGTAAGGACTCTGGAGAAACTGAATGGCAGGAATGTCTCAGACTACTACTTTGTAGTTCACAAGTGACGAAAGTGTAATTTCGTATTCAAATTCATCGACCTTGACAATCGAATAGAATCCAAGTTACCTTTTCCGACCAACGTTCTTTTGATTTAGGTGGGGACGTACTCCGAGCTTCTTCAAAATGAGGGAGCCTTTTCAGAGTTCCTGAAGACATTTGCTTCCGAGCCGAATACCGAGGATAATGGTATGTACAACTGAGACGTCAATGATTGGCGGTTGATGCGTTTGTTGTAATGTTTTTGGTCACTTCCTGTCGTTGAATTTCTGGAGGGCCTCTAACAACTCCTTAGCATTTTGACAAGTCACATCTAAGTTTTAGAAGTAGGTTTCATGTTTAAAAATAATGAGGAAGATTCCTATTCAATAGCTTGTTCCTAGACACTGTTTTTAGGGATTACGCTTCCATAGAGACAGGAAATGTCACAGCTTGTTGGTGTTCAATGCCTGCACAGAGACGGGGTAAAGCAACAGTCGGGTGGGTATTCTGTGGCACCGGATTTAATCCTGATTTTCTGGACGTCCAGTCCAAAAGAGTTTATTTTAAAAAAAGGTTAAGATGGATTAAATGGAACTCATTAGCTTGAACCCAATCGACTTCCTTTAAACAGCTGAGCCACCACTGCCCAGACAAGAGTCGGTGTTGGAAGAAATTCCCGAGGCTGTAGAAGAAGTGGATTTCAGGCCGCGTGGGGAGACGATCCTGGAGAGGCGGGATAGTCAGATTGAAATACCATTCCGCAGAAAACGAGCTGACAGTTTGTCTATTGTAACTGTTGATACTGCTGACCTGGATTGTCAGTTCACCAGACCAGATGAGCACGAGGAGGACAAGATTATCGCAGAGGAAAAGGCAGAAACTGGCAGGGTAGGTTTGTAACTTACAACCTTGGTGAGGCATTAAACAGAACAGTATCGAGGGAGTAGCCAACGGGATGCCTAAAAGTTGGGCAGGTACAAGTGTGGGTGTCCTGTACTCTTACACTGTTAGTAGTCTACTATGTTGGAAATTAACCCCGTTGGTGCGTTCCCTTTGCGTTCCGTGTGCGTTCCCTTAATTAATAGGCATATGGGTCGAGTCAATGACGTCACCCATTGTTATAACCTAGGGAAAAAGTGCCTTCCTGCATACTAATTAAGTGTCTTCCTCCATATACAATGAAGTGGATAGGTTTACTAATGAGCGTCACTCTACTTCAATAAGAACAATAGGCTTGCCTAGACTTGCCCGGTAAGTAACTTGAGCCCGGTTTTCGGACCGTCTATTAAAAGAAAAATAGGAATAAGAGAAGCGATCACCTAGCAACGCGAGAAACGGCTTCCTATATCTTATTTAGCGCTAAAACTCAGATATATAAACAAAACACATACAGAAAGTGGAGTTGAAAAGTCTTTATTTCCGTTTAGTTTATGTCTTCTTATTGAGCTCTAAAACTCGAATATATATAAACAAAATACACAAAGTAGAACTGAAAACTCTATTTCAATTTTGTCTGACGTTTTCTCCTTTCTATCTCGAGGAAATGAAAGTCTTGTCATTTTCACGCACGGTTAATCAGTTAATTATGCGAGTTCACAAGTTGAATACAAATTAGCTCTACAGGAAAGACCCAAGGGAGAGAATCTTGACGTATTATTATAAAACAAATAACTTAACAAGGATCAATTAAAACAAGCGACTCATATTTGCTAGCAATAAAAACACAAGAGAGATACCGTTTTAAAAAACTTTATTAAAAACCAGTGACAAAAAGAGTCAAATACACAGGAATGGAAATTAATTAATCTTCATCTTCGCCCATGGAGTACTTGTAAGGTTTGAATTTCTTATGCCGACGTTTCTTCAGCTGTTTGCCATGAGATTTATGATCATCCAAATAATTTACAAATTGAATCCGACGCCTTTTGCGCTTCGGGCCTTGTGGTGATGGGGTTTCTACTGTAGGAGGAGGGGTCAGGAAAGCAGGATTTAAGGGTGGTGGAGGGGTGAGGCTTTCTTTGTCAGGTTTTTGAGAGATAGCCGCTTGTGTTAATTCAGGTGTTACATTAAAGGGGTTGAGGGGAGTCGAGAATGCTGTCGTTGCTGTCGAAGAATCTTGTGTCCTTGATGTTAAGTCTGGAGCAGTGCTGATTATTTCTTCCGGTCGTGTTCTTGTACTTAATTGTTCTTTAAAAGCCAGGTATCTGTTTTGCAAGTGAAGGTATCGTTTAGCTTTTTCTTCGTCCCGAAGATCGTTTCGAGAAAGCACGTCATCCATGTTGTCTTGTATTTCTTGCATAGCTGGAAGAAGTGGGACAGGTGAAAGAGTTTGCTGCTTTAGAAATTTTAAAAGCTCTTGAGGAATATTTTCTTGAAACCCTGCTTGGTTAAAGCCTTCTTCACTGGGCATGACGTTTGTTCGCAGTCGACAATTATCTTGGGTAGTAGTTTTCAGATCAATCAACAGATAACCAAAAGGTCTTTTTACAGCCTCTTCGTACTGATTTAAAAAGAAATCCGTCTGCCCGGGATACATTTGCTTCGCCAGAGTCAGGATTTGCAATTTGTCTCGTGGATTCTTGAATAACACCAGATAATGGCTGTTTAGGCTTATGCTGCGACTACCTTTCCCCTGATGAAATAGATTCTGCACGATATAAATCACGCTCAGATTGCGATGATGAGAACCACGAGTAAAAAGGTTCACAATCCGCTTGTCTTTACTGGCGTCAATCATCTGATCATCAAACACGATCAGATTCCGTTTGTTCACATCAAAATAGGAATCCTGCTCCAAAGCCGTAGGAATTCCCTTAACGAATTCAATGTGTGGCATGGCGACTAACATTTGTGTATACGCTGGCTGCCATTGTGAATAACACCAAACGATCCTCTCCGGGGGAGGGTAAATGGTCTCTGAAGCTTGTTGCAATAGCGATCGAACCCAGGCCGTTTTTCCGGAACCGGTCATTCCGGCAATCATGGAGGTGAAAGGGTGCTCGAAGCGAAACCGCTGACATTTCTGTGAAAACGGAACTGTTTGAAATGGTGTGAGACCGACATTGTGGTGTTTAGACATCACGTGCCTTTGCATATTATCTTTTCTACTAAATGATTTTTCACAAACGGAACAGAACCAACTCATGTCAGCTCAGGAGCAAATTGTGGACTGAGAAAGAGGTAGAATGTTGCGCATTTATATAGGTTTTCAGGCCATAAAATTCTATTGTTTTCCTCAACCAAAACCACCACTACCACCACCACATTTCTGTTGTTTTCTTTCCTCCTCCTCCTCCTCCTCCTCATTCTCCTCCTCCTCCTCCTCATTTCTATTGTTTTTCCTCCTCCTCATTCTATTGTTTTTCCTCCTCCTCCTCCTCCTCCTCCTTATTTTTATTGTTTTCCCTCCTCCTCCTCCTCCTCCTCCTCATTTTTTGTTTTCCCTCCTCCTCCTGCTCATTTTTATTGTTTTCCCGCCTCCTCCTCCTCCTCCTCCTCCTCATTTTTATTGTTTTCCCTCCTCCTCCTCCTCCTCCTCATTTTTATTGTTTTCCCTCCTCCTCCTCCTCCTCCTCCTCATTTTTATTGTTTTCCCTCCTCCTCCTCCTCCTCCTCCTCATTCTATTGTTTTCTTTCCTCCTCCTCCTCCTCCTCCTCATTTTTATTGTTTTCCCTCCTCCTCCTCCTCATTTTTATTGTTTTCCCTCCTCCTCCTCCTCCTCATTTTTATTGTTTTCCCTCCTCCCCCTCCTCCTCATTCTTATTGTTTTCCCTCCTCCCCCTCCTCCTCCTCCTCATTTTTATTGTTTTCCCTCCTCCTCCTCCTCATTTTTATTGTTTTCCCTCCTCCTCCTCCTCCTCATTTTTATTGTTTTCCCTCCTCCTCCTCCTCCTCATTCTTATTGTTTTCCCTCCTCCCCCTCCTCCTCCTCCTCATTTTTATTGTTTTCCCTCCTCCTCCTCCTCCTCCTCCTCATTCTATTGTTTTCTTTCCTCCTCCTCTGCCAACTGCTATCTTTAGTTCACTTTGAAGCAATGTCTCGTGTAGTGAACAACAATCGTGGTTTTCTTCAGCTGTTAGCTGATTGCCCTGCTTATCAGCGCCAGTTTCTTTTAAAGACAGCTACACCACAGCAACTTCATGCACTAGTCCAAGTCTTGTACAATTTACTCATGGGACACATTCCCATCTCCGAAGAAAATAAGCGGGTATTGCTGCCCTACAAGGATGCTTTACTTAACCTGGCCAGTACAAATGTCCCTTTCAAAACAAAGAAGCGAGTCCTTGTTCAACAGGGTAGTGGATTTATTGAAGATGTATTAGCCCCTGTCGTTTCAAGCTTAGGATTTCTAATGCTATAAAAGAGGTGACACATCGCTAGGTTGCTCATTCGAAGCTAAGTCTGTCACGAGTACTCATCAAAATGAAAAGAAAGATAGATTTGGTTGAAGAAGAAGAACACGAGAGTGAACATGAAGAAAGCGAAAGTTCTGGTGATGAAAGCGAGGATGAAGAACCAAGAATAAAAGAAGAACCGAGAATAAAAGATGTTTTGAGTCATCTTTCCCGAGCAGTGCCGGAAAAGCGTGCTTCTGATTTGCTGCATAGTATGGCTGCGTCCAAAGATATTCTTTTCTGGACCCCCAGCGGACAATTACTTCGAAATAAACGCACTATTCCCGTCACAAACATCGCTGAGCTAGTTGAGTATGTGTTACTCCCTTATAACAATGAGGTTACCAAACCTCGTGCGCTGAATACGTTTCTAGATGGACTTGCAGAGTTAGGAATCGATAAAGGTTTAATCAAGAACAAAAAGTTGTTAAGTGATTTAATAGAAAAGGAAAAAGGCTACCAAAATGTAGAAAATACTTCCGATAACGAGAGTAATAATGAGGAGAGTTCATCGGATATTGAAAACCAGGAGGAGGAAATGGCTTCTGAGAATGGCGTTGAAGCGGAAGACACCCAAGAGAGCGACAACGACACTGAAAACGACAGTCAGGAGACAGAAAGTAGTAACCCTGAAACGTCCACCACCTTTCACTCCAAAAGTCCCTGTGAACACTGCGAGAACTCTAATGTGTACGGGACATTGATCATGAAATGTCCTAAATGCCTTTGGCACGATTACTACAAGATTTGTCCTATATGCGATCACCAGATTCCCGAGGGGAGACATTACATGAAAGAGGGCTTTCTTCGATGTCAAGATTGCGGAGCAGTTACACACAAAAACGCGAAGACGTTGGAAACCAATTTCTATTCCCCTTCTACAGAGGAGAACGAAGATGAAGATTAATTAATTTCCATCCCTGTGTATTTGACTCTTTTTGTCACTGGTTTTTAATAAAGTTTTTTAAAACGGTATCTCTATTGTGTTTTTATTGCTAGCAAATATGAGTCGCGTGTTTTAATTGATCCTTGTTAAGTTATTTGTTTTATAATAATACGTCAAGATTCTCTCCCTTGGGTCTTTCCTGTAGAGCTAATTTGTATTCAACATGTGAACTCGCATAATTAACTGATTAACCGTGCGTGAAAATGACAAGACTTTCATTTCCTCGAGATAGAAAGGAGAAAACGTCAGACAAAATTGAAATAGAGTTTTCAGTTCTACTTTGTGTATTTTGTTTATATATATTCGAGTTTTAGAGCTCAATAAGAAGACATAAACTAAATGGAAATAAAGACTTTTCAACTCCACTTTCTGTATGTGTTTTGTTTATATATCTGAGTTTTAGCGCTAAATAAGATATAGGAAGCCGTTTCTCGCGTTGCTAGGTGATCGCTTCTCTTATTCCTATTTTTCTTTTAATAGACGGTCCGAAAACCGGGCTCAAGTTACTTACCGGGTAAGTCTAGGCAAGCCTATTGTTCTTATTGAAGTAGAGTGACGCTCATTAGTAAACCTATCCACTTCATTGTATATGGAGGAAGACACTTAATTAGTATGCAGGAAGGCACTTTTTCCCTAGGTTATAACAATGGGTGACGTCATTGACTCGACCCATATGCCTATTAATTAAGGGAACGCACACGGAACGCAAAGGGAACGCACCAACGGGGTTAATTTCCAACATAGTAGACTACTACTGTTATTATATACCTCGTCAGTTTTTTGCCGGGCAGATTTCACATTAGTGTTTGTTAAATTTGCCAACAGTTACTTTTTGTCGCCTAGGTGAAACTGGCTGTATTCTGGGCCTACGCCAAGTCTGTCAAGGTCTATTTAGCTGTCGGAATAGTCCTCTTTATCGTCCTTGCAGAAATTGCCTCTGTTGCGTCTGGGATCTGGTTGGCAAGTTGGAGCTCGGCAAATGTGACATCTGATGCCGAGCGTGATATGTACTTGGGTGTGTATGGTGGCCTTGGTGTAACGCAAGCAACTTGTGTACTTATATCATCCTTATGCCTTGCGGTGGGGTCTAAAATCGCATCACGTTACCTTCATGAAAACCTTCTCGAACACGTCATGCACTCACCCATGTCGTTTTTCGAGACCACCCCCCTTGGAAGGATCGTGAACCGCTTCTCTAAGGACATCAGTACAATTGACGATCAGGTTCCTGTAACATTGGCGACCTTCATTAGGACGCTCAGCACTGTTATTGGCACCATAATCGCTATCAGTTTTGCCACTCCGATCTTTTTGGTAGTGATCGTACCTCTTGGCATTATCTATGTTTTCATTCAGGTAATTTTTCATAGTAGAGACCTTAAGATTGGGGTTTATCGGCAGTTCCCGCAAACTGGGAACGTCTAGAAGTCACGTGAACAGTGTCTTACCATCAGATTTGTGGTTTTGAGGTTCATGTATGTACGACAGACCACGCCCCGCTCTAGAGGTAGGTGAATTACCACAAGGTTTTTTGCAGCCTAAGGCATCACAATCCCACGTTTGAGAGAATATACTACTTTTTATAACTCTTTTGATAATGAATTATCGAATTGTTTTTCTTCGAAACGTAAATTTGGAAACAATTTCTCAGCTAAAATAAAAGTGAACGAATGGATGAAAACAAACATGGCCCCTGCGAGCTACCATCCACGAACTTAAAAGTCCCAAATATGAGCAAAAGGTTAACGTGAAACTGCAAACCGCAAACCGCAAACCGCGGTTTGCCGTTTGCAGTAAGATGGCCAAACCTCGACCTTAAGGTCACTGTTGTCCCATATTTCCGTGTGCTCCTTGAATATTAGTGATAATTTGTCGTTGTCTGACTCTTTGTGATCAGAAGCTCACTTGTGTTTTATTATCCGAACTTCCTTGAAATATGATTCAAATATGAAGAGCAGTTCAGTCATTTTTTTTGGGAGGAGTAATTATAATGCTTGAAATGTCAAACACCGTGTTGCTAATGGCTGCTAAATTTTCAGAGAGTGTATGTTTCCACATCGCGGCAGCTGAAGAGAATTGAGTCAGTGAGCAGATCACCAATTTACAATAACTTCTTTGAGACAATCAACGGAGCTTCCACCATCCGAGCATTTGGCCAGCAACAACGCCTCATCCGGGATAATTACTACAGGGTTGACGAAAATCACGTGGCTTACTATCCTGGAGTTTCAGCAAACAGGTGACTTTACATGTTAATAAAGTAGTTAGAATGTTTTTTAAACCAAACACAAACAAACCTGTTAGTCAATCCCCTTGTTAATCTATGTAAAATCATTGAGTAGTTTCCAATCAGCCTTTTTAGACTTGGAGATAGACGTGAAATAAACGAAGGTGTGTTTGTGTTTTCTTCCTGTCCTGTTTTAGGTGGCTTGCTCTGCGTCTTGAGCTGATCGGAAACTTGATCGTCCTCTTTGCTGCCTTGTTTGCTGTTGTCAGCCGTGACTCGATAGAAAGCGGCCTTGTTGGACTATCCATCACTTATGCTTTACAGGTTTGTTATGTGCTGTTTTAGACTTACAAGGCGTGCGGCGGATTGACTCTGTATGAATGTTCCGTCATTTATTAAAGGAAGCATCAAAACGACTGCTGCTGGGCTTTTGGGATTTTGGTTCGATTTTTGTTCAGCCATGAATAACAAACCTGGAAGGGCCTTTAAATGATTAGATTAAATACTAAGGTAGAATACTAAGAAAAAATGTTTAGAAAATTTAAAAAGAGCGGGAAAAAATACTTCTTAGTACCTTTCAGTTGAGTTGTTGCTGTAAAGTATCTCATCAGCCCGAATGAAAAGTGTGTCAATTAATATTTCACAGTCTTTGTTTTAAAATATATGTTTATTACAAATCCTTGTGTACTTTTTTTAGGTCACCAATGTTCTTAACTGGATGGTTCGTATGAGTAGCGAAGTGGAGACGAATATTGTTTCCGTGGAGAGAGTTAAAGAGTATACAGAGACACCTACTGAGGTAACACCACCTCACTTACACTTCCATGACATAGAATGAGACTTCGCAGTTTGTCCAGTTTCACATTCTAATAATTTTCGATAATGTGAGTGTAATTTATGTTAAAACGGTTCAGTTTGAACGAAAGAAATAGTAAAGTACCGGAGGAGGACTTTGGATCGTCAGCCCAACGAAAACAATAGAACCGTGACGTTGGAGGAGACGGTCGGGAGAGGAGAGAAAACCACAAGGTTGCGGATAGAGAAGAAAAGTAATGGAGGATGAAAGTGTTTAGAGGGGAAACATCATGGACCCAGACATTCCCTGTATACTACAACTAATGCAAACAAGCAAATATAATCTATAATGTATAATTAACCACAGTTTCGATTCCTGTTCTTCCTTCTTTTAGTGCAAGTGTATTCGCATTGAATTGGTATACTATGAACCCGTAGATAGATTTATTTAGCAAATATTTTTAAAGTAAGTAAGTAAGCGAGTACTTTTGCTCTTGTTGGGAAAAATCCAAATATTGTATAGAAGTCAACGGCATCATTCTCCGCTCTACTGAGTGTTGTTTTCCTACGTCATGTAGGCGGAATGGATTATTCCAGATAACCGCCCTCCGGATGGTTGGCCAGATGCAGGAAACATTGTGATTGAAGAGTTTGATTTAAAATACAGAGAAGGATTACCACTGGTGCTTAAGAATATTAACTGCAACATCAAACCAGGAGAAAAGGTACTAGTCCATTTTTACACACAAGAATACTGACGGCAAGGAAGTGTCTGAAGTGCCAACATAAAAAGTGAAGGAAACTGCTTCGTTCCTCATTTCTAGTTTCTGATGAAGCGATGGTGCTGTGAACTAAAGTTAGGTTTTATCAACCATTTTTATTAAATAAAATTTCCCCCTTAAGTTAAAAAGAACCATAGGTTATATTTCAAATGACGGAACGACGCCATTACATGAAAAAATTGAGAGAAAGAAATTTGTTGAGTGATAGGCGTTTGATGAATTTCTATGGGATTGAGAGTGTCAATGCTTCTAACCTTTCCCCATTCATGATGCTTTTGTTTATGTCTCAGCCTAAAATCAGATCAAGCGGTAAATGTATTTACTATTAACTTTTCAGATTGGTATTGTGGGTCGCACAGGGGCTGGCAAGTCCACGCTGACTTTGGCTTTGTTCCGTATTCTTGAGAGAGCTGGAGGAAAGATTGTTGTTGATGGTATTGATATTGCTAAGATTGGACTTCAGGATCTGCGATCACGACTTACTATCATTCCACAGGTAATGATATATGCAGTTATGGCGTCATAAGACTCGTCATATTGAATGTGGGCTATAGTATTTAGCCGTCACGGCTCTTAGCGGATGTACGAATGTAGCTTGCAAATATATATAGAGGCTTGTTTATAGATGCTGAAGTACTTTTACGGAATTGAAATATTGTTTTCTTTTTGGTTCTAGGATCCCGTTTTGTTTTCTGGAACTCTCCGTCTTAATTTAGATCCCTTTGACAACCACTCTGACGAGGAATTGTGGAAGATTTTAGAATTAAGTCATCTGAAGAACTTTGTATCCGGAACGGAGCAGGGACTTCTGCATCCTGTGACTGAGGAAGGAGGCAATCTCAGGTGCGACGATTTAACTTCACATAACATCTGCACTGAGAACAGGAGTTTACCCTTGGACGTGTGTACTCAATGTGTTAAGGTTGGGGGTAGAAGTATTCCGTCTATGCAGATTGAAAAGCGGACATTTTAAGCGTTAGGCTTGTGTAGGAATGCTGAATACAATAAAGAAAAGAAAGAGCTTTGGTTTTGGTGGATCATTGCAGCAGGCACTCATAGCAGTTAGTCGAGTGTTAGGGAGTATGGCCTGTCTTACAGATAGTAAAATCAGACACCGGATCGTTTGGAGATCTCCCCGTGTCTATCTGAACTGCTTCTAGTTCGTAACAACTTCGGTTTTACTAAGTATTTACCTTATCATTGACCCTCTACAGTGTTGGTCAGCGGCAGTTGGTATGCTTAGCACGTGCGTTGCTACGTAAAAGTAAAGTTCTTGTTCTTGATGAAGCCACAGCCGCGGTGGACCTGGAAACTGATGAACTCATTCAGAAGACGATTCGGCGGGAGTTCGCTGACCGCACTGTGTTCACCATTGCTCACAGGCTCAATACGATTATGGACTATAACAGGTTAGGGATGTGAATTTTAAGAGAACTCATCATTGTCAGACAATCATGGTACAGACTCTAAAGTGTCGGCAAATACGAAATGCTTTTCACTGATCAACTGCAGAAAAATGTTTCGTTTAAGTGTAACGTTTAATTTACCTTTGACCGCGTAGAAGTTGTGTGCCCTTTGGTGTTGTATATGTTTGGTGATCAGTTGCCCACTCCGTTAAAACAAACTCCAAAGACTGCTTGGTAGGAAGGAGACATCCAATGTATTCTCGACTGCGCCCTTGCTGTGACACCCCTTCTTAATACTTGCAGTGCTACTCAAATTACTATCATTTCATCTCTTGTTATTTCTGTTTCTTGTTGATGTTTCTCTTTTGTTATTATTTACTTAGAATCTTGGTTCTTGACAAGGGATTTGTAGTGGAGTTTGATAGTCCTGATAATCTCTTGGCTCTTCAAGGGATTTTTTACAGCATGGCACAAGACGCAGGATTAGCGTAGTTATTTGGGCGTGGCTGTTGATTTCTTGTTATTTAGTTTTTTGTGTGTTTTAATTTATCGCAGTCTTGTCTTAAGTAGTGTGTTGTGTGAGGCTAGAGGTCCTCGGTTTTGAATTTTAGTTTTAAATGAAAGCTTTTAACGATGCGAAATTTTAAACTTTGTTTGGATTCCAAACTAGTGTGACAAGGAAAAAAAGATGGCGGCTGTCAATGCCGGGGTCCGCGAATTCAGTTTTTCTTGTCTCATCTACGGTAATATTAGGAAAATTACTTATATCTCTCTAATTTGGAGAGTTTGCAGAGACTTTCAGTTTTCATTATAACCTCTGCGTGATTGGTAAATTAATTGCCAAGATGGAGGGAGAGTTTTCGTTAGTTATTTAGGTTATATAATAGTTATTAAATTTTAAATATTTATGTATATAATGTATGGTCTTTTTGGTTATAACTTGTCAAGTCTTCGCTGTGGTAGATACCGTCATCGTATATAAGCATTTACATTGATATTTATTTAGCTAGTTAAGCAGACGCGTCACCTTATAGTCATTAGTTCTTTCTTTTGCCGACACTGAATATCTATTTGTTTAATTTAATGTACACCGCGAGCACTTGTTAAAACAACTGTTTCTTGTTGACCAAAGCAAGGTAGCATATCATATATTTCCCTTTTACGTAGCAAAGTTAGATTAGGAAAAAAAGACAAGCTTGAAAACAAAAATAAACACAATAACCCCTTAAATTTTGTTTCGTTCATTTTATTAAATGACTCGAGCATTTCACTCACTTCATTGAGTTTCACGTAAAGGGTGGGAAAAGGGCTCTTGAAAATGGCAATTTGCAATAAGGACAAAGCTTTGAGAGGAGAGGAAATGCAGACCGAAGAGCGCGCTTCAATCTCTGGGGCTACTTAGCTGGAGAGGTATAGATTGGAGAAATAGGACGACAGCATGGAAACTTTCCAGGTGCATCCAAGTTACATCATTGAGTAGGTACGGTTTGTCTAATAACTTTGGCATATTGATATTGGATTGGAATATCGGAGCAAAGTAATGATGCTTCCCTATGTCGGGTCGACACCAATTTTCACCACTTACTTGATTATTCCTGCGACATAGGTTTTGGTCGATGTTGCCATGACAACATGAAATTAAGTTTAAAATACCGTCACAGAATTGGCTACAGATCAAAATTGGAAAGCCTCCTATCATCTGATTGAAGAGTGTTGGCAAAGTCTCCGAAAAACCGTTTTGAACAAAGCCATATTAGCATGACAGTATCGCCTCTGTAACAACGTGTAATTTTACTCCGTAACATTTTTATGAAAACACTGAAATGTTTGCATGGATAATTTCAATATAAATGAATTGATGTTAAATGATTGGAAGGCAGGACGATGGGTGGCTAATCATCATGAATTCGTATTATCGTTGTTTTCTCTCAGAAAACTAAGGAGAAGAACTTTTCAACTGTATACGTAATGTATAACTGTATGTATGAGTTTACATGAACATCAGACTCGGAATTCCAGTCAACAAGCAAAAACGCTTAAAACCTAAAACTTCTAATCGATTCTAAATAAAGGAGATAAAACATTCACAACGCTGAACTCGCCTTGTTTTCGTAACAATTCAGTTAACAAAGGCAATTATATAATGCTTGCTAAAACGTGACTCAGAAAACGTGATTTCAGGTCTACTTAATGGTCCTTAATAGAGCTACTCGAGCTCTGAAATATAGAAGTATTTTTGATGCATTTAATTGTTGTGCTTACAAAAATGGTCAGACATTTCTTATCCATTTTAAATCCGTATCTTATCCACTGATAAATCATAGATTTACCATAAACTAGCTGATCCGTGTTGCATTGAAATTCATCTGAAAAAATTACTTTTCCTAATTGTGAAAGATTCACTGGGGAATTCTATTGTGCCAAGTACATTTGGTGCAGATAAAATTGTGTTCTGGGCTGGCTTATGACGAAAGAAACACACTTAGTAGATCTACTTTTACTTTGATGTAGTTGATTTTCAGCAGAAACAAAGCTTTGTAGAAGGTAGTGTTGGATCCACAGGGCTTTGGATAAAGCGGGCGTCCACGGTAAATTGTTGCAGTCGTTCAAGTATGTACACTGAATTAAAACAATTCACTTAAATACTTTAGAGCAACAAGTTTTTCGCAGCCGTGCTATGTCAACAGACTCCACCAAAAGTGGTATGGAGCTTCCATTCTAATATTTCTAGGTAAAATTAACGTGTCTCAGTACACTGATGTAGCAAACATACAAAAAACTAACGAAGCAAACGGTCATAATCTCTGTACAAAGCTACACAGCATATGGCTAGGATGACTCGTGCATAATCATCATTTTTAGATGTGTTCACCAGGTGCTCATGTGGTATCCGAGCAATCGAAGCAAATTTTTATTCCATCATGTATCTAATATTATGGGGTTTGAAATTCCTACGAACGCATATGTCAATGCTATTGTGACTTCAATACTCTCTGTATTGTTTGTGTTGATGTTGTGTAGTCCAGGCAAGTGCGTCGATCGTTTTATAACCGCCAGTACCTAGCTTGGCTTCCTTTTTATCTTACAAGACATAAAACTGTACAATTTATAGTATATTTATATGTACAATTTGCTCAATACCATTTGCTTTAGTGAGATATTTACTTTATTTGCCAGTACACGCCGCTGACAATGTCAGATTTGTCACCAGCCGATAGGGAAGAGACTTCTTTAGGTCACTTGAATCTTGGACAAGACACTAGCGACGATGTAGGGTTGGAGCTTCCAGTAATTGAAATGAACAAAAATCAACTGGATTCAGGACATGGAAATGAAGATCAAAATGCCGAAGATTGGTGGAATCATGTTCAGACAGTCGTTATCAATGAAGAGAACGCAAATTGTCCAGATGATATAAATAGAAAAAATTCAACTGGGTATGCTATTTACTTAATATACTCTGGAAAACGACTTGTATACCAGCAGCAGATTGAATGTCTTAGAATTAAAATTAGGAAGGAAATTTGCGGTGCCAATTTCATTCCCTGCAATTCCATCAGTGGCCGATTCATGGAAGAAGCTGCATCAAGGGAGGGTGGGTGTGATCGAGCGTCGGCGAAGAAATGCACACTTGGCTGCTGTCGGTTAATTCGTGACTAGTCCCAAGGCTTAATTATTCCGCGCGGCTTATACGAGAAATGCATTGACCGAGAAGGCCTGGGACGACACCGTACGGTTCAATCCATGCATGATGGAACCGTCCCCCACCCATCCAAAATAATGACACTGACGTAAGCGTTCATCAGAAGGATGCCTTAAATGTGTGCAATTCCACAGTTTGTTTCGTCTCTATAAAATCCTTTGCAATTAAAAAACTGTTTCACCCACAACATGAGCACAGTTACTGACAGGGTATATTACTGAGGAGAATAACACAAAATAATGAAATCCGTTATATAGGTTAATATATCGGTGAAGGCACGACATAAACAAAAAACACAACTAATAATAGTGGTGGTGGTGGTGGTGATTATGATGATTATCGTTTTATCATTATTTACACTTACTGGGTGAGACTGAGTCTGTTATTAAGAATTATGCAGATGGTGGGTGTTATCTGCCGAAGTCGAAGGCTGGATGGATAACATCATGCAAAATGTAGGATTCATTCCTAAACCTGAGGAAGCGCACATGCTTTTTTTGTACACAATCTTGAAAACCCAGTCGATATCGCTCGAGCGGCCCTTTTTACATTCTTTTCATCTTTCTCGGATATTAAGTCGGATATTCGTCCTCGCTTAAGACTCAAAACAAAACAGAGCATAGTTACTGTTACAGTAATAAATGACGCACATTTATATAGTCAGTTTTTACTTCTTAAGAAAAAATAACCTAGGGATTAAGGCCAGTATGCGTTTACTAGTTCACAGTTTTTCTTTACTCCATTAGTTGACTGTAGTTAACTGCTTTTTGTGAAAGTTTTAGCATACAAGGATTGCCTAGAAAAAGGAAGGAGTCACCTTACAACAGATTGAAACCAGAAGTAGCCATTAAAAAGGTAAGGTACTTTTTGCAGTGTACGACTTTGCCCGGCTTTTTATTTTCACGGCTTGCTGTCTTTCTGTGTTATCCAAGACAGTGCTGTGCGATATTTCAACAACCTTCCCAAATCAGACATCAAAACCGCGTGCACAGAAAGAGCCAAACAAATTCGTAGCTGTTAGCTATCCTTACCTCTGTTACTATTATAGAATACATCAATCATTATTTTTGCAATTAGATCTTTTTTCTTTTTATGAGTTTTAGTCATGGCTAATTTTTATAGTTAGAGTTTCCCTTAGTTATGTAGAGCCAATTTTAAGGTATGCAAATAAATCGTTATTATCACTATATATTTTATTCTCGCCAGATTCCATGTCCAGCGGAAAAAGCCAATTTTCTTTCTAAGCTTACTTTTTGGTGGTTTACGAGGTATGCTCTTACTTTCCATTATGTTCATTGTTTCATATTTCCAAAATCGTCAAGGACTGTTCGTTAATTATAGCTCAGGCGCGAAATATACACTCCCTTCAAACTCAAGAATATTTTTTAAACGAAAAGTGGTCGGCTGGTTTCCCATCCAGTTCCTTACCTCGCAGGGCTTAACTTACGTGGCTGTGTTTTCCCGAGATTCGCAAGGTTTTCCGGTGAGACACGTATTTCTAGTCGTAGGCTTGTATTCAAAGACAGTTTTCATTTGGTCGTTTAAAACGATGACGTTAAACAGACTGGCAAAATCCCAACTAATTCAAAGTTACAATAAGTTTCCTATAATTTCGAAACTGAATATTTGCGGAACCCAACCTACCCTGATCATGAACTCTATTTTCCGTTTTGTTTCAGCGGTGAATAGATTTCAAACAAGAGAGAGTGTATCAGATTTGGTAAAATTCTGCTTGTTCCCGAGTTATTATAACATATATCACTTTACGATTACTTCTCATTCCTTTAGATTTGTTCTTACTGGTTACAAGAGGACTCTCTCTGACGCTGATTTATGGGATCTGGGCGATTCATTTCAGGCCTCCAACGTGGTCACTCGTGCCAAAGGATCATGGAAGCAAGAACAAACGAAATGCTTCAAGTATGAAAGCCATTTTTTTGGCATGTTATCCAAGCAATTTAAGTAATAATAATAATAATAATAATAATAATAAGGTTAATTTTCGCAATATGAATAATTACTTAACTCGGCTAATAGGCCTGTATCATGTTGTTCTAAAAACGAACGATTTCACAGAAAACTTTAGGTTATGCCAATTTCTTGAGCGTTTATCAACCTAAAGATAAGCTTAAAAGGAAAAATTTAATGCACATTTCTATCAATTATAGAAAAAAAGAATAATTCTCAGACAGCGTCCCAGATTTTATAATTGTCGCAATATGAATAATTACTTAGCTAAGAACTATCATGTTTGTTCATAACCTTTGTTTTTGCATTTCTCCTTTGTTTTCATTTCTCCTACAGCCGTCCCAAGAGAAATTGAAAACAATGCTTATGCAAAATTTTGGGGGGCAAATAAGGTACATTATGGGAAATGTGGAAGTGGCGTATAGTGACCTTGGTCTACCTGTGGTTTCGCCCATATTTGCGAACAAGGTAAGGTTCAAGCTATTCTTCTTGAACTATGTTAACAGTTATTACGAAAAACTGAAAATAACGCTTTTAATTGAAGTTTATATTTAAAATGTCAAGAAATTTACGTAGCAACTTTTTGGCATTCCAATAAGCAAGTTTCGGACATTTTAGGAGCACAATCGGGATAGGGCTACCTCTGAATTACAAGTGCAGTGCTCTAACCACTCGGCAACGCTGCCTCCTGTTTAAGGAAGATTGAATCCAATAATTGGATCCAATAATTAGAAAATCTTATCCATTTTGCACATGTAGAACAAGTTACTATTGTACGAGGGTCTCAATGGGGTGGTGGCATTTACGGTTATCGGCTAAAATTTTGGCTCTTTTACGGCTATCGGCTAAATTTTTCAGTTGCGGTTAACAAAAAAGTTAAAAATTAACATCTTTTCTTTCAAAAAGTTAAATATTAATTAACCTGTATTTTTTTCTATCTTTAAAGCAAAATAACGGTCTTAGGATCACTCGGGATATGAAATAAGCTATTCTTTTGAAAAATTTTAACATTTGATAGATCATTCTTTTTATAAAGTATTCCACTTCTAATATTATTTTACACATAAAAATGTCAATAGTCAATTTAAAAATAATCTTTGTGAAAAAGCAAAGCACACACGCGAACGCCTAACTCAAGGCCGGGGCGCGACATTCATTACAACAGAAATGGCAGTTTTCATACTAAAGACGGATTATTCGTGTGAGACGGGTTATCCGTTTGATGATTCGTGTCAGATAGGTAATACGTCTTAATTTGGAAATGGAATAGTTTTAATTTTGCATGAACAATCCGCCTGACTTTATCCTTCAACTTCGACGGACAGATTGAAGACGGGATTATCCGTTCCAGTTAGCCTGTGTACAACCGCCCCTTCCCCTTAGAAAAAAAATCGGAGAGGGGTTGTCTGTCGGGAAGGGGGCGACTGTATACAGGCTAGTCTCAGACGGATAATCCGTTTCTAGCTCTAGTGTGAAATCGGCCAATAACAAAATCCCCGTGTCCAGTGTTTTTAATGGTAGCGAAGGACAGTACGGAAGCACTGTCAGCCGTTTTGCTTTGTCCGTAGGCCTTATTATTTCGCCCGGCTAATGCGTTTCGGGTCACGTGGTCCGAGCGAGTTCGCCACCAAAATGCCTTGACCGAAATTGCGTGGGAAGACGGCGTACAGGGACTAGGCATGGCAATGTCTACCGTAGCGTCAGAGAAAAACGGGGCAATGTTGTTTATCGGCAACTTGTTTTACAAACAGTGAGATCTCTTCGTGTTGTTTCACTAGTGTTTCGAGGGCACGACCCTCTGAAAATCGCAAATATTGATCCCTAGCAAGAAGCCACACTTTCGTTATGGAAAAAAAAATTAGTTCCCCGAGAGCGGCGGAAATGGAAATGGGTCTTGGTCTTCACCTAAAAGGCGCTTTACCTAACGTGCGTACGGAGCCACACAAGCCGCGAAATAAAAAAACGCAACCATAAGTGAGTTCAGTACCTTCCTTAAAAGTAGCAAATCTAGGGAAAAATTTCTTTTACGGTTAACTTTTTTTACCCTATTTACGGCTAACGGTTAAAACTTTTCAATTTTTACGGCTATCGACTAAATTTTTGGCCGTTTTACGCCTATCGGTTAACCCCATTGAGACCCTCTTGTACATACTTTGCACCTATTTTAATAAATTTTATTCACAGTACTCTTTGTAACATGAAATGGGGAAAAGCACTTTCCATTGTGGATAACGAACTATCTTTTTTTCTAGGCAAGGTGATATATTATCGTCAGGATATCCCACTTTTACACCCGAAGTTATGACGAAAGAGGGCGATCCAACCAAAGTCGAATTTTCCGGAACGCAGAGAAAACCCAATAAGAAAACGCCAAGCCTTGTGAGAGCGCTCACCAAAGTATTTTGGCTCAACATTGTCCTTGCAGCCTTGTTCAAAATTGCTAATGACATTGTACAATTTGTACAGCCTCTACTGCTTGAGTAAGTAGGGTTTAACATTAGATCGAGCCACAGTCTTTTATAGGGACTACATTTCTGGCAGTTTACTTGTTTCATTTGAGCAATAAGGCAACATGGCCTCTAAAAGAATCCTCTGGTCAGTTAGAAAAAACGTTCTAACGGTTCAGCGATGTACGTTTAGTCACTTAGTACTGACTGTTTTGTAAACCACAAAAGGGCTTTCTCCGTCATAAGGCTTCCCTTCATTTTATTTTTTAGTGTTGTCGAGAGTGCGGTAGATCAGTTGAGAGTCATTATGCTCATTCTTTCAGTCTGCTAATTGATTATTTTTTTCTCTTTTTGCAGTTTGGTAATAGAATACGTTGAAGAGAAAAACCACAAAGTTGAAAGCTGGAAGGGTTTCTTTTTCGCGGTAGCCATGTTTGTTACAGCTATTGTTCAGTCATTTATGCTGCAGTATTACTTTCATTATTGCTATTTGCTGGGAATGAAAGTCAAGACCGCTTTATTGGGTCTTATATATGAGAAGGTAATACAAAAACACGGCATACATACAGGTATTTCCAGCTTTCTGAAAAAAAACCCTCAAAGGTTAACTCTAAACCTAAAACTCGCCTTTTGCGCCATCTTAAATACGCAGAATTAGATGTGATGCTTCTTTTACAAAGTTAAGCCTCTTTTTATAGCCGGATAAAGAGCTATACTTCAATGTCCTGGAAAGTGAAAAAAGAAAGTACTTAAATGAGTAAATGATATCTAATTTGTACACCGTATCAGAATGCAACAACTTCAACGTGCATCGACAAAGACGCAAAAGGAACACACTATATTCTGTCGGATTTAATCTCAGTTCATTATTTTATAGGCTCTTCTTCTTAACAATGCCTCTCGTCGCCAGTCCAGCGCGGGTGAGATGGTGAACTTAATGTCTGTTGACACGCAGCGCATTATGGACCTCGCCACGTACGTGAACATGCTGTGGTCCTCTCCACTTCAGATTATAGTCGCCATATATTTGTTGTCCGTTTCCATGGGAATGTCGATTCTTGCAGGAGTCGGTGTCTTAGTACTGATGATACCTGTGAACCTGATAGTTACCAGACAGTCACGTGTACAACAGGTAACATGACAGCTAACTTGTAGTAAGGAATCAAGTCTGTCTATCCATTGGGCTTGTTATGGCTAGTTCCCATACAGTCATATGGGTCATTCTGATCTTTAGGAAGATTGTTAATGCACTGTACTTTGTGTATTGTCTTCTTAGGTCAATCAATTGATAGAAAAAGACTCCCGCATCCTTATTATGAACGAGGTCCTGAGTGGCATTAAGGTAACGTGAACTGACGGCAACATAACAAGTGTGTGATTGTTAAAATGAGGACAAATAACGTTAAAAAGATGAATTTTAGAGAAGCGATAATATCACAGGGCTTATGAGAACCCGTCAGACGCTCGAAACCATTAAAACAAAAGCCTAAAAGGGTTTGGATGCGTGCAGGTCCATCGAACAACACAAGAAATAAAGGGCTAAACTTCAAGCTGCAACAAACACGAAGCACTATGAAAGGATTGGAAAGCAAAAGTTAGAAATATTTTGGATTTAGCCAGACTGATGATGATGATGATGATGATGATGCGACTGTATGTGACGCAGTTTACAGTTAGAGACGAGTTGTGAATGCCGTTCTTGTAAGAATAAATCTGAATTAAAATAGCTACGTAAGATTTATGTCACTGCCGGAGTTTTGTCACGCTCCTTATGGTTGTTTTTTTAGGTACTGAAGTTGTACGCGTGGGAAGAATCTTTTCTATCCAGAATAATCCATATAAGGAATAATGAACTACGATACCTCAGAAATGCATCCTGCTTTAACGCTGTCATTGAATTCACTTTCACCTGCGCTCCATTCTTGGTAAGGGTTTTTTCCTGTAATTTTTTTGAGCATCAACTCCCTCCGTAGAGTAGTAGTACTGATCTATCGTATGGTTTTGATGTAGTGATGGGGTTGGGGGTTGGGGATTGGAAGCGGTGATGGGCAACGCTTAAGATTCTAAGGTTGACCAGTATCTGATCAATACCTTTGAATACCCTACTACTAACATTTATTATACGGTGGAACCCCGTTAGTACGGTCACCAATGGGCCAAGAACATTTGACCGTATCAACGGGTGAGCGTGTTGACGAGGGTTTTTTTTCACAAGAAAATGTATGGCCGTTTTGCCCCTCGGGAGGCCAAACAAAGTGGCCGTGATAACGAGGTGACCGTATTACCGCGGTTATTAAAGACGTGGCCGTGAGGCCGGGTTTCACTGTACGTCTGTAGGTTAAGTTCACAGTGAGGGAGAGAAACTGTGATGCAATTAACAAATAATATTTACTGCTCTTTACAGGTGTCCTTTGCTACATTTGGGGTTTACATTCTAACTGGAAATGAGCTAACAGCTTCCAAGGCTTTCTTAGCAATGTCGTTGTTTAACATTATTAGATTCCCATTTACTATTCTTCCTTTCGCTGTCATCAGCTTTGTACAGGTGGGTTTCAGTTACTTAATCAGGCTATATGTTAAAACGGGAAACCTTATAAACTCCTGAACGAGTTCTTGAGATGATAAAAAAATACAGTCTGGAAGATTTAGATGAATTTAAGTTGAAACTTTGTTGGAAGGGTCGCATCTGCTGGATGAGTTGATATCAAACACGAGGAAGAGTGTTGTACGTGATCTCCCCACAATTAATGGAGGGTTAAGACCAGTGATATATACATAGGATTCAATTTCCTTCCCCTCCGTCTCTTTTTCCCTTGAAAAACAATCAAGTTTTAAACGTCGTAAAATAACTGATGTTTAACTCTTAGTAGCCTGAATTTCATCCGATTACTTCGAATCGTTATTACTCCCTCAGTAACGACGTTGCTGAGAGGAGAAAACGAATGGAAGGAATCGGATGAAATTCAGGCTAAACTCTTAGTTGCAGAGCGGTAAAAACACGAGACTGTTTTAGACTTACGTTTTTTTCTATACATAATTAGTAATGAAGTCATCTGCCTCACCCATCATATGACTTAGTTTGCTTTTTCTAATGAACTAATGTATTTGCAATCTTGTAATATTTTTTTACATTTCAGGCGCTTGTATCGATAAAACGCATCACAGAATTTCTGAACCTCGAGGAGGTGAATTCTGAGAGCGTTCAGAAGACTATGCCCTCAGAGAGTTAGTAACCGTTCTCCATTTCTTCTTTGTTTAAGTCTTTTAATAACTTAATCTTTTTCTTACTAAGTAATATTTTTTCCAATAGAAAAAGGATTAGCTATTCACGTGAAAAATGGGCTTTTCAGCTGGGATAAAGATGAGATGCCTATCCTTGAATAGTAAGAACTTATTTCTTATTACTTACCATTGACGGTAAATAAGCTCAAACTAATAACCGTCAAGTCAGACATGAAGGTAAATCACTCCTGAACGAGTTCTTGAGATGATAAAAAAATACAGTCTGGAAGATTTAGATGAATTTAAGTTGAAACTTTGTTGGAAGGGTCACATCTGCTGGATGAGTTGATATCAAACACGAGGAAGAGTGTTGTACGTGATCTCCCCACAATTAATGGAGGGTTAAGACCAGTGATATATACATAGGATTCAATTTCCTTCCCCTCCGTCTCTTTTTCCCTTGAAAAACAATCAAGTTTTAAACGTCGTAGAATAACTGATGTTTAACTCTTAGTAGCCTGAATTTCATCCGATTACTTCGAATCGTTATTACTCCCTCAGTAACGACGTTGCTGAGAGGAGAAAACGAATGGAAGGAATCGGATGAAATTCAGGCTAAACTCTTAGTTGCAGAACGGTAAAAACACGAGACTGTTTTAGACTTACGTTTTTTTCTATACATAATTATTTGTAAATAAGCTCAAACTAATAACCGTCAAGTCAGACATGAAGGTAAATCACTTTTCCCTTAAATTTAGTTTGATTTCGGAATTTGTTTAGTATTTTTAACCCTTTTGGTGCACGAGGATGGCATTTACCCATTAACGTTTTTAGATCAGACAGGTTGTAACTATGGATTGTAACAATCTTTCTAGCATCAATCTGGACATTCCTGTGGCGTTTCTTGTAGCAGTTGTTGGTCCTGTAGGAAGTGGAAAATCTTCTTTGTTGTCTGCATTCCTCGGTGAAACAGAAAAACTGGAAGGAGTGGCTGCTATGGAGGTCAGAATATTAAACAGCGTTAAAAAAAAATGAAAATTTTGTTTCATTTATAAGTAACTTTATCATCTTTTGAGAGATATTTTCCTCTGACTTTTGATTCTCTCTTAAAGTGTGTTTTCGATTGTTCTCTTTTTCATATAGAGTTTCTGTGGTAACCGCAGTTCAATGACGTTTTTTTAGAGTGATTTTTTGTTGACATTTATGAGTTTTGTGGAAAGTGGCCCAGTCACTTATCCAAATTACCCTACAACGCAGAAGTTATATAATTTTTATGTAATGACATAATTTGACCCAGTGTTTATTTACAGGGTTCTGTGGCTTATGTTTCTCAACAAGTGTGGATGCAAAATTCTACCTTAAGAAACAACATAACGTTTGGGAAACCTTTTAACTCACGTATGTACCAGAAAGTGATTGACTCTTGTGCTCTTGAGGCAGATTTAGAGATTCTTCCTGGTGGTGACATGACAGAGATCGGAGAAAGAGTAAGAATACCATCGTTCTTTTAAGCTTTTTTCTTTGTGGATGTACGAATAATATTTATTATCCTGAGAACAATGTTGACTTAACAAGCCCTTTTGCTCTTGTTTGGTCTCCAGCTTCATTGTTATGTCATGTATTAAAATACGTTCATAGGTATACTTTATTAAGCATCCCTAAAAAGGGCTTTTCAGCGTGAAAATAAAAATAAATTAAATGGATGAATAAATTAATAATTCAATGAATTAATTTAAAAAAACTATGTACAACTATAACTAAAAAGTAAGTATGTACAAACGTCATCATCATCTAACCTAGTCCATGTTACAAATCAGTTCATTGATTAGACGTCTCTAAAAATTCTAGTATTTATGATTTCCGACTCAACGCGCCTTTTATTACAGTGGTGTGAAAATACGGAATAATTCTACAAGATGGAATATTGAGGCCATCTCTATATCTTGTCTGTCTATCTTTTTAATAGTAACTTCATTGAAACCAAGACTAGTTAAGCTGTTAATTCTGTATCTGTAATAATTTATTAATGACTAAGTCTTCTGATTCAGACCAGAATTCCATTCCAGAATAAATGTCATTGAGGCTTCAAGAAAAAATAGCGCATCAATTACTCCAAATGACAGCAATATTGGTCGAGTCAGTAAAGTGCAAAAAAAGGGTTAGCATTAATCACATCCATAGAAACTAAGATGCTAAAATCTAATTAATGACATAAAAGTTGCTACGTGAAGGATACAACACCTATTTCGCAAGGGAAATTTTTCCATGGAGACATTACCAGTTGCGAGTAAACATTTATTACACCAAAATATTGCCAGGTGCGTCAAGGTCATACGTATCAATCATCTTTTCAAAATCAAAGTCAAACTTTTGAGTACGACATCAATGTATAATAGAAACCGTATGATGCGTTGCTTATCAATCTCTTCTGTTCAGGGAATTAACCTTAGTGGAGGACAAAGACAGCGTATCAGCCTGGCACGTGCTGTGTATTCTAACGCTGATATCTACTTGTTTGATGATCCCCTCAGTGCAGTGGACTCACAAGTGGGAAAACATATCTTTGATCACGTTATCGGTCCTAGGGGAACTTTACGAAATAAGGTTTGCTTTGCTATTTTACTCGCTTTTTCTTCTGCCTTTTGTCTTCATTGGTAATTTATGATATCAATGTAGCTCATACGGTACTTTGTTTGCATGATGGAACGACTTATTTAAAATGGATAAATTTCATCGCTGGCTTTCCCTATATTCAAAGCATATCTTAACCTTATGTCGACTAACTCGTCGGGCCCATTTCAACTGGTCCTTCGATACGGTAAAATTGTGTTTATTTCTCTTACGACGTCATAATTCATCAAAACGGCCATCTTGACAGGAGCCGATTACTTAACCCGATTACGTAATCGGCTCCTGATCTTGATTAGTGCACCATTTTTAAAAATCACCAATGTGGAATCAAAATCTATGAAAATAAATCATACTAAATTCTGCAATCATTTTTTTGTTAATTGTACGATTGTAGTTAAAACTTAAACGGTCATTATTCATGCGCGAATATAATTGGGAATTCAGTGGTACTAGTCGCGCTTAGGACTTAGATATTAGTAGTGGGCGTGTATTAGTTTGACTGTTAGCAATGTTTTTGAAGCTGTAGAAGTTAAAACTCTACAGGTTACAGTGTGTCCCAAAAGTTCTTTCATGCACTGTATAACTTTTGATCAAAACTTTATTTTCCATGAAATTTCAAGAAGATGTTTATTTCTCTATCGAGTACATGTATTCAGAATTTCAGTAACTGACATGCACTGTGTTTTTTTTATCGCATTCTGTAGCCGTTGTAGCATGAAGTGGGATACAGCATGTACACCCACAGATGATCTATTTTGAGCTTTTTTATCACCCGGTCCGCAGGAGCTAGTTCAACCTCCAAACATTATTTATTTAGTTTAGGCAGCTAAAAAAAATATATTTTGGGCATTCATACATAAAATATAATCATCCCGGCCCCCTTCCACAGCAAGGCTTTTGTACTTCTATATAAATTTGTGACGAACTACGCGTTACTTGGCAGACTAAGCAGAGGCCATCTGCCATCTCATAGGCCTCTAATTTTAAACATTTTGAACAGCTTTTCATGACCCTTTCTGGACTTCTCTTGCTAACGACGTGAGAACTTCCTCGTCGAATCTCCTATTTTGTATCTTGCCTTCTTTAAAACTATTTTAGCTGCTTTATTCAGGACTATTTGTCTTCCCCATCGTTTCATGCCTTCAAAACCTTTATTTCTCCTTGATAATTTTACCACACAACATTGGGATTTTTCCAGTTTTTTAGCGGTTTCTACAACAGATGAGCAAGTAAATCGAAGCATACATGCTTATGCTCTCATGTAGCTGAACGTTTTTGCGTTAAGGGGGTTTAACATGTGGCTGGAAAATACACTCGCGCATGCGCAGCTTTGGCGCGGAAGTAAACAAATCGAATATTCCAGTCAAAAGATAGCACAACAAGTATGAAAATAGTGATTTAGATTGAAAGACACAACTTTTGTTTAAATGATTTGCTTACCAAGCCCAATTGTACTGAAATACAGACTTATAAAGAAGAGGAACGAACTTTTGGGATACACTGTGTTTCTGTGCCTCCTGTCTGAATTGTGTCCCATATTTTTGTTTTAATTTTTCATCAGACACGTGTCCTGGTTACTCACAACATCAGCTTCCTTCCTCAAGTTGATCGAATTATTGTACTTAAAGGAGGAACAATCTCAGAGGTACAAATATTGCCTTTAAACCTTATTTATTATCTAATTAACCATTGTAGGGTGATGTTCGCATTTCGTTAATAACTAAACTCTTTCTTTAGGAGGGTACATACAAAGAGCTCTTATCAAGTGATGGGGAATTTGCTGATTTCGTTAACTTATTCACCGCCAGGCAACAACAGCAAGAGCAAGGTAACTTCGTCTACTAGTGATGTCTTACATGTCTAAAGAGATTACTATTGTTAATGTAAACTTATTTCAAGTCTAATCCGACACTATCGCCCAGCAAACTGATCCAGCATTTACAAACAACAAGTTGGGCAAAAATGTTGGCGCCGTTTCAACACCTAAAAGTTTTCCAAGGTCAAGATTTGACCATTTCGCAGATAACGTACATACATTACATTTTTCTTTGCAGAGGAGCGTCGAGTGAGAGGTTACACTTTTTTGGAAAAAATCGAAGAATCAGAAAATGAAGAAGAAATAGACACCGAGGACAATATAACAAAGGATCCGGCAGGTAAAAAGTTTAGGCCAGCATGTTTCTGCAATAGTGCTCTGATTCAACGCACAACTTTACCAGTTTACAGTACTAATTAAAAGAAAAGTGCGCATGTCCGCTTCCGACAGATAAACCATCTTATCGATATATTTATTTTCAGACGATGGTCGTAAACGATCCGAGGGACCCCAAGAAAGATTGACAAAATTCGAGGAGGGCCTTGAGTTATCCAGAGTGAGACTGAGATCAACAACTTTACCTTCTAAATGGGAGGCAAACAAGAACGAAGTCAGCAGGAAAACGTCTGTCCCTGGTACATTATGTCATAGCACTGAGATCACAACTGTTTTCTTTCTTAGAGTTACTTTAATTTGTAGCTTTTCACTTGTAAAACGTATCTGCCTTGTACCCTTTAAATCCGACGTAACTTTTAAACGAAAGCTTGAAATGAACTCGCACATGTTATATGTTTCTGATTCCTATAAAACCAATGACACCGATTTTTTGTTGTGTAAAAAATGGAAAATCAATTTAACCTTATACCATTTGATGTTAATGTTTAGAATTTTTTCAAACCACTCAATTTTCAAGTTTATTTCCGTAATTTAGAGGGGACTTAACAAACTGCTCTGCCTCAACTAAACCTGTTTTATCTTTTCATAAAGGAATATTTTCCATTTGTCGTTATGCAGATAAAGGTTTAGATCGTCATCGATCACGAACGACGTTAGAACCGACGCCCCAAATGGAATTCACAGACGGTGGATATGGACTGCGACTTTGGTGTTCACAGAATACCGCTGATAATAACCATGTCCAAAGAATGAGGAAAATCAGCGACATACGAGGCGTATCTCCTCGAATGAGATCAGACACGGTTTTTTCCACTATGAGTTTTCTAGAAATTGAAAGTATGGAATTTATTAAAAGAGCAAGAGCTGAAAGTCTTCTCTCGGTGATAACCTCTGATAATGGAAACGTCGACTTTTGTGCCTCTTCCCAGCGTTATGATACTTTGGCCGACATGATGACAACAAAGGAAGAAGCAGAAATCGGAGGGGTAAGGATTTGTTAAATTTTTCAAGGTCAAACCCCAGCAATTAATGCACAAACCAAAAGGTTTCATTCCTGAACAAATGGCACTGGTGTTGTTGCACTGATCTTCAAAATGTATTTCTATTAACAGGTAAAACTGACTGTATTTTGGCGTTACTTCAAATCCATGTCAGTTTGTCTCTTTGGAGCCTTTTTTCTTTGCTTACTGTTCGCCGAATGTTGGTCAGTGGCAGCACGTATGTGGCTTGCGCACTGGAGCAGCACATCAACTGAGGCCAACTCGACATCACAACAACCGCATGAGCTTGGAATATACGGTGGACTTGGCTTGTCTCAGGCGGTGTTTGTTCTACTAGCGTGTTTCATGCAAGCTTTTGGCTCAGTCATGGCATCTCGTAGTCTTCACAACGGATTGCTTACTAACATTCTTCACTCTCCTATGACGTTTTTTGAGTCTAATCCTCTTGGAAGGATCATTAATCGTTTTTCTAAAGACATGGAAATGGTAGATGATCTTGTTCCAAGAACATTGATCACATTTCTTCGGAGCATCTTAGAGTTGTCTGCAGTGTTGTTTATCATTAGTTATGTTACTCCACTTTTCCTATCCGTCATCCTTCCACTAGGAATCCTCTACACGTTTATTCAGGTAAGAGTCTTATTACGTATATGGAAACAATGCGTTGCATGCTGGACAATTAAAAGGTAAAGGCGAACTCCAACGTCCTAAAGGCATTACTGGGGATCAGATTGCATTATTATTTAAGAACTAACAATAAAAATAATACCATCTACAGACTATGAAGCCCCGCATGAATACGTTAGATAGTCTGATAGCTAACATCGCTTTTAAAATTGTTTTAGCGAATGTTTATGCAAACTGCTCGTCAGTTGAGAAGAATGGAATCAGTGAAGAGATCACCTATCTACAGTCACTTCTTTGAAACTTTGAATGGCGTAAGTACCATCAGAGCTTACTCACAAGAACAGCGCTTCATACAGGAGAACTTTGCCAAAGTGGATGAAAATCAAATGGCTTATTATCCCTACTGCATTTCTGATAGGTGAGGTTGTCATGTCAGTTTTAAGAGTTTGACCCAATTTAAAATTACGACAATAAAACAGCACTATGTATGATGTATTACCTACCCTATCAGTGGCTTCTTTGTTATAATGACTAGCATTTTTTCATTTTTCATGAACCAATAATTCAGAGAGACATCTTTTGTTACCGAGACAGTTACCGAACAACCGTAGGGTAAAACGAAATAAGATGACTAGAAAATTCTCATATAAGGCGTAGCACTTAGTTTCCATTAGACAAAGTCAAGTTCATATCATTTCATGAACAAAGAGTGTCATAAATTTGAAAAGTTCTCAGACGTTTCGGCCTTACATCTTCTTAAAGAGACAATGTTGAAGACAACGGCGACAAGAAATCGTTCATCAGACGTCATTTTGCAGCAAAACCAGTGTTGGCGTAGCGAAATGTAGGCTAGCTGTTTTCTCAGGCGTAGTCTCCACGCTACGTCATGCCATGCTGGTGAATTATGTTTCACTGAATTCTTCGTTTCACTGATATGACATGTAGGTCCTTTTTGAAAATATGACTGATTCACTTATGAGTGTTGTTCACTCTATTACTTGTCTTACTTTATAGAACTAAATGGAATTATGATGTTTGATTGTGCTCTTTTGTTGTATTTTTGTTGGTTTTCATCTCATTATTAGGTGGCTCCAGTTGCGGTTAGAATTTATTGGAAGTTGTGTGATTCTTTTTGCTGCACTTTTCGCCGTGATCAGTCGAGATAAGATTGATAGCGGTATGGCTGGATTGTCTATAGTGTACGCTCTACAGGTAAGAAATCCATCTGACTTTGAGATCGTAATATATTTACCTTACCGTGAAATGCGTTTTAAAAACAATCCTCCTACGAAGTATGTTTCTCTGTTCAGGTACAAGAGCCACCGAAAGGTTGATTTACAAAGTTTCGCTATAGCTTAGTTACAAAAGCCACGGTAAATAGAAACTGACATTTTGGATTTAAGTGCTCCGCAGTTTCAGTCTTTCCCTATACGTAAAATTCCACCCTAAAATCCTATCGAATGAAATAAGTGTATAGGACTTTTACAGCCGTATACGGCCGTTTGCTTAGTAAATCGATGATAAGTTATGACTGATTTTGCACTTTTGAGTTCGTGTGCTTAAGATAATCAAGGAATATTCATCGCTTTCTTGTGCGTGTTACAGATTACAGTTAATCTTAACTCCATGGTTCGTAGACGAAGCCAGCTGGAATCTAGCATTGTTTCTGTGGAGCGTGTTAAAGAATATTCTGAGACTCCTACAGAGGTTAGTACATATTTTAAATGAATCAATGAAGACTATTTAAAATGCAGTATTACAGCCTCGTAATGTAGATATACAGTAAGAAAATAATTACATGCTCTGTCCCATGCTCGTGACATGTTGATCACTTCATTTCTCATTTCTTCACCGAGCTTAAAATTTACAATCTTTCTTTATTTATCACACGCATGACGATTTCGACATTGCCGATCATAGCAGTATACGCAAGACGCATGTCATACATGAACCTTGTTTATGGCCCAGCTCGCTACGAGTCCTTCATATAGCAGTGGTCAGAGCGTCTGATCGGTGTACGAAAGGTCACCGAGTCTCAATTGCTGTCGGGGACTCAGAGTTTTTGTTTGTCCCATGCTCGTGACATGTTGATCATATCATTTCTCATTTCTTCACCGAGCTTAAAATTTACCATTTTTCGTTCATTTTTGAGGATGACATTCCTTTAAAGTGAGAGCCGCGCCCTTGTACCAGTCATGCTAGTACAGTACAGTACAGTACAGTACAGTTAAAATGCTCCAGACGGTAAACCTGTTACCTTGGAGTTGCAGTGGCGACTACACGGTCGACCAGTGCAGTAAACCACTCTTATCTTGTTTAGACCTCTTTGCCTGCTCAATGGAGAAATTTAATAATTTAGCGGTGTTTATCCAAGGGTCCCGTTTGTATGGACGCCTAGACTTCGCAAACAGCATCTTCCTTATCAGCGTAGTGTTTGGACAGCGGCAAAGACGTCGTATTACGTTTGAGACCAACAGCACTTCTGCTGCTGCCATTTTAGGCGTTTTTTTTTTCAGCTTGTCTTCTTTTGGCGTAAACTAAGGAGCAACTCATTTATCACTTGCTCAGAGGCGTCTGCCGTAAAGAGGTTTACAACATGACATTTTAAGTGCTAATCCAAACCCTGACTGTAACCACCGGAATCTAACCCAGGATCTCTGCCATGATCTTTATAGGGAGTTTTAGAACCTTTTACCGTGCTTAATGAAAAAAATCAACCTCTTTAAATTTCTGAACGCTGCAGACCATGGATATTCTATAACACATGAGCGTGTTTTAATTTCAGGCCGCGTGGATTATTCCAGACATTCGTCCACCGAACGACTGGCCTCAAAGCGGAAGCATCGTCTTTCAAGACTTTGATCTAAAATACAGACAGGGATGTCCACTTGTACTAAAAAATGTTAACTGTATCATTCATCCGGGGGAAAAGGTTAGCTTCATCCGCTGTCATAACGTTAATTGCCCATCCTGTTCGCATAAAATCTTAATCCTATCATTGAAAGTGCTTGAGAGGTTTTTTGGAAACTTTCCTTGAGTTTTGTTTCCTTAGTAATTAATCTTTTCTTGTACTTGTTTTTGTTCAATCATATTCTTTATTGTAACTATTCTTTAAAGCCTGTTAGAGAGTGCTCACAGAAACTAATCAGTTTATTGTCTACTGTTTTGCCTCTTTTTAGATCGGTATTGTGGGGCGAACAGGAGCTGGAAAATCAACTTTAACTCAAGCCTTATTTCGTATCTTGGAGCGAGCTGGTGGCAAAATCGTTATTGACCAACTCGACATCACGACAATTGGGCTGCACGATCTTCGTCAACGACTCACCATTATTCCACAGGTCAGTTTGCTTGCGCATGCGTGCGGCTTAACCTGAGTAGGTAGTGACGCTAACAGCAAGTCATGGCAACTTTTAAAACAAAACCAGAAACGACTTTAATTGCATAAAAGGGTTGATATCTTACCAGGATAATAAAACTGAGAGTTTTATGGATGTGAGTCGGTTAGTGACAGCTCTACTTCTTGATGTGGTGTTATACGTCATTACACACTTCAAATTCAATCCTGTTTTTCCCTTAAATAATCTATTTTTTCCCTGGGCCCACGAGGGCTTTATGTCCACATTCCAACTTGACCTCAGAAGGAACGGGGAAAGGGTCATTTAACTTTTAACTATAACGAATTGTTTCCGCGCAGGATCCCGTGTTGTTTTCTGGGACTCTTCGGCTTAATCTGGATCCATTCAGTAGACACACAGATGAGGAACTGTGGCAGGCAATTGAAGCAAGTCACCTTAAAGAACTCGCATCAGAAACAGAGAATGGGTTACAGTTCCCCATCATTGAAGGAGGAGACAATCTAAGGTGGCAAACAAATCTCAGCATACAATCTCTCCGTTTTTTCAACAAACCGGTGTTTTTTAAGACATTGAATACAAAACCCCACAAAGGATGATCTCATGTAGTGGCATTACAGACACTTTATTCATCCCACTGATAAACAATTGCAAAGCAGCAGTTACATAGCCGGTCTGTCCCTATCAAATATAAGAATATGTTACACATTCATCTTGTCCAGAAAGATGAACACCATTTGATATTGTTATAAAACTAAATACAAATCACAAAGGAGTGACTCTTAAAAAAATACACCTAATTTTCACCTTCACAATTTTGTGTTGAAAGTTGTTCTGAATGCATGAAGATTTTGAAGTTGTTTTCGCAAGTCATCTGTGGCATAATCGTTATTTATCAAAATGTGTGACTGCACCGATGTTTTTTTAAACTTTCAGTGTGGGTCAGCGACAGTTGGTTTGTTTGGCAAGAGCTCTTCTACGTAAAGGAAAAATTCTGGTCCTTGATGAAGCCACATCCGCAGTTGACATGGAAACTGACGAACTCATTCAACAGACAATTCGGCGGGAGTTCGCTGACCGTACCGTGTTTACAATTGCTCACAGGCTCAACACCATCATGGACTATACCAGGTAAATGCAGTTGTTGTTCATATGTGATTTGTGAGAGAATGTCACTGTGCGAGAAATATTTCAGCTACTATAAAACTTCGTGAGCTTATCTATTATTTTGATCTTGAAAACGTGAACGGGTAGTTTCATTGTTTGCTTTTGTCAGTGTGACCGCTCCCCTGAAATTTAAGTCAAGTTCATAGTCTCCTAGCTCTTATTTTGATGACATTATTTTGATTTGTATTCCCAGGATTATGGTTCTTGACAAAGGATTTGTGGTAGAATTCGATACACCCATTAATCTGCTGGCTCAAAAAGGAATTTTTTACAGCATGGCACAGGAGGCAGGGATTGCTTGAATCTTTTGACGGCAAAGGAAAGCGTTGAGACTTTTGAGAAATAACGACACCTAACATATCAGGGGCACCCAACGAGAATATAGTTCAAAACCACTTAAACCTAGAATTGTTAAACGTATTTTAGTATTTCAACGGTAGATATAGGCATATTTTTATCCCCTAAAAATTTTCCATCTGTTCGGATTTCCTAGCTGAAAGTTAAGTGATACGAAAATTATAGGGATAAAAACTTACCTTTTCGAAACTTTTAGCCAGAAAAAAGGCTCCCGAAAATTCCAGGTGACCTTTTTAGGGTAAAAATCCGTTAAAAATAGGCAATTATACCATTTTTTAGATGTCCGAAAATCCTAGGAGAGGCAGGCAAGCAAGAAATTTTACAAAAAATGTTCCGAAAATTCTAGATCTCAAATCGTCTTCCGAACAGATATTTTTCCGAAAATTGTCGTTGAGTGCCCCTGACATATAATATGTTCTTTTTTCAAGAGGCTTCTAATTCTTCTTTTCGTTTTCTGGTGACCCGCCCAACCGACAAACGATCTCGATCACTGGTCTCAGTTAACTTTGCTGAAATAGGTTTGGGCCAAAGCTTAAGAGCGAATCATATTATTATTAAATTGCTGTAATTTGTGGTTTGTAAGTTAGAAAAATGTATTGCAGGGTAAAGATAGAACAACTGTTGAAAAACATGTAACACATCTGTAACATCTAAAATAAGCTATAAGCTTGTGCAAAGTGGTTCAATAAAAATTATCTTGTCATTGTCATTATCATTTTTACTTATTTTCAGGCTGTACTTTTTTCATTTTACCTGCCTGACCATCAGGGCATTGATTTTCGTTTGGTTTAATAATTTCAACAACGCTTCAAAATTCTTGCTTTTTTGAGACCAATCCGGTTACCATTGAACTGGTTAATAATTTAATGATTGTTTATCAGCTTACCACTCTTACCAACTACTTTTAAAATTTGAGCAGTACATAAATAACGAACACATGCCAGTTGACAAAGTAGATGTAAGTGAGCCTGTATTGGGGTGCAAGATTGTCTTAACCAACTAGCGTTGACCAAATATGGAAGATGTTTGTGATATCCGATAAAATGACGTCAGTAGTAAAGGCTATTGCCACAAAAAGGGGACGGCAACCAAGAAGCCATTAGGACGAGGTTACGGATGACAACGCAACAAGAAGAATATCGCTCTATATCCTGAATTTGCTGAGCAACAGGCAAATGTAGACGGGAACCTAACGTCAATTGAGGTAAACATTCTTGAAAGGAAGAATTTTTGAAATAATAATAATAATAATAATAATAATAATAATAATAATAGTAATAATAATAATAGCATTGGCCTCTATCAGAGTTAAGAGATGTGGACAGAGCAGCTCGGAAGATCATAGTTGAGAACGGTGGCAAGCACCCAGCTAGCCTGACTTCTTTGTTATATCTACCGAGGGAGAAAGGGGGTAGAGGCCTGCGATCAGTCGAACACGAGTACAAGATCACTAAAATCAAATCGCTACTGAAACTGTATCAGAACCCGGACCCGACTGTGGAAGCAGTTAGAGAATTTGAAGAACACGCCATGGCATCAGGCCACCAGTCGCTCGTAAAGGAAGCAGCTAAGTACGCTGAAGAACTCAACATCACCCTTCAGCTTGATACCCTAAATCCCGTGTGTGTTACAACAGATGGAAAGGTGGTAACTGCAGCAAGAGCTGGGAATCTGTTGAAGCAATCTCAAGAGAAGCAGTTCTTGGAGAGCGCTAAAGACAAAAAGTGGCAAGGAAAGTTATTCCGTATCAGATGGGAAGATGAGAGCCTAAGCACAGCCAGCTGCTTTGCATGGTTAAAAGGTTGGGCTACATGCCCTACACATACCATCGCGGGCATGTATGAACTGTATGAGCAGTTGTTACCTACGAAGCTCTACACAAAGGAGAAGACGCAAACCTCCACCGACGGCGAAGTTCTGTGCAGGTTATGTGGGAAGGTAGCTGAGAGCGTTGCACATGTACTGGCTGGATGTTCCTCCCTGGCACAAACCAAGTACCTATACAGGCATAATGCAGCTTTGAAGATTCTGTTTTTTGAGCTCCTGCGAGAGCATGGGTTAATGGAAGAGGTTCCACCATGGTACTCACCGGTGATGCCAAAACCAGCCTACCAGAACACCACGAGTGAGGCGTTTTGGGATATTCCCATCTATGCAGAGCACAACGAAGTTAGAGCAAATCGGATCGACGCGCGACTTGTCAACCACGAGAGGAAAGAAGTCTGCACAATTGAAATGAGCTGCCCATGGATTGAGAGTAGAGCTAAGAAAGATGAGGAAAAGACACTCAAGTATGGGCCCATGATGTGGGAGCTGAAGCAGAGATACAATGGTTACAGGGTTGAACAGTTCAACGTAATAATTGACGTACTGGGGGGTTACTCTAAACACCTAGAGAAGTCGGTGAGGAAGCTACTTGGAGCGAGAGCACGGAGCGTACTTGAGCGAATGCAGAAGTCGGTCATCTCAAACACTTTAAACATTGCCAGAACATTTAAGATAAATACTTAGTTAGGGCGCTATGGACTTCAGTTTTTAGGTTTTTGTTTTTTCTCAAGAAATCTAGAAACACAAGCTTGCTGACGTTTTTATTTAGATTTTTTAGAACATTAGAGTGTGATATTATTATAAATATGTTTTTAGTAGAGATAGCGAAGGTTTTACAGAGTATCAGAATTTAATAATATTCTAAATTGGCTTTTTAAGTAGAGAGATTTATATCACTATGTATAAGCTTTTAGTAGAGATAGCGAAGGTTTTACAGAGTATCAGAATTTAATAATATTCTAATTTGGCTTTTTAAGTAGAGAGATTCATATCACTATGTATTTTAGGATTGTATTAGGTTTCGTATCGACCTTTTTTTACTTCTAAGTATAGCTTCTCAAGTGGTGTAGGTTACGCTGTGCGCCCTATACTACTCATAATGTGGACAGCATTCCAAAGTTTCATACTGCGACATAATAATAATAATAATAATAATAATAATAATAATAATAAGTCAATGAAAGAAGAAAAGTGGAAAAACAAAGCATTGCATGGCCAGTATCCAAAGATCCTAGAGAAGCCTCATGTAGACACAGTCACCACCAACAAATGGTTGTCAAGTAATTTGAAAGGAGAAACAGAGGGACTTCTTGTTGCAGCTCAAGACCAGGCAATAAACACCAGAAACTACCAGAAAGTAATATGTGGACAGCAAGTGGAGAGCAAATGCAGATTGTGTTCGCAACATGAAGAGACAGTGGACCATATTGTATCTGGATGTGAGGTATTAGCCAAAACAGAGTACATCTCCAGGCACAATAATGCTGCAGCATATCTCCATTGGAGCATATGTAAAGATCATGATATGGAGATTACAGAGAAATGGTACGAACACGAACCAGAGACCGTGATACACAATAAAGATAACAACATCACCATCATGTGGGACATGCCAGTCAATACTGATAGAACTATAACAGCGAACAGACCAGATATCATCGTATCAGATAGAAACATCGCACTGAAGGAAACTGAAAAAAAATGCAAGTACAAAGACCTAGAACTAGAAATACAGAGAATGTGGCATATGAAAACAGTAGTGATCCCTGTGGTTGTTGGTGCGCTTGGTACGGTGAAGAAGGGTATGGTAGAAAACATCAAGAAAGTATCAGAAAGAGCTAATATGACAGAGATTCAAAAGATCTGCATGCTGGGATCTGCACGAATCCTCAGAAAGGTGCTCAGTGTATGAACAGAATGATTGACTTGAGTGACTGACGCTCTAGGTGCATGGTTTGCGCCCGGCTGATGCACAAAAAGAACACCAGCAAAGAATGTGATAATAGAGACAATAATAATAATAATAATAATAATAATAATAATAATAATAATAATAATAATAATAATAATAATAATAATAATAATAATAATAATAATAATAATAATAATAATAATAATAATAATAATAATAATATTGGATTTGCCTTTCGTATGATTTGAAGAATTATACATATCTCTGAGGGTGTTATCCAGCGAGGCCGAATCATACTTAGTCTCATCCAATAATTTTTAATTAATCATTGTTAAGTTAATATATGAATATTCGTCACTCGAGATTTTTATTCAGCCTTCGTTTAATGCATTGTTTGTAGCCGAAATGATAAACCAGTGTGTTCTGTCAGGGTCACGTCAATCTATTTCACGTGTATTATTAAGACTAAGTAGCCTAGCCTGCTTAATGTGTTTACTTAGCGTAATGTACAATGGACATGTGAATCCTTTCCACGCGTTCAATTCTGATCATGAATATAGTTAATTTAGTCAGTTATAAAAAATCATCGAGGGAGCGTCCTACTAGTACTTTTCTATTTTTACTTTCCTTTTCAGTTTAGGCTACATTAAGAACGGATGTTTTTTACAATTTTTTTGACTGTATTGTGGACATTTTAGGACGCGAGGTAGTACATACCTAAAGCCGGTAGTGTCTTTTAAAGTAAAAGGTGTGCCTTTTTATTCTTTGTTTTCGTTAATCCTTTAATTTTCTTTTTTCTTTCCTACTTCTAGACAATTATTTCAAATAGATTTGGTTACATACTAAAATGTTTGCAAATTTCAACGGTTAATTAGAAAGTGTTATAGGACAGGGTTTCTTTACAATGGCAGATAAGGAAAAAGTCACACTTTCACTCGAAGATAAAGCCAACATGGAATCTAAGAGCCTGTTTGCATGAAGGTGGGGGACCCCGGGTAGGTGAGGTAACATGTGGCGGGTTACCCCACCTAACATGTAAACGTGATCAAATTAAAATGAGAGATTGTATGGACAGGCGGGTTACCCCAGCTAAGCAGGTTACCTCGCTTACCTGCGGTCCCCCACCTCCATGTAAACATACCCTAAAAGTAACGTAAACCAGGCATGGAAGTGAGGACAATGCAACTGAGCTCACAAAACGATGACTCGGAGTTGCCAGAGTTTGAAGAAAAAAGCAAATAAACCGCATCAATCATCACTGGTGCAGTGGGCACCACATTTTGCAAACCTTTAGATATTGTGATTTGTGGGTTTAACCTGGAATTGTTTATAAATTTTTGATCTTGTCGCTTGCTTACTTTTAATGTTTTAAATTATTATCAGGATCATGGTTCTTGACAAAGGAATGATGGTGGAGTTGACACTCCTGTTAATTTGTTGGCTCATAAAGGAATCTTTTAAAGCATGGCAAAGGGGGCGGGGATAGTATAAACCTGGCTCTGACAGCAAAAACGCCTGTCAATGTTATCTTACAAGACTTGACGTTTTGGACCGTTCTGATATCCACAACATCGAAATAAACACAGATTTAACAACATTCAAACCGTCGTTGTGCCCTAGCTTTTTCGCGATCGCGCGCTTCTGTGCCGGAGTAGGTTGTCATTATCTAAAGTGTGAAAACAAATAAAGAGAAGGAAAGAATGTAGTCTGATATAATTCATTAAACGTTATGTTAAGCCTTTCTTGAAAGAATTGCCAAGGGCCAAAGAGTAACGTCTCAGAAGCCATGCGCATGAGTAAATTACTGCACGAAATACTAACTCAGAGCTCAAAGCAAAATGGAAGAGTATTGTGTAACAGGACGGGGCAGTCCGGCAGCGGCAGGAACGAGAAGGATTCAAGGATTTTTCCAAAGCAATTTATTTGAAACTCAAATCCATCAGCAATACAGCAACAATAAAATAAAACAAAATAAAATAAACGGGAACTACTGAAAGATTAAACCTTGCTAGAAGCAAGTTCGCTTGTTAACTTTACAGCTGCTGTAGTTTCTTCAGTAACGTCCAAACTCAACTGAATTACGGCTAAAACGTGCCTCTACTTATACCAAAGTGTCAAATAATTTTGCACGCGGCAAACAGTAAAAGGTGTGTTGCCAAACCACACTAAAACAGAACGCCAGGATTTCCTTAGGTTAATCCTACTAACTTAAAAAGATAAGGTCAATTAAATGATTAAAATAATCTACCAAAAAGAAAAACCACGAAAAGCTAATATCCGCTAAGGCATTTAGGCAATAAGATGTGGGTTTGTGGGCACACGTACTATCATTCCTCAGCGATACACAAGCTTGCTAAATCAAACCCGGAAATTCCTAAGCGCAAAAATATTAGAAGTAAAATAATAGAAAAGTAGTATATTTCTTGATGTAACGAAAAGTAGTGAAATTCTAGGTCTAGTGACCCTGTCACAATTGCAACCGATCACCCGGAAACCCCGGCCACAGGTTCTAGTCCTTAGTGACGACATGGGAACTCGGAAGCTCCTTTTTTCTGATCTTCTGGAGTTTTTATAATCTCAAACATTATTACTCTACATTTTGTCTGCTTACACATGCCTTTCCAATCACAATACAATGCAATACAATAGATTAATTTCATATTATCGGTGGAAAATGCGCTTTTTAGGGTACCTCCATACAGGTATTCACTTCAGGAAGCCAATATAAAGTCATTATCGATGACATATTCAAGCTCCTTCCGCTGAATATTGGTACAATTATAACTGAGAATTAAAATTAGCTTTTGAACTAATGGCCGGTGTGCTTCTTGGATTTTCAAAACGTGTGACATATTCTGTGAACTGGACCTTCTCGTGACGTTCTCGTAATCTCAAAATTTACTGTAGGAGTTGAAAACTGGACAAACACTTTTTTCTGTAAAAAAAAAAATGGATTAATAATGGCATCTCGCGCACAAATTGAACGATGTTAAGTTTGACATCAGTCGACTTTCACAGTTAATAAACAATTCTGTGTTGTAGTCTGTAAGGAGGTAGATCTGTGTATTCCGAGTCATTTGAACATGGGCATTAACCGACCAAGCCATAAGCCCTTATATCAACTTCATATTTCCTCAAGCGTGCACAGGTATATATACAGCATTCAGAAAGTATACAATACAATATCTTTAACCTCGTCCGAAAACGATGCGAAATAGAAGCACAACTATAATCATTCTTACCAAAACATTTGCCGTATATTGCCCACCTTACATGTAGGACACATCACAGATTGTTACTACAAAGTTGAAGGATTTTTCCGGCCATCTGTAGTATAAGACAAGGGCTTTTTAACATGGACGTTCAAACTACCTGTAGGCGAATTAATCCATCTCAGATTTCCGAAGGTAAGTTTTTATTTATTTAAAATCTGACTTGTAACAAATTTCGTCACTGCCCTGCGTCCTTCAATAAGACGTATACCGAGCGATAGCAGCGCAGAAGTTTTAAAAGTATCATGACATAAATGTATTGTAACTTTTCAACCTTTGTTAAAGGCGGCTAAACAGTAAATCAACGAAATCGGAATTCAAAAAATAAATAAATGTTGCTGTCTCTGTGGAGGATCCAGCCGGTAGTCTCTCCGGGAGGTATTTTTTTGCACAGGGCTCCCCTTAGTTTCGTAATTTAGCTTCATTCATGCCGTAGCGTGACAGAACACCGTGACAGGTAAAGTGTCATGCGCGACAGTCACACCAGTGCGCATCCACGGACTCTTGCTTGTGAGACTTGTCAGAAACGCTTTTGGCACAGGTAGATAAACTAATGGTTGTAAAATACAAGAAACGTCTTATTTCTCTCGACAAAATATTGTTTTTGTCAACTTTTTTAGGAGGAACATATCTGTCGCTCTTCTCACAGGTAGCGCAAGCTCGAAATATAGAGTCTTTTCACATGACGTCACGGCGGCCATTTTGGTGTCCCAAAACAATGAAACGGCGGCCATGTTGGTGTCCCAAACCAATCCTCTGGGAGTTGAACTCTTTTCTTATGCAAACGCTTTCTTTTGTTCCAAAACATTTGCATAAATGCCGGGCACGTGAGTGAAAACACTCTATAGGCTCGGCGACCCGGCATCGGCGACCATCGACATCGTTGCATAACAATTTGTATGGAAAAAAAAACCTGTCGTTTCCGTAACCAACGAAAATGGCAGGATTTCAATAAAAAACAGCTTACCTTACATAAAATGTGTCTTACGTATCTCCTGGGTGTTCCATGGGCCAGTTTATGGCCGTTCTATGGGTTGTACAGTACTACATAAAGGTGTTACGCAACAATGCTAATGTTCGCCAATGCTCATATTTCGAGCTTGGTATACCTGTGCCATTTTCAGCTTTTTTTGTGGTATGAATTAAAGCGTATGTCGTTTTCAAAGTTTGTAAGGAACTCCATTGGCGTGAATAAGCTGAATAAAGTGGTGGTATGAACTATAGAGATCCAGAATGTGGCCACTATGGACAAGTGAAGCGTACGACTTTGCGCGCAGAGGTAACGACGTTTTAACTGTAGATAGTAGGAAACGATCGATCATGTACTTGAACGGTTCTGATTATTTTTACAATAACTGGTTGATTGGAGTAACGCGCCAAGTATTTGAGCATGGGATTAAAAGATTTGGATAATGCATTCCAAGCATGAAATTAAGAGAGAGATGTTGTTGTTGCCATTTGAAGGACCTTGAAGGTGTTTGTTGTTCCTGTATTTTTGAAGATTTAAAGTTTTGGTATTTTCCACCGAACTGCTAAATTTCATAGCTTTGGCGAATAGTACGAATATTAACTTAAAGTTTTGCGCCCTAGCCTGAAATATTATTTTGTAGCCTGATGATCACTGCCGTTATTCAGTTGGTAACGCAACGTGTTCTTGCGTGACGCCTCTTTCAGGAAAAATTGATGAAGATAAGTCCCTGACAGACAGTGGGGGTAGGACATTTCCATCAGACTCACCACAGGATAAATTTACTAGGGTAAATATTTTCTCAAAACAGGATAACTGGTAATGTCAACACAGCTTTATGTCCTTTATTGGCTTTTCATTTTTGTTTTTAGAAAATAATAATAAAACATTTTTTAAAAAAAGCTATGGGTAGGTCTACAAAAGTTTATTTACATCTGGACTAGTAACCAGCAGGTTATAGGTTCGACTTCTTAACTGGGAGAACTCGGATTTTTTTTTCTGAGCCGCCTACGTCACTAACTGAAAAATCATCTTTCTTGTGTACTCACCAGGCTAAAAATTTACCATCATATCTCTATCATTTTGCATAAGCACAAATCAACATTCTTATCCCAGCAGTATGCCAGATGGTCACACAAGTCTCTTGTAGCTTAGCAAATGCCAGGTTCAAATTGACAACTGTTTTGTTCAGCCATAATTTTACTGTCGAGGCTAAACCTGCATTGAAACAGTTATTTATATAAAGTTATAAACATTCAGTCTACATTTGTATTTTTTATAGGAGCCATGCCCGGAAGATAAGGCAAATTGCTTATCAAGAATCACTTTTTGGTGGCTAAACTGGTAACATTAACTGCATTGCTTTATATCAATGCAGTTCAATGATATTTAATTCCAAGGGCGGATCCAGGATTTTTTTTAGGAGGGGGTGCACTCGTCTCTTGCTTTACTTCAACACCAGTAAACCACATAGTTTTTATTTTTTTGCAGAATACCAGTTGTATTAGAAAACCGCAGGTCATCTCAGTGGGGGTGCGCACCCCCTGCACCCTCCCCCTAGATCTGCCCCTGAATTCTTTTGTAGGTTTTGTAGTTCTTCTTTTTGACTCCTTAGATCTTCAAATCACCCCCCCCCCCCCACAGAAAGTACATGTACCCTGCAGTGCACCCGTTCAGGTCAAAATTTTTCAGTAAAATTGTTACGCATAAACTCTATCTTCCGGGAAAGAATTTTTTTATGGCTGTTATCATAGTAAAATTCAAATTAATCCAAGGGTATATTATGAACTACTTTAATGACCAGCTACCAGTTGGCTTGCTAACTCAGTTGATTAGAGGGCTGTATCAGTATCACACAGGTCAGGGTCTGAATCTTAGTAAGGCTAGAATTTTTCAGGCTTTCTTTTTGCAATTGCTTAAGGTGCATCTTTCAATGTGACAACCTTCTTTTCATTTATTTGGTATGCGAGATATTAGTCAAAAACCACTTCTGAATTAATGAGTAAACTGACCTGCCTTCCATACCGGGAGATTGTGTGGTTTCCAGGGGGACTTTTGGAAGAGTAGGCTTTTTAGATCAGTTACTGGATAAATAGAAATATTTCTTATAAATATTTCACATACTTCACTTTATTAGGATAATATATACTGGTTACAAAAGACCTCTAGAAGATGAAGACCTGTGGGCTCTAAACAGGAAGAGTAGAGCTGCAGCCATAGTTCCCAAACTTAAGTCCCTTTGGAACCAGGAAGAGAAAAAATGCATGAGGTACTGAATATAATATATATCATTATCAAATGAAAGTGTGGATACTTCATATTTTCTTAGTTTTGTTGTTCATTTAACTAACAGTGATTTAGTGCAATGAAGCCCCATCTAAAACTAGTAGTAATCTCAGATTAGGAAGTGCATTCGAGCTTTTGTTAGGTTTACTGTCAAATGTGATGTTATTTCTTAATAAATTGACGCTGCAAAACGCTTCCTATATGTTTTTTTTTAAAAAAACAAAACAAAACAAAATAAACCGACTACGAAAAAAGAGAAAAAAGTGTCACCCTGCAGGAGTTGAACCAGAGACCTTTGAGGTGTATCCATTGCGCCACGCAACCATTGCTGAGAGCATATGTGAAATTAATTGCATTTAACATTTTTGTGCCCGGCGAGATAAATCATTCAAGATGGCACAGAAAATGCAGACGTATGACGAAATGAGAAACACAAAAGGTCTTCCTTGACTATCACAGGAATCCCAAGATTACTTGTTGCGTTCTCCTAACGTCGAACGCAATAAAGAAGCACAAAAATTTGCAAGTGTAGGTTTCAGATGGCTTGGTTTAGTCCGTCCCAGATAGCTACTCGAACGTCATGGTTTCTTCTTTCTCCAAAAACTCATGCTTTTCACTGTGGAAAGAAATAATTTGCGTGTACACTTCACTAACTTGGCAAGAGCGGGACAAAAAACGCCGGAAGTGGAAAACACTCGAAATAATATTCCCCAAGTGTGAAAAGAAAACGACTGAAATGTGTGATGAAACAATGTTATATTAGGAAACATTCTTTAGAAAATTAAAGGCCATTGTTGTATCTTATAGCAGCAGTTCGTGGGTGAAGGAAACTTGGATTTCTTGACCCAGCCGGCCTCCTTCCCCTGCCTTCTCTCGCTATTCTTATTTCGCAGGTAATTTTTAGCGACATAGTCCCCCTCCAAGGTTCTTGAAGTCCATGGGTTTTAATTTTGTTATTGAAGAGATTTAGAGTCACGTTTACGGCAAACGGTAAACGCCAGATTAAAGTTGAAAAATTCTTAAAATAGAAACTGAGCAGATAAGTACAGTACGAAACAATTTTTTGGATAAAACTGGCGTGAAACTACTAATATTTGTGATGATATAATGAACAGTAAACGAGAAGTAAAGGGAAAACTTGGTCACGTGGTACGTATTCACGTTTGCCGTAAACTTGAGTCTAAGTCTCTCTATTGTCTTTGTAAGAAATTGTTTAAAATGATCATGGAATTCCTCTTTTTTCAGAGAAAAGGAATTTCGAGTCACTGAAGAACCCTTAGCATGTAACGAAACTGACTGGTTGCTTGGTGATGAAAAAAGAAAACAAAGAATTGAAAAGGACAGGAGAAAACCTTCTCTCCTGAAAGTGTTAGCCAAGATGTTTTCTTCAAACATTTTCAGAGCAATAATATTTAAACTTTTCCAGGACTTCTTACTATTTGTACAGCCACAGTTGTTAAGGTACGTTACAGTGACATGAAAATTTAGAGTATGCCGCCATTTTTGGGATGGTATAACACCCTTATCATAGCTGTATATTGCAAATATGTTATGACCTCAATATATTAATTGTCTTATCCGCGGCTGGATGGAAAACAAACACGTTTTTCGAATTTTTGTTTCACGAACTTAAAAACTTATGTCTGTGAATGAAACCCCTTTAACTAAACAAACTCTTGGGAGGACGACTTCTAATTTTGCTGCGATTTGGAATCTTAAAAAGTTTCTAAGAGAAAAGAGTTAAAAAGTTTATGTTGCATATTTTTTGTAGAATGTTAATTGAATACGTGGAAGACGATCACGATACGGCAGGGAGGTGGAAAGGCTATGTTTACGCCGGCTCCATGCTTGTGGCAGCTATAATTCAGTCCATATTTTTGCACCAATATTTTCATACGATGTTCACACTTGGTATGCGCTTGCGTTCTGCTGTCATCGGACTGGTGTACGAAAAGGTTAGTCGTGAAAAGAAGTTTTGATTTTCTTTCCAGGCAGCGCTTGATTCACAGGATTCATCTCGCTATTAGAAAGACTTCCTCACTGTTAGTCTCTACACCTTCTACTTTCAAGTTTGTTGGGGACATAACAGTTGTTCGAAAGGGTTCGAAAGGGTTGCAAGACTATAGAATCCCCCAGTATTTATTGGTTTGGTGTGTTTCTCACTTATTACGTTTGAGCCTGCCAGATGCCTTGTATGGCAGCCCGGGGTTTCGTTCGTGTCATTCACCATTGAACAAGTCCTCGTTTGATAAACCTTTAAATCATCATAAGTGTTTACAGTTCTCTGCTATAAATTTGTCTTCCTAGAGTGAGAGACTAAGCACTGAAATTAACTGAAATTAGCTATTCACTTGTTGTTTTCCAGGCTCTTGTACTGACCAATGCATCTCGTGTGAAATCGACCGCTGGGGAGATTGTTAACCTGATGTCAGTGGATGCGCAAAGACTAATGGACTCCGTGACGTATATAAACATGTTGTGGTCGGGACCTTTCCAAATTGCAGTTTCTTTGTACTTCCTACATCGCACCATGGGTTGGTCAATCTATGCTGGCTTGGGTGTCATGGTTATTTTCACACCGATTAATTTCTTGATCGCAAGGAAAGCCAATAAATTCCAGGTACTTTTTGGAACAATGCGGTTAACATTATATTTCCATTATTTCGCGCATAAAGTGTCCCGGTTACAAGCAATAAGAAATTACAGGTGATTTTGTAGCGCATTATTTGTGCCGACGACGTTAATTTGGGACGGTAAACCTCCAGCTATAAGTAACCTACGTATACGAGAAGCTTGGAACAGTAGTATCTTAAACCTCGTTTACATTAATGCTTTTTCGTTTGAAAATGTAAAGTTTCCGTGAAACGGATGGCTGACGTTTTACCGTGAACAAGTTTTGAAACTAAACTAAAGCGAATGTCAAAATTACTCTTGTACTAAAACCAGATCAAATCGCTTACACTATGGAAGCTCTCAGAGGAGATTCTATCTACAGGAACGAAAATGCATTGGCATTTACGTTGTTGCGCTGATGGGTCGGGAACTCAGAAACCGGGTTGGTCGTTGCAAAATCGACACTGGTTCCTAAAACAATACCTGGGTGTTTTCTATTTTCCTACTTGCTTTTATAGTAATGGTATAACCAATAATGATTTTCTTTTTACCATTCCTCTAATTAGGCGCAACAGATGTCAGCAAAAGATGATCGAATCAAAATCATAAATGAAGTCCTTAATGGAATAAAGGTATCAGAGTATGCCTGGTGTTTTCTGCAGTGTGTATGGTATTGTACTCTGAAATAACCAATGCAGTTACAATTTTTTTACCCAGATTTTGAAGCTTTACGCCTGGGAAGAGTCCTTCTTGAGTGACATAAACAGTAAACGCGCTAAAGAACTCAGATATCTTCTCCTGTCTGGACTCTTGAGAGCCGTACTGACTTTGATATTTAATACGTTGCCTGTTATGGTAGGTATCAGAGAATTGCAGCGCTTAACTTGTCAAGTCAATGCACCAGGGGGAAGAGTAAAATTAGCTGCAATAGTTCTGGTAACAGGTCAAACTCTCACTCGTCCCCAGTCCTCTTTATTTGGATCGCACGCGGAGGAAGGAACGCGAGAAGCGTAACTGAAGAATCGAAGCGCGATGGGTGATGGGATTAGGGTTAACCCTTAATTAACCGAAACTCTAACCCCTCTTTTCACCTTCACACCATCCATTGCGCTCCCATTGACTGCGCTTTTATCGCTAAAGAGAGATGACTGAGGACGAGTGAGGATCAATTCCCTTGATCTACTGCGGTTGACAAGTTCAATATAATGTGGTCTGTATAGTGTGTATAGTTTCGGTACTCGTTTCGGTATCAGGTTGATATCATCAGAGGAATTCAACATTTGAGAGATATTGCAACTCGAACTTGAACTCGGGCAGATTCCCTTGGGACGAGGCTCGTTGTGAGCATCGACACTCGGAAAGGGGCCGTTTTTGAAAGAGTGGGGCTTATTTTTGGACAAAATAACCATATCAAAGCTTTGAATTTTTTGGTGTATATAAAACGTTTTGAGGTTGGGAATTCTTTGTTGTAAGTTTTCATCTTTCAACGATTTTTTGATTTTTCTCTCTCCTTTTGCTATAATGGTTTTTATCAGTTGGCCGTTGTCATTAAGCAACAACGACGGCCACGGCTACAAAAACGTCATTTAAAAAATATATTTACGCTGCTTTAAACCTCATCGCGCTTGTTCCATCTCGTTCAATTCGGCAAATAATGGCGAATTTTTCTGGAGCTGAATTCTAAAGGAGCGCGGTATCGAAGTTCAGAAAAAGAAAAAGAAAACTGTTATGTTGTGTTCGCGTCCTCCACAAACGAGAAAATAGGAAGTTTCACGTTGTAGTCTTGCAACGACGGCAAAGAAATGTACAAAAACACGTGATACACGTGCAAAGTTCTTTTTTTTGCCTTCTGCCGTTGTCGTTGCCGTCGCCGCTGTCATTGCTTAAGCTCCTTAACATTTGTTTTAGGTGGCTGTGACAACATTTGCAGTTTATGTTCTATGTGGTAATGATTTAACAGCCTCCAAGGCTTTCGTGGCTTTGTCGCTGTTTGGAATCATGTCATTTCCTCTTAGAAACTTTCCAACTGTTATTGCAACCTGTGTGCAGGTAAGGCTTTAAATTTGAATTAGTGACCATTGTAATGAAAAATTTGGTGCAGAGGTTTACATTTCGGTTGGTTTATTACATTAAGGCCATAAACGCAAACATTGTACCTTCAAGTAACTATTAGATAGGAAAAACATCTAAAAAAAGTCTTATCGACGAACGAACCACGAACGGTGGCCTGGAAATGGGCCTAATCATGTCATCTCAGTACAAACTATTAGCAAACAGCCATGACGAATTATATTATCTTTATTTTTCAGAGGTAGAATATTATAAATATATACGTATACCGGCGTATTTTCAACTTAACTATCATTTACCCGTTTTCTTTATTAAGGCTCGAGTATCAATCAAGCGCTTGGAGGAGTTCCTGGGTTTAAAGGAGCTGGATCCAAACTGTGTCCAGAGGATACCTTGTAAGAGACGACATCGTAGCGTACACTTGAGATTACTTTACTGATTTGATCCGTCTTTGATCTGTGACTTTATTTTTAACTTTTTGTAGACTGGGAGCAGTCTCTCTTGTACAAATTTTTTTATTGCTCATTCAAACAAATGACGTTCTTCATTAAGACTTCATAAAATTAATGAGGTTTTATACTCTCACACTTCATAGGCAACGTGCTTAACGCGAGCACGGTTTGTGTCAGAGATGGCGTATTTGGCTGGAATAAGAACGACACTCCAATACTGCGCAGGTTAGAACAGAATAGTATAAAAGCTACCCTTTTCTTTTCTTTTTTTTTGTTCCTGTTTTTTCGAATGTTCTTGTAGTTTGTTTACTGTTTATTTCGTGTCCAGGTTGAGGCTCTTTTTCTGTTTACATGCAACACGTTTGTTTGTTTTGTATTTCAGCGTTTCCTTTTTTTGCTGAAAATTTGATTTTTTTCAATCACAGCATAAATTTAAATATTCCAAGTGGTTCACTGGTAGCAGTGGTTGGTCAAGTTGGTTGTGGTAAATCTACCCTGCTATCTTCACTTCTCGGAGAAACCGAGAAACTACGTGGTAGCGTACATGTGGGGGTGAGTGAGTGCTAGGAATCCGCTTGTTTATTCAAGTCTGTAATATGCATATTTCTTTTGTCAACATGAAAAGAACCAAAATCAGTTGACTATTTTGGTATCCCCTATAACACACTCTGTTGGCCTGCTCCTTCAAATTTCGCTTGAGTTATTGTGTTGAAATGCTCTTGGGAATCTACTGTCATCTCAGGGGCATTTGAAAATGTGGGGGGGGGGGGGGGCAAAGAAGGCGTGACATGGGGGATTCGAAAATCGAGAATGAAGTGGTGCGCAGCATACTTCTGCGTGGGTAAGAACAAGTTTATTAGTGAAGTTTTCTGTTTTCTTGTAATTTTCCAGGGTACGGTGGCTTATGTGTCGCAGCAGGCCTGGATCCAGAACGCCACCGTACGAGACAATATCCTGTTCAACAGTGCGTACGACTGTGGACGCTATGAGCACGTGATTGACTCGTGTTCACTCAGGCCAGATCTAGAAATTCTACCCGCGGGTGATTTAACAGAGATTGGTGAAAGGGTAAGAAGGGAACTTACTAAATAGGCCGGCTGCTTTGGCGAGCAAGCAAGATGAAGCCACAAATCTTGTGTTCTGATTGGCTACCCGAGCGGGCAAGATGAGCCTTTTTCTCCCGCTCTTCCTGCGTTGTTCCCGTAAGGAAAAAGTTCTCTTGATCATATAATTATTCACCATGCTTGTTGGTCCAAGATGAGAAGATATTGGCCCTCTTCTCTCTTTGATCCATAAGAACGAATGAATATTCAGCTACCTTGACTCGTTCTTTGCTGTCAGCAGGCGTCTTAACAATTCCCGCTGGATACACTATCGAGATGACGTAATACTTGCTTACTTAATTGAATACGCAGCAACAGCTTATTTATTTTAGTTTTGAGTCTCATTACATGACACTGGTTTTTGTTACATCAACAGGGCATCAACCTGAGTGGAGGTCAAAAACAGCGTGTCAGCCTGGCAAGAGCGGTTTATTTTGACGCTGATATTTATTTGCTAGATGATCCGCTCAGTGCTGTTGATGCTCACGTTGGGCGAAAGCTGTTTCGTCACGTGATCGGAGCCAATGGAATTCTCAAAGAGAAGGTCAGTTTGAAATGATGACTGGAAACTTCTTAGGGTTGGTGAAGTCGGTTCACATACCATTTGTAATTTGGGAAATGCTAAAGAAACCGTGCGTAAAAGGCTCTTTTCAACAATTTAACTCTCCAGTCGTCTTGTTTATTTGTAGACGCGCATCCTAGTTACCCATGGTATCAGCTTTTTGCCTGAAGTGGATCATATCATCGTTCTTCATGACGGAATTGTTTCCGAGGTAACGGAATCAGTAAAAGACGTATTTGCCATCGTCGCTTTTCTTTCTGTTTTTGAGTTAAAATAACTGTTTACGCATTCCTTTCAGGAAGGCACCTACGCTGAGCTATTGAAAAACTCGGGCGCCTTTGCGGATTTTCTGCAAACATACAGCTCGGAAGAAAACAGTGGTTTGTGCTGCTTATCTGTGCATATGTTTTATATAACCTTTAAATGATTACGCGTATTAACTCTCCATAAAAAGCTTCAGTAAGAGACTCATGCTCTTTGTGACGTCACCCAATTTTCATCTTCCGATAGGTCAAGCAAATAATGCTAATAATGGATAATCCAGAATCAAATTTATGTATGCGTTCTATCAAATGTTTCGCTAGGTACACTGAACTATTTTTCTTGGGGTCCAGGAAGTTAAATCGGTTATAGATACATATACCTAACACAAGTTAAGTCTCCAGTCTTGTGATTTCATTCTTTTTCTTAACAGAAACAAATGCTACCGAGGACATTGACGATGAACTGAAATATTTCGAGAAAGACACCGGCCCACCTCCCGGAATAGAAAAGAGAGACAATACCAACGACGATGTTGGCAAAACAATTACAGTGGAAAGAATGGAGAGAGGACGTGTAAGTTACCCTTTGCATCCGCTTTGTAATAAATACAGTATGTGGGCATATTATTATGTAAAGTTCAGTATTGTAGCTTTTTTAATTCTTAGATATTACAATTTTCTGTCTCTCTAATATCTCTAAAGTAGTTGTAGGGAGAGTTCGGAGCCGAGAATTTAATACAAGGCGAACGTCTTATACAACAAGAGCTTTACTGATAGAAGTCGTACAAGCTCTGGGTAGGTAGGACTGGGGGTGTATAGGCGGGCTGATAGTGGATTCAATAAGCGTCTTTTATTACATCTCAGCCTGTTTTAAATTCAGTCTTAAAAAGTGCATGTGCTGAGCTGCGCACTCATAACAAAATCTAATCTGGACTCTTTGTCTTCTGATCAACAGATAAAGCTTTCCTTATTGCTGTCCTACATCAAGTCTACAGGAATACACTGGTTTTTATTTTCTCTGTTGTTCTTTACTGTCATGGAAGCGTGTACAGTTGGCACTGGGATATGGCTGGCATATTGGAGTTCAGCAAAAAACGCAACGCGTGCGCAGAGAGACTTTTACCTCACAGTATACGGTGGCATAGGCGCAGGACAAGCGTTGTTTAGTCTATTATATTCGCTGATGTTGTTACTTGGCGCGATCAGAGCTTCTAGAACACTTCATCGGAAGCTTATTGTGAATATCTTGCGATTGCCTATGACATTCTTTGACGTTACACCGTTTGGAAGAATAATGAATCGGATATCAAAAGACATATATGGGATTGATGTCACAATCCCTAACTCACTTCGTTCTTTTTTTGCGATGTTCTTTGATGTTTTGGGGATGTTAGTAGCTGTTAGTTATGCCACACCCATTTTCCTGGCTGTTTTACCGCCGCTTGGTGCGTTGTACTTCTATGTTCAGGTAGGTCTACTAAGTGTATGCGTTACAAATCTCACTTACACCACTTATATTGCGTGACAAATGGAGTAAAGTAAGTGCCGCGAAATTTATATTAGGGGCTGTTTACGTGGAGGTGGGGCACCTCAGGTAGGTGAGGTAAGCCCCTATGGGTCACCCCACCTATCATGTAAACGTGGTTTAATTAAAATGAGAGATTATATTGACAGGCGGGTCACCCCACCCAAGCGGGTTACGTCACCCACCTGGTGTCCCCTGGGGTCCCCCACTTCCATTTAAACGGGCCCTTAGAGACGAACAGAGCTTCGTCCACGGTAGATAAATCGGCTAAAGGTCATTATCCTTGTTTGGCTGCAGATTTGTTTTTTTAGGCTTAATTTGTCTTTTTGTTTAAACTTGCACAATGCAAGTGCGTGCCGGATAATTTTTTTGTCTAAAACTATTCTTTTTTACCTGACCAGTCAAGTCGAGACAGATATCGGTTGTAAGATTTTTTTAATACTAGCTTTGCATGTTTTTTCCTCAGAGAGTGTATGTAGCGACCTCTCGACAACTGCGAAGGATTGAATCAGTCAACAGATCTCCAATCTACAGTCATTTTCTAGAAACAATTAACGGGGCCACCACCATCCGGGCATTTTCACAACAGCAGCGATTTATGCGGGATAATTATAGAAAAGTGGATGAAAACCAGGTGGCTTACTACTTGGGTGTGTCGGCTAACAGGTAATAATCATAATCCATTTTATAGTGAATGTAGTGGCGATGAAATAGAACTACTCTTTACTGTCTGATTTGTTTCAAGACAGGTTTGACTCTCAGGTGGTAATTAGCCCAACATCGCTTTTTAACTCGTTTTGAGGCAATGTTGCACAACAAGTTACACTTTTTTGTTGTCCGTTTCTTGGAAGTGTGATAAAATGAGTCTGTTATTTCCGCATCTTTGCTCTTATTAATAACAGTTCTCGTTATGTTATTAAAATTGTGATTAGAGAGTAAGGAAGAGCTGACAGTTGTAGACCTCTTAGACTAGGTTGATCCTAGCGTGGTTTTTTTTTTTTCGGTTTCATAATGATTCCGGCTGAAACACTATGGTAACGGATTCCTTTTGCCGTTTACTCCAAATGCGTGTATCCGAAATGAAAACGTCTGGGTTTGGTCGGAGCCTAATGTGAACAGTTTGTATCCAAATGAATATTCTTGGATTAAATAACGTGTATGAATGGATGCGAATCGGTATACCGTAAGTATAATATATCCGGAAAAATCTGGTTTTACAGTGCGAGCGCTAAAACCGTGACAGGCCAATAAAATTCCTAAATTTGATCGTTGTTGAGGTCAGGTACGTTCAAACGGTTATTTCAGAGGTTGCACAGTTGAACCTTGAATATTATTGTCCCGTTAGCAACAAAACTTGATAATCTTTTGTTTTCAGAAAGCATTGTGATTGGACAATCTTCTCCCAAGTGTCCCAGTTTGAGTGTCCGCACTTTAAGGTTCCTGTGCCGCTTGCTCGTTTTTCTTTGGCCCCAAATTTTCTTTTAATAAATTAATAAATGAAGTGTTATTTTTGTTACCCATAGGTGGCTCTCTCTGCGTTTGGAGTTTATTGGGAATTGCTTGATCTTTTTTGCTGCTTTATTTGCTGTAATCAGCAGGGATAGCATCGCAGGTGGCCTAGTTGGACTCTCTATATCATATGCGCTGCAGGTATTCTCTAAGCCCAAGTAACGTTTCCAATAACTAACTTCTTGGTTAAAAACCGTTAAAAACCATGGCCATTGCATTTTCTAAGCCATTCCTATTTCAAAGGTCTTTTTCTTTTTTGTTCCTCAGTCTACTTCTGCCAATACGTTACATAGAATCAGACAGTCTGTGTTTTCCCTAGAGTCTATCGTTCAATGGCTTTTTTTAAATAAAAGTTCATTTCAAATTGATCCATATTTTTTCATGTTTAAAACATGAAAAAATATGGATCAATCAGTTTTCCATCCATGTCCTTGCTTCTTGATTTTGCCATATACTTTCCTTTTTTGTAAGTGATAGCCGTTTTGTACAATTTCTAGGTAGGGTTTATGATTTCACAAACAGGAAACCCACAATAAAGGCCTTAGGTTCGTGTATTTCAAGACTTTTTCTATTCGCAGATCACTAACAAATTGAACTGGATGATTCGCATGACAAGTGCACTAGAAACCAATTTGGTGTCAGTTGAAAGAGTCAGAGAATATTCTGAGACACAAACAGAGGTAATACACCAACGAGGATATCAGTCTTATTTTACATTACCTAAGTCGCTTTCCACCGATGTGGCTTTGGTTCCGATTCGAGTCACTCTGTTTTCACATGTTTTGCACTTTTTCAGGCCGACAGGATAATTCCCGAGAGTCGGCCTTCACGTGACTGGCCTGAACAGGGCGTGGTAAAGTTTGATAATTTTCAGTTGAGGTACAGAGATGGTCTTCCTTTGGTGTTAAAAGGGATAAGTGTCATCATCAAGCCAGCTGAAAAGGTATATCATCCAATGCTAGAAATACCCACTATATTTTCCTTTTGTTTTCGCACGACGACATGCTGGAGCTATTTGTTTGATTTCAACACCAAACTCAAGAATAATTTTACAAATAACCTTTAAAAATAGCTACACTTTTTGGCTTTCTCCGTTTAGGAGTTTTAACTTTTTGTTTTTATTTGTCATGAATGACTGCACATGTCTTTGTTTTAGTCGCTTTCTCGGCTGCACTTATGTTCTCCTACAAACACTGCCAAAGGAAATTCATGAGGTCTTACTAGCTATCTATTTCGACTTACAGATTGGCATTGTGGGTCGCACAGGAGCAGGCAAGTCTTCACTTACTTTGGCTTTGTTTCGTATTCTGGAGAGAGCTGGAGGAAAGATTGTAATAGATGGGATAGATATCTCTACGATTGGACTTCAGGATCTGCGATCACGACTCACGATCATTCCACAGGTAATGATATAGAACCATTATACAATATTCTTAACCCTTCATTAACTGTTACTTGCGCATGATATTGACTGAGTACGAAAGCACGGCTGATTTCATGAAGAACTTATCTTCTTCGTCCACCTGCAATCACGTTCCACTCTCTTAATTGTGTGTTATTCACAGGAACCTGTTCTTTTTTCTGGAACACTTCGTGTGAACTTGGATCCGTTTAATAAACACTCAGATGAAGAGCTGTGGAATGCACTTGAAGTTAGTCACCTGAGAAAATTTGTTTGCGGATTAAATGGAGGTTTACAACACACAATAGCAGAAGGAGGAGAAAACCTGAGGTATTAAAGCTACCTTTATCTGTTTAATTCTTTCCGAGCTTTTCAAAGAAAACCATCACGGCTACCAAAGCCACACAAATCACTCAAAAATTCTCACTATCAAAGATGCTTCATTAAGTAGTCTCCTAAACAGTCTCAGAAGTTTTCGTCAGATGTGTCTTTGATATTTCTAAGTATAATAATCAATGAAAAGTTTATCATTGATAACCCCTCAGCAGAAATGCTATCGGGGAGTTTCTGTTGTCATTTGATGAGCCACTTTGGTTGATTTATTCCAGCGTTGGTCAGCGGCAGTTGGTATGTTTAGCACGTGCGTTGCTTCGTAGAAGTAAAATCCTTGTTCTCGATGAAGCCACAGCCGCGGTGGACCTGGAAACTGATGAACTTATTCAACAAACGATTCGACGGGAATTTGCTGACCGCACGGTGCTCACTATTGCTCACAGGCTCAACACCATCATGGATTACGATCGGTAAGTCACTGCTTTCAGTCTGGGCCCTGCTGTGGTCCAGATAAAAAGACTGGAGATTTTTAAAGACATCTTGCTTCAAAGTAGGCCAAAAATTTCCCTTTTTGTTGGAATCAGCTATACGCTCTCTGGGTCTCTTTCTATGAAGGTGCTTACGAATATCCCGGCATCAAGGCGAAAGTTCACGAGAGAAGTAGCTTTATTTGTTGGCTGTGCGATTTCGGGGCAAGAACCTTTTCTCATTGCAAGAAATAGAACTAGTGAATATATTTTATGTTGATTGCATAGACAGACATTCGCAAAGCCAACAATCTCTGTGGGGATAAGAAGATTCAATGCGAACTGGACATTTTGTCTTCAATGATGCGCTTTTTCCACAGTTGAATTCATTGCTGAAAAGTAAAAAGATCGCGATAAGTATTCTGACAGCAAGGAACTCGTATTTACAGCTTGTTTTTATATCTTTTTCAGGGTATTGGTGCTCGACAACGGTTTAATTATGGAATTCGGCTCACCCTCTAAACTCCTCGATCTGAAAGGTTATTTTTACTCCATGGCCTGTGACGCAAGAGTTAATGTAATGTCAATCAATTCAGATAGTTGACAAGGGATGTTTTTTTGTGGGAGGAAAATTAAGTTTCTTCTCCAGCTATTTATTTGTTTATAAACACTAAGGAATTAAAGGAAAGGCTCCACAAACCAACGACGTGTGAGAGGTAGAAAGTAAAACGCTTCGCGCGTGCGCTTTTCACAGAACACTCTGGAAAGCCCTGAAATGAATTGCGGTAGATCAGCTTCCAAAGTTGTCTATTTATAACCTCTTGTTAGGAAAACTACGTGTTGTGAAATAAAAAATACAGTCGCTTTGCTCTATCTGTGTGTTTGTTTGTTATTTGATTCATTTTATTTATTCATTGATGTAAAAGTGACCGGCTCATTGCAGGGTAAATTCCCCTGCAGTGATTAGGACTTATCTACTCTTGGTTACAAACCTTTCCGCTGGTGATTGGTTGCTTACTCCACAGTTAACTCAGTCTCCAACCTTTCGCCCCATAGGTACCCCAGCCTCGAAAGAGGAGCGTCGGCACGCACTTTAGTACTATTTTTTCTGTAACCTACGTATATATATGGCGAAAAAGAAAACCGTTTTCGCAAAAACTCATAAAAATGGCCATAAATATAGTCGGCGACCACACAGGAAAGAAGAAACTCTCATCGTAAGGCAGAGTAAGGTAAGAGCTGCCCTTACGTTGCTTGGATCTCGTCATAGGTGGGGCCAGGCGGGTTACAGGTTTTTTCTCGTTTCAAATTTGTTTCGTCCTTTAAAATGTTTTAGTTAGACATCCTGGCCTTAGTTTTTATGTTACAACGTTCTTACAAGCCTTTCGTGTAATTAGGTGCACTGTTCGTTGACCAGCTTTCGTCGGTGTTGGTGGTCTCTGCAATGATATGTTTTCATTTTTATGAAGATCACTATCTGGACTTTGATCTCTAGCCATGGTTCATTTTTTTACATTTTTTAAAAAGTGTTTTACTATTCCAATGCACTCAATTGAGAAATATCTTCAATTGATTGATGATAAGAAATAATTTGAAGGAAAATAACCAGACAGTCACGTGAAATGGAAATATAGGACTAATTTTGTTTTCTAGGTGACCTTTTCTTCTCTTTGGACCTAGACCCCCTCTTCAGTCACAAGAGGCTTGGCTGCTTGGATGCCATTACAATAGTTCCAGTACCTCTCGCCTTTAGCTATTCCTATTGTTATCTCTTTTTCTTGACGGTTTCAAGTAAAATTTTCGTTTCTAGTTCCTTTTTGCTTTATCAATTTTCATATGTTTTAAGTAATTTATTTACACGCGATGAAACATGAACTTAACAGGAAGGAAGATGTTTCATTCGTTCGATGACCTTGGGGCTCCTCCGGTCTCAGGTGTCATTACGCTCATGCACCGCCATCCGGTCCCTCCCGGCCTGCCAGCTTAATACCGGTCAGTTGGTAAGTAATACTTTTCATTTCTTATTTTAACATCGAACTACGTAGATGGTACCAAATACCGGCCTGGTGAGAAGTGCAGAGATTGTTATATACTTGATTTAACGGTGACTTATTTGCATTCTCAGTTGTGATACAACTTGCGACTGGTGGTCTGAGGTAACCTTTGGATCTTATTGAGTTCGATTTCCTAAAATCACATGACGTGACTTTCCATTCCAAAAAAGCGCTGATATAGCTTGTCACCCCGTCATAATTTTAAAAGCTCAAAAAGGAGAGTCAAATGTTTGCACAACCCTATATCGATGTGATGTGGTTCAATTATATCCTTGGTTTTTGTTTTTCCTTTGTTCTAGGCACAGGTAGCCCGAGCTTACTATAGGAAAATGTTGTCGTATGAATAATTAATTAGCTAAGTAGGATAATGTTCAGGGCTTTCATAGTGAGCTTGGGCTACCTGTATTCTGGGGCTTGGAAAACTTTAAAACAGCAAAGAAATCGAACCGCAACATTGCCAATAAACCAAAATGTTCACATGATAAAGTTGTAAACATAAACCAAATAGTTAGTGTACAGGCCATCTGCCTCAGAGTTGATTCATGTGCTGTGCATGATTTGGCGGGAGTTAAGGTGTCCTTGAGTTTCCTGAGGTTTGACCTTGGCCATGCCAAAGCAAAAGGCAAGAACCTTTGCTAACGTTTTCTCTTTCTTCTCTTGCGCATAAACTGGAACAGGTGCAACACCCATGGGAGGTACTCCAGACTTCAAGTGACAGGGATGATCAAAGGATTTTTTTCGGCTTGTAATTTTTGATTCCAGGATTTTTTTTTTTTTTTTTTTTTTTTTTTTAGGAAAATTAGGTAACTATTTTTTTGGTGGCTTGGTTTAAGTAGGGACTTTTTTGGGGGATTCAAAACAATCTAAAGATTACAGCTTAACTGACAGATGACCAATAACATTGCAACATAATTGACCAGTCAGGTCAATAACCAGAGTATAATACCATCAACTGATGTGATATGTACAACCCCCTTTGACTCTGAAGATGACTACCATACAGGTTGTCGAAACGTCAGTCACTGTCAACAACAACAGTCCTATTCAAGGCTACGTTCACCCGGATGATCAAACTCAACCTACTTTTGAAATGACTCGTGGGTTCAAACCTTTCACAAATCTAAATATGGTTGGTAGTGCCCGTGTATCCCAGCCACAAACACAAATTTCGGGTTTTGATTTTTGCAACCATTTGATCATCCCTATTATGTGAAATCCAGAATACCCCCTTGAGGTGCAAGGCTTTGCTCTTTAAAGTGAAATATTATTGAAGGGTGCCCAGCACTTGATTTGTATTGAATAAAACAAGATTTTCTAGTCACCCAAGAGCAATAGCCTGGAAGTTATCAACATACTGCAGTTAGTAGTAAATGTAGTTTTTTTTGTTGTTTATTGCAAGGTTCGCTGTATGCACATGAACTTACAGCTGTACATATAGTCCTTGATAAGGACTACCTGTTAAAGTTTCTTTGATGGCAGCAGCAAAACAGAAAGTAAGGGTGATAGCTGTTGAAGACTTTGATCCATTCCAGCATGACAACAGCATCTTAACGTATGAGCTTGTAAAAGATGCCCCAAAGCGAGAGGCCCAGTTATCTTTTCACAAGGGACAGTGCTTTGAGATTCTCACCAAGAATGTAAAAAGCTGGTGGTTATATGTGAGATGTACCACAAGTGGCAGTGAAGAAGGATTTATACCAAGCACTTTTGTTGTTCCATTAAAGGAAGATCTGGGTGGTGATAGGTTTGTGCTTGTAAAGATTTGCTTTTTTACTTTTTTAGTCGGTTGCACATGTTAAAGACACTGAATACTGTTCTTAAATTTTAGGCTCAATCATCTTATGGATTGTGGTGAAGTATTACAAACAATGGTTAATAGACAGCTTGATTTAAAGTTTTTCCCAAAAGTAGCAACACTGACAACACCTAATGAAATGACTGAGTCTACCAAGGTAAGAAAAATACGTCATTGGTCTTAAAGCATTGATGTATTTTTTATTGAAAATTCCTATTTCTTTTCTCCTGTAGAAACCATGTCCTGAAAAAGGAGCCAATTTCTTTTCAAGATTGACATTTTGGTGGCTAAATAGGTAAATGCTATTGGAATATTTTAAACCTGATAATTTTTATTTCCTTTGTACTCCAAATCTCCTAATCTTATCTCAGACTCAGAAAGTGCAGAATCACGCTGTGGTCAAGGTGCAAAATAGACTTCTTCTTCTTTCCATTTTGCTTTGTTCATTCCTTTTACTGTGTATTCCATTTATAATGTGGGTCTCTGTAATGTGCATAAATAAGCACTGGCGGCATATTACTAAAGTTGACAGCGTTAATATTCAGTCCTGTTCATGAGAGGAGTTTATTCTTCCCTTGGAGAAAAACTTAGATTTCTCTTTTACTTTAACAGATCATTTTATCCTCAACAGTTACATCTTCTAACTATAGGTAGGTAAGAAAAAGGAACCTGTATTCCCAATGGCAGCTCACTTAGTATGTGTTTGTTGATACTTTACAGACTGATTATAACTGGCTACAGGAGAGCTCTCCAGGAAGATGACTTGTGGTTATTGGATGAGAGAAGTCAGTCGCATCATGTTGTACCTAGACTTCACAAAGAGTGGGACCAAGAATTGAGAAAATCCTGCAGGTATGTATGTACATGTAGATGGGGCAAATAATGACCGAGGAACTGTACTGTGAGATCCTAGTGATGGACTGAAGATTTCTAGGGTGGGTAATATGGATGGTTTAGTTTCTGTGTTTTTTGCATCAGTAGGAGAGTGAATTAAGAAAGACAATGATTTTGTTTTACCAAATGAGTTGATAGCTGGTTAGAATAGACACTGTTTGGGAAATATTATTAAGAAGCTGATGTCTCAGGCAGTAGATGTTGGTGTGATGTTATTGGTGATAACGTTGAAAACAAGAATATATACTGTAAGTTCAGTAATGTTTCTGTTATTCATTTTACCGTGTTCTCATCAATAACACAGCTCCAACAACTGATATATAAAGCACACACAACCTACAAAGACAAAAACATAACAGTTTACAAGGAAGGATATATTTTACTCTGAATGCCTGGTGTGATCCATTCAGTTTGAAAATGTCTAGTTAAGTTTACCGCCTGTTAATGTTTACTGTTACCGTTTACTCTTTAGAAAAAGCATACTTCATGGTCATATGGTTGAACAGGACACAGAACGAGTTTGTCTTCAAGGAAGCAGTGATGTTAGGTTTGCTGGGAAGCAAGGATATGAGTCATCACTTGTTAAAGCCATGATAAGGGTGTTTGCTCCTTATTTTGTGATTGGAATATTCTTCGTGCTGCTCAAAGATGTCTTGCTTTTCATTCAGCCATACCTCCTCAGGTAAGTTACTGTGATCATTCTAACAGAACATTATTTTACAACCAAAACTGAGTTAACAGTAGGAGAACACATACAGTAGCACTAGTGATATGTGCTCCCCTACCTGGGAAACACATATCACTAGAGAAATGTGTTTTCCAGTTAGGGGAACACATATCACTAGGGATGTCTGTTCTCTTACCAGGAACACGTGATGAGTAATTCTCAGGTGGGGGAACACATATCACTAGGGATATGTGTTTCCCAGGGCATGTTTGGAGCTGTTGTATGGCAGGTGTGATAGTCACTAGGGATATGTTGTTTTCCCAGGTCCAGGCGTGTTTGCTGAGTTCAGTGGAGTTTCTGTTCTTTGCATAATCGCTATCTTGGGATATGTGTTTCCCCGAGTGACAGTAGCTTGGTAGATGACAGAGGCTGAAGGCACATATCACTTTCTCATGTAGGGATATGTTTTTTCCGTCCCCATACGTATACTCGTCTACTTTATGTATTGAACCCAAACCTCTTATCACTAGGGATATCACTAGGGATATGTGTTTCCCAGGTATGGGAACCCATATCACTAGGGATATGTGTTTCCTAGGTAAGGGATCCCATATCACTAGGGATACGTGTTTCCCATTTGGGGGAACACACATTACTAGGAATATGTGTTTTTCAGGTGGGGGAACACATATCACTAGGGATACATGTTTTCCAGGTGGCGCAACCCATATCACTAGGGATATGTGTTTCCCAGGTAAGGGAACCCATATCACTAGGGATATGTGTTTCCCACTTGGGGGAACACATATCACTAGGGATACGTGTTTCCCAGGTGGGGGAACCCATATCACTAGGCATATGTGTTTCCCAGGTGGGGGAACATATATTACTAGGGATACGTGTTTCCCAGGTGGGGAAACACATATCACTAGGGATACATGTTTCCAAGGTGGGGGAACACATATCACTAGGGATATGTGTTTCCCAGGTAAGGGAACCCATATCACTAGGGATACGTGTTTCCCAGGTGGGGGAACCCATATCACTAGGGATATGTGTTTCCCAGGTAAGGGAACACATATCACAAGGGATATGTGTTTCCCAGGTAAGGGAACCCATATCGCTAGGGATACTAGTTCCCAGATGGGGGAACACATATCACTAGGGATATGTGTTTCCCACTTGGGGGAACAGATATCACAAGGGATACGTGTTTCCCAGGTGGGGGAACCCATATCACTAGGGATATGTGTTTCCCAGGTGGGGGAACACATATCACTAGGGATATGTGTTTCCCAGGTGGGGGAACCCATATCACTAAGGATATGTGTTTCCCAGGTAAGGAAACCCATATCACTAGGGATATGTGTTTCCCAGGTGGGGAAGCACATATCACTAGGGATATGTGTTTCGCTGGTGGGGGAACCCATATCACTAGGGATATGTGTTTCCCAGCTGGGGGAGCAGATATCGCTAGGGATATGTGTTTCTGAGGTGGGGGAACACATATCACTAGGGATATGTGTTCCCCAGGTAAGGGAACCCATATCAGTAGGGATACGTGTTTCTCAGGTGGGAAAACACATATCACTAGGGATATGTGTTTCCGAGGTGGGGGAAGACACTTCACTAGGGATATGTGTTTCCCACGTATGGGAACCCATATCACTATAGCCTGCGTAGCATGGCGGTTTTGGTTGGGCGCGCTAAGTAATAAAGGCGGGCGAGGGCAGAGAAACCGCGAGGAGTTTGGGGCGGAAGCAACTTGAAAAACCGCCTGCACGGACGGGGGGCTTTCATGAGTCGGTCCGTACGCCAGCGTACGGATCGTTCCGATTGGTTGGGAATGTTCACCTGTCAATCAAATATTTTGGTAATCTCCCATGGGAGAGTTTCGAGGGACTGAACAAATCATCTCCGCAAAACAAAATCAAAATATCAAAGAAGCGTTGACCGGAGCTTCGTCGATCTTGAATATTTGACGGGAAAACAGGGCAATTGTATTGAAGCCTAAACAGGAAATGGCCATTTACAGTCTTCTTCAAAGGAGAGATGTCATGGAAATTTTGTCAACAAGATTTGGCAAGAGCATGATCTTTACTGTCTTTGCTATGGCCAAAGAAGAAATATCCTCATCGAAAAGCTGTATGATCACAATTTCCCCTCTAAAAAGTACTATAGACGACCAGATATCTGAAATGTTGTCACTGAGCTGTAAAGCAATGGACCTTATGACAGAAACAGTAAATTTCAGTGCTTCGAGAAAGTTCACCTCAATTTTCGCTTAAGTTTAAGCTACAACTCAAATCTAAAGATCGGATACAAAAATACAACATCCTGCAAACAACACTCACTAAAACACTCACGGGATATGTTTGTTTCCCAGGTCGGAAAAGACCAAAGAAACTAAAATATTTATTTAGCCGTAATAAAAAGAAATTTGGTCAAAGGTACTTTACAACTGCATCTGAGATCAACAAATCACTAACATTAACCACAGGGGATATGTGTTTAAGATCCCAGGTTTAAGGGAACCCATATCACTAGGGATATGTGTTTCCGAGGTGGGGGAACACATATCACTAAGGATATGTTTTTCCCAGGTAAGGGAACACATGTCACTAGGGATATGTGTTTCCCAGGTAAGGGAACCCATATCACTGGGGATATGTGTTTTCCAGGTAAGGGAACACATATCACTAGGGATATGTGTTCCCGAGTAGGGAACGCTTAATACTAGTAAGATGTGTTCCCCTACTTAGGAAAACATGTCACTAGAGAGATGTTTTTCTCGGCCATTATACACTTCTCCTCTCAAGGGTGAATCTCTCCAGAATAAGGCAGTAACCAGATGGACCAGCTCTGATCTCCAGTTGTCTCATGACTTATTGTTTACTTTATATTGTTTAATGTTTTACAGACTCCTGATAGAATACACTGAGGATAAGGGAAATGATGCTGTTGCTTGGAAGGGATATGTTTATGTAGTTTGTTTTTTAGTTGTCCAAGCATTTCAAGTCTCATTAACACAACATTCACTTCACATATCATTTACATCAGCTATGAGAGTGCATTCAAGTATTATTGGTGCCGTGTATAACAAGGTAAAGGCCACGCCCCTTGGTACAGGAATGATGAAAGTAAATCACAGTAACACCCCCCCCCTTCCCCCGTCACATGATGGGAACTGCATCTCTTGCTTCTTAATTCTTGTTTCTTCCTGCAGGGGTCTGTGCTCCATGATGCTCTTAATGCAGGACATCCCTCGTTGGTATTATTTATGTAACCATGGTGTCCCCCTTCCCCTGCCCCTGGCTTATAGGCTTTTTTATGGATACCCACTTCCTTTTGTAACAATCTTGTCAAATGAAAGCTTGCGCAGTTAGTTTATCTCTTACAGAAGTCAGAACCTTTCCAACCAACAAGTCTGTTTAACCTTTTTCATACAACTCATCAGTGGTCCCATTAATACAATTTTTACAGCATTTTCAAAGAAAATATCGAGTGGTAATGAATTATTCTTGTGCTCTTTGTAAGTTGCTTTAAAATCTACAAAAGATTTTTATTGCATTTGGGAGGAAAACTATTGCATAATGTTCAAAGCACAGTGTTGTTAATAAGTAATAAATTTCTGGAGGATGGGTGATAAGCGTTTCCTTCTGCTCTGAAAATGTGCCAGATTTTCCTCTTCCGTTCCTCTTTCATTGCTTCAAGAAATGGGACATTACGTGGCTTAATTAGATGACAGATATTTCTCAGTGTCAAGGAGGAAATGTTTATGGATACTTTAGGCCCTAGTAAGGGTATTTTCTATTGATAATTCTTTTTATGACTGAATCATACCTTTTTTTACTTAGGCAATGTGTCTGAGTCATATCTCGAGAAGACTTTCTACAGCAGGAGAGATGGTTAACCTCATGGCTGTAGATGCACAAAAAGTGATGCAACTTGTGCAGTCATTTAATCAGATCTGGTCAGCCCCTTTCCAAATCTGTGTCGCCATTTACTTCCTTTATGTAACAATGGGTGTGGCCACCTTGGCTGGAGTGGGCGTGCTCCTATTGTTAGTACCACTGAATCTGCTTTTGGCTCGACTGGTTAGGAATATTCAGGTAAACCATTTTAAACATTGCAGGTCACTGCATGTATCCAATCATACCAGAGTCAAACAATAAGAATTTTGGTTTGAGCATATCCTTACATGAAGGCACTTCCTCGAGCCTTTACTGACCCATTCACAGGTGATCATTTTAAGCATTGAGTTAAACTAATTAACTTGTTCTCAGAAAAGGTTTTTCAAATATTATTGCTTGTCTCATGAGTAAGTTGTTAGCAAGTCTCCATCAGGCAAGAGCTGACTGGTAATATATCACCAAAGCTTAATGTGTATGATTTCAACAACTGTTCTCCAGATTATTTTTGCTCAATATATTTGCAGGTGAAGCAATTGAAACACTCTGACGAACGTATAAAGTTGATGAATGAAGTGCTCAGTGGTATTAAGGTTTGACGATAACCATTAACTTTACTCTGTTAGGACTAGTAATGTTCCAAAGGTTTTACATTTCATTGGCTGCTTTTATCATGAAAAGAACAATGAAACAGAAACTGCTACTGAGCATGGTCCTACTCTTTCTCCTCATCAAATGTAAAAGACGTAATGAAGTGAACACTTCTGTGATAAATTTTTTGCTCTGCTCCATTGCAAGTTGCCCAGTGAGTGGTTAGAAATTCCTTTCTGCAACTTTTTATGGTCGACCAAACTTTGTCTCTTTTACAATGTAATTTATATTATTTATGGCAATCAACCAAACCACAATCCAGGGCTTTGTAGATTAAGGTATTTTCAGTACATACGCAGTTGTTTCAAGCTTGCACGTGTGTTTTGTAACTTTCTTGCTACCTACATCTTCTTTTTCCAGGTACTTAAGTTGTATGCGTGGGAGGAATCATTTATTAACAAGATAACAGAAATAAGAAATAAAGAGCTGCATCATCTCCGTCAAAGCTTGTACCTTAATTCAGCCGTTGGCTTTACCTTCATTTGTGCCCCATTTCTGGTAGGAAGTAATTTTGATTGTGTTTTGCATTTTGCTTGAGTCTCTTATCTTGTAGTTGATGTGATCCCACTGTACTGAAAAGCCACAGAATGTATATTTTACATATGTTCCTTATTATAGGCAATCAAATCATTTTTTTTTGTCTTTGATCTCTGTAGGTTTCTTTGGCCACGTTTGCTGTTTATGTGTTAATGGGAAATGAGCTGACAGCTGCTAAAGCTTTTGTTGCAATTTCCTTGTTCAATATTCTACGTTTTCCTCTTGCCATGCTACCAAGAGTGGTGGTAAACTTTATTCAGGTCAGTTAAGTGCCGTAGTAAGTTAGTGTAACTCCGTCATTTAGTTATAAGAGAGAATTAGAGGGAATTAACCCAAGATCTTTACATAGTAAACTTTGTTCCCTGGAGTGAGTTCTGAGTACAGGTTTAATTGACATAGCATTTGCACTGACTTGGTGTAAGTACGCAATCTGAATGCACAATTAAATGTTATGTGCATACAATGTACAGTGTACTGTTACTTAGGGCACTTTCCAAAAGTCCGAACTTTCCAGTCGGACTATGGACGAACCAGTCATTTTGACAATGAAAATTACAGTGAAACCTGTATTAAGCGGACACCCTCGGGGAATGCTGTAGTGTCCGCCTAATACAGGTTTTGACAGATAACGTCATATGAGGTGTCAAATGCCATTCAAATGAACAGTGGAAATGTTTAGAATACTCCCAGAGACTATGACGATATACGTTTGCATTAATTTCTTTTTTAAAGTGGACTAATTGATCATAGTACCATAAACATGGATTGCAACTCAAATTTAAAGAAATCAGATGAGTGAAACAAGCTCTATACAAACAAAACGAAATAGAAAACAACACTGTACTGTGAAACTAATCAAATAAGTTCGTCAAGTCACGTTTTTTAATGTAAAAATCGAACAATTTGTGGGTGGCAATTCGAGGCAATCTTTCGCATTTCCGGTGTCTGGCATGTTGGGTGGTGGAATTTAATTACAAGTGTCCGCTTAATACAGGTTGGCAACAATAGAAATGACCATTTCAGGTCCTTTTTAGGTGTCTGCGTCCGCTTAATAGAAGTGTCCGCTTAATAAAGGTTTCATTTGAAGTAAATAAGGGAAATAAATTTGGGGATTTCGGCTACTATCCGCTTAATAGAGGGTGTCCGCTTAATACAGGTTTCACTGTAATAGGCTTTTTTCAAAAGTTTTTGCTTAAAAACCTTCTCCTTCATGCTTGCTATTTAGGATTTGACTGATCTGGCTGGATAGTTTTGATTAAAATTGAAATTCTCATTAAAATGGTTATGGTCTGGCCAGTCAGTTCTGACAAATAAATGGAAAGTGCCTCAAGTATTCAGATTAATGTAATAAAGCCAAAACAAATACTCAGACAAATCACAAGAGATGTCACAAACCATGTGCTGGCATTTAGTATGAAAAACAAATGCATGCAACTTGCAATTTTACTTCTGATTGGTTGAGAAATTGGCACCAGATTTTCTTAGCCATTCACACTCAATACAAAACCAAAGTAATTACAGCCATTGTGGATTCACAGTTGGGAGAATTGTGCAGTATTTAACAGATGTATAACAAATAATAATGCAATCGCCAGCCCATTAGAACTCGCCATTTTACTGCCAGTATTTATTTCCGACATGAAGTTTCATGTGTATTGAACCAGAAAAGCTCTCACAGCTAGCTCCTTAATATGTTTGCTTTGTTTTGTTGTTTTTTGGCTGAATTTTCCGCAGGCTCAAGTTTCAGTCCATCGCCTTGAGGAGTTTTTGAAGCTAGGTGAAATACAACCTGATAACGTCATACGGAACATGCCTTCACATCGTAAGTTTCAATGAGGTCATCAATTACTTGGAGAAAATCATCTGTTGTTGTCTGCCTTACCTATTAACATCTCGATTCTTCATTTCCCAAGAGTACTGTAATATTCAGCATAATAAACAGTCACAGGAAAGTACTGCTCAGTATCTTTCATTTGATGGTGACACTTAAGGATTTCATCCACAGACTCAAAAGTTAGATTTACTATGTACAGTGTAATAAACAGTACCACGGGAAAGTACTGCTCAGTAGCTTTCATTTTCATTTTCAAACTTAGATCCACCTTTTACAGCATAATGAACAGTACCACAGGAAAGTACTGCTCAGTAACTTTCACTTGCGTGTTTACACATTACAATCTGATCCACAGACTCCAAAGAATAACCCACAGTCCTTTTACCGGAAATTTAAAAAATCACCACCAAAGGTATCTTGTTGCAGGATCCAGTATTTGATTGGTCGTAGCCAGCTTAGTGGCTGTTATAAACTTTGACGTTAAGGGTGGGGCCACTGTGGAAAAATTAGTTCTCCATCCTGCAGGCCTCGGTTTGGTATATAGCAAGGAAACTGGGCCCCGGGGCTTTTCCTCTAGAGCTGCCTTTGATCCTTACCAATATGATTCATTCGCAAATCTCTGTCACATCATCAGTGTGTTTCTTGTATCAGTAGGCACCAACATTGCAATTCTCATTGAAAATGGCACGTATTGCTGGGAGAGAAACAAAGACATTCCTGTCTTAAAAGGGTAGGTGAAAAAAAGCCTCTCATACTCTTAACTTAATGTTTCTTTTGTCATTTGCTTTGATGGTTACTTTATCGTTTATTTCTGTTATTTTCGACAGCATTAATGTAAACATCTCCAGTGGTTCGCTTGTGGCAGTAGTTGGTCAAATTGGCTGTGGAAAATCTACTTTGCTGTCCGCAATACTTGGAGAAACCGAGAAAACAGACGGCCTTGTTTATATTAAGGTTTGTTTATTTAAAGAATTCTGATGAAAACAGTAAAATAGTTACTTAGAGTCACTTTATGTTTTTCTTGATTAATCTTTGAAACGGTACAAAAGTGTTTGAGTACTGTCTTTCCCCGATTAATTGCGAGGGCGATTATTTCAAATATTGTTTATTGGAAGTCGCACCCTAAATAGTTTGTTTCATCATCCCGTTAAATGAAAAAAATAATGACCTCAAATAAACCAAACATGGGCTTTTTAAGTGCTCCAAATTTTGTTTCTTGAGTAATTCAATTAAGTTCAGTTTATTTTCTTTCAATATTTTAACTAATGCTAAGTTACAACATTAATCTAGTAGATTGTTGTTTAAACTATAAACGTTTCAATTGAGTTCATATTTAAGTTTGAGTATGATGGCCAAGTGAACCATTCAGTGGTTTGGTTTTTCAATATCAATATCTTTGGCGTCGGAGCTTGAATCGTCACTGATCAGACTCCACTTCAGCTTCATGCTCCATATTCCCTCGGCCTCCAGGAGGTATTAGGAAACTTAAGCAACGACGACCGCGACGTCAACAAGAACGGCAAAAAAGCAATACGTTTAGATTGGCAAAACAACGACTCTGCACGTGCATCACGCTTTTTTGTACGTTTCTTTGCCGTCACTACACTACTACGACGTGAAAATGCCTATTTTCACGTTTTGTGGAGGACGTGAACGCAAGACCACGACTTTCTCTTTCTTCTCCTGAACTTCGATACAGTCTCTAAGAATTGAACTCCAGAAAAACATTGCCAACATTTGACGAACTGAGCGAGATGGAGTAAGCGCGATAAAGTTTGAAGCAGCGCGACTTCACTTTTTAAGTGACGTTTTTGGTAGCCGTCAACGTCGTTGTTGCTTAAGCTCCCTATTCGGGTGGAGGGGGGGGGGGGCAGTTATTTGAGGGAAGCGATTATTTTAAATATTTACGTCAAAGAGAGGCGATTAATCGAGGGGCGGCTATTACTTGAGGAAATACAGTAAATGGGTTTCATTTCGTGTTGATCAAGGTAAAGAATCTGGTGACCTTTTCTGTTTTCTCTGAAGTACGGTAATCAGCTAATTTGCTTAATCACATGTCTGTTTCTCGTAACTCTACAGGGAAGCACCGCTTACGTTCCTCAACAGCCATGGATCCAGAATGCAACGCTGCAAGAAAATGTACTGTTCGGACAATCACATAATCCACAACGCTACGATCACGTGATAAGGGCGTGCGCTCTTACTCCTGATATTGATATACTTCCCGCTGGGGATCTAACTGAAATCGGTGAAAAGGTGAGAAATTTACTGACCTTAACCGAATGAGAAAGTGACTATTTCTCGCGCTGCTTGTTTGTATTTCGTCTAACTGTAGAATAATACATACGGTGCTTTTGTCTTTAAGGGTATTAACCTTAGTGGAGGACAGAAACAGCGAGTGAGCTTGGCTCGTTCAGTGTATTTTGATGCTGATATCTATCTGTTGGATGATCCACTCAGTGCCGTAGATTCACATGTAGGAAAACACATCTTTGATCACGTGATTGGACCCCAGGGATTACTGAAGGAAAAGGTACCAACAGACATCTCCTAAATAAGACGGAAAATAGTTGCTGTTAGTACACTGTAACTTGCAGCATACGCTGTATGCCGCCGCACTTGCTTGATGCGGAATGTATTTTTTCCATTCAATAACTCACTGGCAATTATCTTTCAAACCTGTTTTCATCTCAAACTAACGGTTTAGAGTAATGCTGTGGTGCTGATCAGTAACATCTGTCACTGAAAGATGTTGTGATATTTGTTGCTGAGTAGTGATGTTATTATTTCATTTCAGACTCGTGTTCTTGTGACACACGCTGTGCAGTATTTACCACATATGGACCAGATCATTGTACTTCAGGATGGTGTAATCTCAGAGGTATATGCTTGTTATAAGAGTTTTCAGTCTACCCCACCCCACCTCCTCTTTCCATAAATAAAGAATTCGTTTCACTTTAGATTGTGCCGTATTATCAAGAAAGTTTGCTCTTTTGTACCATGCTTACGGTGTGAACAGGATGTAATTTGTGAAGAACAGAGTAACATCGTGTGGTCTGCAATGGGAAAGAGGTCAATTGATATGAACCGTCCTCTTCTACTATCCAACATGACAAACTTTCTGTAAGGTTGGTTTAGCGTATTGTATCTTATACGTAACTTAAGCTGTGCTGTACCCGCAGGTTGGAACGTATGAGGAACTTAAATCATCCCATGGCTGGTTTGCGGAATTTCTTGACTCCTACGCCATTGAAAATGATTGCCATGACAGCACTAAAAGTAAGTAATTTTACTTGTGGAAACCGAGAGCAAAAGAAAGAGAGGTTACTTAGTTAAGGCGAACCAAAGACCCTGTGAAAGCAGGAATAAATACAGAAGAGCTAAATACCCACAAATAACTTGTTGTATTAAAAACTTAAAACCCAACTCAAAATCAATGCTTGCCGATTTGAACTGGCCTTCACTGCAGTCAAGGCGCAGGATATGCGGTCTCCGCATGTTTTATAAAATACCTAGAGGTCCAGCTAGTCAACATCTCCCTTCCATAAGACCTCATCTCCGTACAAGGGCCAGTCATGCCTTTAAGATCAGACTTCCATCCTCTTCAGTTGGCGCTTACAAACACTCTTATTATGCAAGATCAATCCCCGTATGGAACGCGTTGCCAGCTGCCGTCGTTAGTTTTTCATCGTACCCAGAATTCATCAGAAGAGTGTGTCTACTAATTTAACATAATAATGTAATTTACATCGTTGTTTTTCATTTGTTCTACTACCATGTAATTGAGCGACCGCTGGCCGCTCCATTGCTGGATTAGCATTATTTGTAAAGCTAGTGGCAATTACCATGATTAAAGATTAAAAATGGTGCTACATCCTTCCAAGGGCAATCATTTAATCTAATGTACAAATTCCTCTGTCTTCATAAATGGCAATGCTTATCGCTAACTTCAGTTCTTGTTTGTATGACAGTGAGAGGTCAGACCCGCCGGGAAGTTAGTGGCTCCAGTCCATCGGCAGAAATACCCAATAAGCCCGCATTCCATCGGTCGGCCAGCTGTCATCTCCCTGGCAACGTGCCTCATCCACGTCACCAAGCTGCTACTTGTCACAGTGAAGTGAACTTAGAGAGACTTGCTGCTGACAAGCACACTGTAAAACATTCCCCGATTAAACAGTTACAACAGCTAGAAAGACAAGAGAGTTTCGCTAGTTTACTTTCGTTAAACCACCAACTATCGTTATGTGAAGGGATGGACGCAAATGATTTGGTGGAGGAAGAATTCTTGTTTGATGACCGAGAAACAGATGAAGGTGATGGAAGGCATCTACAAGTAAAGCCATTACTGCAACAGCGGCATAGTATGGTCAGCGGTATTTCTGTAAATAGTTTATTGTCAATGGTTGAGAAAGTTAATCACGTGACTGATACACAAGAATGCCCTGGTAATCCAGCAATCTGTATAACAGCTTCTGAAGACGGCCAAGGAGAAAGACAAAATATAGTTAGTAAAGAACAACTAGGAAATATGGAATGTCCAACTAAAATCAGAAAGGGAAGAAGCGATACAGCAAGGACAACTTCAGATGAAAGATCTCAGGCTGGAACGGTAACTAGTTTATTTGTATCCTTACAAAGCTACAGCTTTCTATTGTACTTGCCGTCTTAACTACCATATCTAAATTTTCCGGTCCAGAAAAGTTTATGTGGAGAAAACTTGTCCCTTGCCTCTTCAAGCTACCCTGGGCGCCGAGCTATCTATTCCCACATTTTCTTACAAAACTTGGCGAACGATTTGCATGAGAAACAAATAGTTGGCAAGGCTAGAAGGATGATCCACCTAGCCGGGCCAACTTGGTTAAGGTCTAGGCAATCAGAGCATTCACGAGTACTGTAGGAACTTGTAGGGCAGGGGTCAACCTTATTCTCATATAAACACTCGCCAACGTTAACTCGGATGGAAGGGAAACCCTCTTTCCGGGAACAATTATTCTCCTAAAAAACGGCTTAGGCCTGGGAGAGGTTCTTGTCTTTTCATATATGAACCTGCTTATCAACGGATTTTTAGTTACCATTCCCTTGACAGTAAAATATTCATTTAAAAAGTTTTTATAAATGAAAGTAGTGGTTTTCTGTTTGGGATTGTATTTCTATCTAATCTGGTCAATTAACTGTTTGTTTGTTCCTTTCTTTCTTTTGAGGTTAAAACTTCTGTTATAGTTGCATACATCAGCAGCCTTGGAGTTCTGTGTTTCATTCTTGTTCTCGTATGTGGCATTGGTGCAGAATCATCTCTTATCGCTTCACGTATATGGTTAGCAAAATGGAGTTCCACCAATGTCACAACACCACAGCAGCGTGACACCTTCCTTGGCGTGTATGGTGCTTTGGGAGTGGGCCAGCTTCTTCTTATCACCACTATGAACCTACTTCTAGCTTACAGTTCAGTGAAATCTGCTACCAATTTCCATCAAGGACTTCTTATTAACATAATGCACCTTCCCATGCAATTCTTTGAGAGCACGCCATTGGGAAGGATTGTAAATCGCTTTTCAAAAGACATTAATTCCGTTGATGATAAGCTTCCACCTATTCTGGGTCGATTTTTAAGAACACTACTGGCTACGCTTGGCACTATTTGTGTGATTAGCTATTCCACGCCGTTGTTTCTCACGTGTGTTGTGCCTTTGATTGTTCTATACATTTTTATTCAGGTACGTTACGAGGGGCTTGTGGATTATAGTTTAAATACGCTTTATGCTATAATTATAACCTATCTCAGTGGTGGATTCTACCCTCGTTGTCAAAAACGGCTCCAACAAAGGGTCCTGTTAAAAGATTTACTTTAACATTCTGGAGCAATGATGGTGAATCTTTGTTTATAGGATTGCAAAAGAGGACAGCTCGTATTTAATTTTTTATGAATAGCCATGAGTGAATTTCGTAACTGAGTTCGTAACAAGCACCTGACCATACATTGTGTTAACTGCCCGCACATTTTTAAAACAAACCTGTGAAAAATAAGTACACCAACTTAAATATTGTAGGCTATGTATTGCAAAGGTAACAACAGAGGAGGTATTGCGGATGCAAATGGTAATGCCTTTCAAACCCCCATATATCGCATATACAAATGTCCATTATTGTTTAGTTACCTTGATTTAGCTCGGCGTAGTTTCAGTCCACCGGCTAAATAAGACTTAAAGCGTTTTTCATTTGTCAGAACTGGCCGGCCGGACCATTGCCCGACCAGTCAGTTAGCAAATGAAATCGGCTTAGCAAATGAAAGGGTTTTTGCAGAAAAACCATCTCCTTGGTGTATACTATTTAGGATTTGACTGATGTGTTTGGATAGTTTTGATTTAAAGTGAAATTTCCAATACGACCGGAACGGTCTGGCCAGTCAGTTCTGACAAATGGAAAGCGTCCTTTAGTAACCTTACTGCGTAGATTACTATAATGTATATGGTAAATTAATCGAGTGAATGATTATATGTAATTGATTTTTCAGAGATTTTATGTGTCTACATCACGCCAACTCAGGAGAATTGAGTCAGTGAGCCGTTCACCGATATATAGTCATTTTTTTGAAACCATCAGTGGTACCAGCACAATAAGGGCCTATTCACAACAGAAGAGGTTCATCACGGAGATTCATCGGCGAGTAGATAAGGCACATTCGGCGCATTACGCATACATATGTGCGAACAGGTGAGTGACTTACTTATAAGACCCATCAGCAGTGTACGCCATGTATTAACTTGTTTTCGCTCATTAACTTATGTAAAGTGATAGTAAAGGTGAATTATTTTTATCGGCGTTTTTAGGTGAGCTTGTTCTGAAGGGTAGCTGCTTAGTACACGTTCTGGTTGTCGTTGCACTGTTGTCCTCCCTCGCCCCATTTCCCCACAGGTCTGCCCCCTTCACACAATTCTCCTCCGGTTTAGGTCAAATTAGTTTGCTTGTATCTGTTGCAGGTGGCTAGCTCTACGGCTGGAGTTTATTGGTGCTGCAATCTTGTTCTTTGCTTCATTATTTGCTGTTATTGCAAGGGAAACCATTGCACCTGGTCTTGTTGGGTTGTCTGTGGCATATGCATTACAGGTAGATACTTACTCAGCTCTTTTTGCATCCACCTCCGATAATTTGGTAACGTTAATATTTCCCACTTTATAGTTTTCCACACTATCCTTCCCATTTACCTCTTCCATTAATTAGTGTTAGGCACTTCTTGTAGATTGCGTGATATGAATGAGATTGATAAACATAGGTTGCTTTCTCATCAACAACCTTAAATACACGGCTTCAGTTAATGTCAAGTTTTAACCCATGGTATAAAGGCAATGGTCCAGGGTGTGGCACATCTAAAAGGCTGCCGCGATTGGACGAATCCTATCATTGCTACAAACGTGTGCACCTGTGAACATGCGTTTTTACTGGCTTATCATGAAAAGAATTTTACTGAGGCAAGCTGCAGTTAAGAATTCTGATGTGACAGCAGCTAACATCCTGAACTTGTAGCTAACGTTCGTGTTTGTTCTCAGATCACTGGCTCATTAAACTGGTTGGTGAGATCGACCTGTGAAATGGAAACGAATATTGTTTCAGTGGAAAGAATCAAAGAATATACAGCTATTGACAGAGAGGTACGTAAATACATGGCATCTTATAATCCTTAAAAACAGCATTTTGTAATTTGAGACTAGTGGATCCTGTGAATTTCATGCCAAGTGAATTTTTGATAGCCACGGAACACAACAGTCCTGTATGTTACAAAAATCGCTTCTAAACGTCTGCGCATGTCGCGTGCGCAGTTTTGGTTTTCTCGTTTATTATTATTATCATTATGATAAATATCTTTTACTGTCTTTGTGTGAGATTAATTAATCAAGCCGAGGTGGTGAGTTTACTTGCTCTTTGCAAGACGAAGCAGCTATGGTCATCTTTTCTAATTGTTTTTTGACAGGCTGATTGGGTAATTCCAACTATGCGTCCCGCCGACGAATGGCCCCATCAAGGAAGGATAGTTATGGAAAATGTTGATGTGCGCTACAGAGAAAATCTGCCTTTAGTGCTGAAAGGCATCAACTGTGCCATAGCAACAAGAGAGAAGGTAAAAAGCGGTACACATCAAAGAAAGTTTATCTTCACAATTATAGAAGTGACACACGAAAAACCAAGATTTAGTTAGTATGAAAGACACTTTTTTCTTTGGTTTTGCCTTGATCTGAATGGCTAATATTCAAAGGTTTAAAATTGCTCATTAACTGGATGTGGTCAGGGAGCTTTTGGCAACTGAACCACATTACTTCTTTGCTGTCTGTTTGGTGTGCGCTGTCACATTTTAAGTTTTTATTTTGTTTTTGTAGATCGGTATTGTGGGTCGCACTGGGGCTGGCAAGTCTTCACTGACTTTGGCCTTGTTCCGTATTCTGGAGAGAGCTGGAGGAAGGATTATTATTGATGACATTGACATTGCTAAAATTGGACTCCATCATCTGCGCTCAAGACTCACCATAATTCCCCAGGTAGTAACATGTAGGCACGTGTAGCGTGCAGAGGTTTTTTTGAATTATTTTAGCGGAGCTCCACAGCTGTTAAAACAGGGTATCAGCTGACAAGTATCAAATGACCGTATCTCGGGCTCAGGTGTCAACCCATCGAGGTTACGTCTTTTTTTAAAAATTTACCGCCGACAAGTTTCTAGTTTTTTCTTTAGTGCAATGTTTTTTTAACAGGTGCTTCGTCTTAAGCCTCGGCTAAATCTATATATTATCTAATGAGGTAGAATCTGAAGGCTCGGCCGTGTTCTGCTCTGTTTCACAGGGTTCGTACAGGTCATGGAAAACCTAGAAAGTCGTAGAATTTAAGAATTTCATTTTCAAGGCCTGGAAAGTCACTGAATTTAATTTTCGGTCCTTAAAAGTCATGGAAAATTAAAGTTTTCACCTTTGTGTGGTAGATTAGTAATACTACAGATGACAAAGCAAGGATAACGTAAGATAAAGAGGAGTAATTAAACAGCGCGAACGGCACGCATTTTGGTCGATACCAGAGTTTGTTTCTGTTCTGTTTCTGTTGAACTGTTTAAGGGCCAAAAATATGCTAAAACAGGTAAAGTTTTCAAAATTTTCGAAAGTGACAGCTAAACCTAAGGACATGGAAAAGTAGAAAAGGTCATGGAAAAAGTCATGGAATTTGAAGAACTCAAAAAAGTACGAACCCTGTTTCATGAGACGCTGATTAGACATTCTTTTGATTACTCATGAGTATTTGAATTGAGTATGAGAACTTTCGTATATCACTAACACTAAGAAAACAGTGATGTTATGAAAGAGATTATTTTTGAGGAAGCGAACGATCGCTGTTTATGCTACAGTCTGCTAATATCTATATTATCTATTCACTTACGTCAGAGATCTCATCTATTTACTTTGTCATTTGACATTTTAATTATCCGAACCGTACCTTCTTCATTCGATCTTAGAAGCTTGTTCACTCAGTATGTATTTTGTGTGAATTGTTGTTCTCCCAGGACCCTGTGCTATTTTCTGGAACTTTTCGTTTGAACCTGGATCCATTCAATAATTACTCAGACGAGGAATTGTGGAACGTTGTGGAGGTTACCCAGCTAAAGACCTTTATAACGGCTCATGATAAAGGCCTTCACTTGCCTATCCTTGAGGGTGGCGAAAATATGAGGTAAGTCCACACTAACTTTTTGATTAATTTTTGTGAAGGGGGCCATTTGCCATCGCCAAAAAATCTGTATATGGGATAGTTACTTTATTATTGTCCCATGGTCATGCTAAAAGTGTCGATGATGTCAATATATTGAGCAAAACCAATTTCAACTGCTGTAAACATCACCAAGAGCGGAATAGCGTAGACAAAGCGTAGGCAGTGTTACCGAACAATGTTCGCTCCTTGTTTACAGCATTGGTCAGCGACAGTTGGTATGTTTAGCACGTGCGTTGCTTCGTAGAAGTAAAATCCTTGTTCTTGATGAAGCCACAGCCGCGGTGGACCTGGAAACTGATGAACTTATTCAACAAACGATTCGGCGGGAGTTTGCTGACCGCACGGTTCTCACTATTGCTCACAGGCTCAACACCATCATGGATTACGATCGGTAAGAGAAGTTACCGTTAATACTGGTTATGTAGTTCTTTGTCTTATGTTCTTTACACCTCTCACTTATAGTATAGTTTTTCGACCTTTGCAACTTTCCGTACTGAGTTGGAACGCTTTCTGTCCTCCTCCCCGTCCGCCCCAAACATTTTATCATGTCTCTGCTGCGGTTTTTTGTTTTTCAGGGTGATGGTCCTTAAGGAGGGATCAGTAGCGGAATTTGATTCACCGTCAAAGTTGCTATCACGTAAAGGATTATTTTACTTGATGGCCAAAGATGCTGGTCTAGTGTAACAAACAGGTTCTCGAAAGTCCTTGGAAGAAAGCAAGAGCAGTCGTGTGATGCACACCAGTAAAGAAATGACTCGACAATCAGTCAATAAAAGTGTCGAAAGCGATCCATAGCCATTTGATATGTGCAATATGTTATAATGCATATGTCGCGATGTCCTGTCGACCGTCGTGGCACCGTTTCTACATATAAGTTACAAACTAAACGTCGCTTTAAAGCGATCCATCATGTTGGTCCATCCTCATTTAACATTACACATCAAGCATTGTTGAAAGTAGCAACAACAACACAAACAAAGAACAAACACAAAAACAAATACATAAATAAATAATTTTAATATAAGAAATAATAGTCGTAATATTACTAATAACAATTTATATCGCACGAATTTCATAAGCATGCAAGATGAATTACGCTGTACAAAGATAAGGGTAAGAAAGTAGATAAAAGGCACCAATCTTCTTCTTAGCGTGGTGGTTGCGGTTTTTAACTGCGTTTATCAGTAGCAAAGGTTGAACCAAGGTAGTCCATAGTTTTGCTCAAAAAATAGCAATTTCTCCATGTTTTTATTTTAGGCAAAATAGGGCAGGAAAATATTTCACGATTTTCTACAAAGAAAAAACGAATTTCTCGGCAATAAAAACAAGAAGTTTAAAAAGTAGAAAATTGACATTTTTCCAAAGGGGTTAACCCATGGTTTTGGTTCAAAAATGGCCATTTTTCCAACTTTTTTTTTTTAGGCAATATAAAACCGGAAAATGTCTTTTACGATATTCTAGAACGAAAAAACGCCTTTCTAGGCTCTAAAAACAAGAAAATCAAAAAGTCGAAAAATTGACATTTTCCCAAAGGGGTTAACCCATGGTCTTGGTCCAAAAATGGCCATTTTTCCAACTTTTTTTTTAGCCAATATAGGCCAAGAAAATGCCTTTTACGATATTCTAGAACGAAAAGACGCTTTCTGGGCTATAAAAACAAGAAGTTCAAAAAGTCGAAAAATTGACATCTTTCCAAATGGGTTAACCCATGGTTTTGGTCCAAAAATGGCCATTTTTCCAACTTTTTTTTTTAGGCAATATACAACAGGAAAATGTCTTTTACGATATTCAAAAACGTAAAAACGCCTTTCTAGGCTATAAAAACAAGAAGTTCAAAAAGTCGAAAAATTGACATTTTTCCAAACGGGTTAACCCATGGTTTTGGTCCAAAAATGACCATTTTTCCTACTTTATTTTTGAGGCAATATAAAAAAGGAAAATGTCATTTACGATATTGTACAACGAAAAAACGCCTTTCTAGGCTATAAAAACAAGAACTTGAAAAAGTCAAAAAATTGACATTTTTCCAAAGGGGTTAACCCATGGTTTTGGTCCAAAAATGGCCATTTTTCCAAAGGGGTTAACTCATGGTTCTGGTTGAAAATTTGCCATTTTCTAACTTTTTTTTTAGCAATCTAAGCCAGGAAATTGTCTTTTACGACATTCTAGAACGATAAAACGCCTTTCTAGGCTATAAAAACAAGAAGTACAAAAGGTCGAAAAATTGACATTTTTCCAAAGGGGTTAACCCATGGTTTTGGTCCAAAAATGGCCATTTTTCCGACTTTTTTTTTTTAGGCAATATAGGCCAAGAAAATGTCTTTTACGATATTCTAGAACGGAAAAACGCCTTTTTAGCCTATAAAAACAAGAAGTTCAAAAAGTCGAAAAATTCACATTTTTCCTAAGGGATTAACCCATGGATTTGGTCCAAAAATGGGTATTTTTCGAACTTTTCTTTTTAGGCAATTCAGAACCGGAAAATGTCTTTTACGATATTCTACAATGAATAAACGCCTGTCTAGGCTAGAAAAAATGGCATTTAAATAGTCGCAAAATTGACATTTTTCCAAAGGGGTTAACCCATGGTTTTGGTCCAAAAATGGCCATTTTTCCAACTTTTTCTTTTAGGAAATATAGGCCAAGAAAATGTCTTTTACGATATTCTAGAAGGAAAAAACGCCTTTCTAGGCTATAACACAAAGAAGTTCAAAAAGCCGAAAAATTGACATTTTTCCAAAGGGGTTAACCCATGGTTTTGGTCCAAAAATGGCCATTTTTCCAACTTTTATTTTTAGGCAATATACAATAGGAAAATGTCTTTTACGATATTGTAGAACGAAAAAACGCCTTTCTAGGCTATAAAAACAAGAAGTTAAAAAAGACCAAAAATTGACATTTTTCCTAAGGGGTTAACCCATGGTTTTGGTCCAAAATGGCCATTTCTTTAACTTTGTTTTTTTAGGCAGTTTACAACAGGAAAATGTCTTTTACGATATTCTAAAACGAAAAAACGCGTTTCTAGGCTATAAAAAAATGTTATAAATATCGAAAAATTCACATTTTCCAAAGTTGTTAACTCGTGGTTTTGGTTGAAAAATGGCCATTTTTCTAACTTTTTTTTTAGGCAATATACAACAGAAAAATGTCTTTTACGATATTCTAGAACGAAAAAACGCCTTTCTAGGCTATAAAAACAAGAAGTTCAAAAAGTCGAAAAATTGACATTATTCCATTATTCCCATGGCTTTGGTCCAAAATGGCCATTTCTCTAACTTTGTTTTTTTAGGCAATTTACAACATGAAAATGTCTTTTACGATATTCCAAAATGAAAAAACGCGTTTCTAGGCTATAAAACAAAGTTATAAATGTCGAAAAATTGACATTTTCCAAAGGGGTTAACTCATGGTTTTGGTCCAAAAATGGCCATTTTTCCAACTGTTTTTTAGGCAATATAGGCCAAGAAAATGTCTTTTACGTTTTTCTAGAGCGAAAAAACACATTTCTAGGCTATAAAAACAAGAAGTTCAAAAAGTCAAAAAATTGACATTATTCCAAAGGGGTTAACCCCTGGTTTTGGTCCAGAAATGGCCATTTTTTCAACTTTTTTTTTTAGGCAATATAGAACAGGAAAATGTCTTTTACGATATTCTAAAACGAAAAAACGCCTTTCTAGGCTATAAAAACAAGAAGTTCAAACAGTCAAAAAAAAATTGACATTTTTCCAAAGGGGTTAACGCAAGGTTTTGGTCCAAAAATGGCCTTTTTTTCAAACTTTCTTTTTTACGCAATATAGGCCAGGAAAATGTCTTTTATGATATTTTACAACGAAAAAACTCCTTTCTAGGCTATAAAAACAAGAAGTACAAAAAGTCGAAAAATTCACATTTTTACAAAGGGGTTTACTAATGGTTTTTGTCCAAAAAGGACCATTTTTTCAACCTGATTTTTTGGGCAATATATTCAAGGAAAATGTCTTTCACGATATTCTAGCACAAAAAATAGCCTTTCTAGGCTATAAAAACAAGAATTTCAAAAAGTCAAAAAATTGACATTTTTCCAAAGGGGTTAACCCATCGTTTTGGTACAAAAATGGCCATTTTTCCAAACTTTTTTTTTAGGCAACATAGGCAAGGAAAATGTCTTTCACTATATTCTAGAACAAAAAAAAGCCTTTCTAGGCTATAAAAAGAAGAAGTTCAAAAAGTCGAAAAATTGACATTTTTCCACATGGTTTTAGTCCAAAAATGGCCATTTTTCCAACTTTTTTTTTTTTTTTCAATATAGAACAGGAAAATGTCTTTTACGATTTTCTAGAACGAAAAAACGCCTTTCTAGGCTATAAAAACAAGAAGTTCAAAAAGTCAAAAAATTGACATTATTCCAAAGGGGTTAACCCCTGGTTTTGGTCCAGAAATGGCCATTTTTTCAACTTTTTTTTTTAGGCAATATAGAACAGGAAAATGTCTTTTACGATATTCTAAAACGAAAAAACGCCTTTCTAGGCTATAAAAACAAGAAGTTCAAACAGTCAAAAAAAAATTGACATTTTTCCAAAGGGGTTAACCCATGGTTTTTGTCCAAAAATGGCCATTTTTCCAACTTTTCTTTTTAGGCAATATAGAACAGGAAAATGTCTTTAACGATATTTTACAATGAAAAAACGCCTGTCTAGGCTATAAAAACAAGCGTTTAAAAACTGGCAAAATTGACATTTTTCCAAAGGGGTTAACCCATGGTTTTGGTCCAAAAATGGCCATTTTTCCAACTTTTTTTTTAGGCAATATACAACAGAAAAATGTCTTTTACGATATTCTAGAACGAAAAAACGCCTTTCTAGGCTATAAAAACAAGAAGTTCAAAAAGTCGAAAAATTGACATTATTCCAAAGGGGTTAACCCCCATGGTTTTTGTCCAAAAATGGTCATTTTTCAACTTTCTTTTTTAGGCAATATAGAACAGGAAAATGTCTTTTACGATATTCCAAAACGAAAAAACGCGTTTTTCTAGGTTATAAAAACAAAAGTTCAAAAATGTCGAAAAATTGACATTTTTCTAAAGGGGTTAACCCATGGTTTTGGTCAAAAAATGGCCATTTTTCCAACTTTTTTTTTTAGGCAATATAGAACAGGAAAATGTCTTTTACGATCTTCTAGAACGAAAAAACGCCTTTTTAGGCTATAAAAATAAGAAGTTCAAAAAGTCGAAACATTGACAATTTTCCAAAAGGGTTAACCCATGGTTTTTTATCCAACAATGGCCATTTTTCCAACTTTTTTTTTTTTTAGGGAATATAGGCCAAGAAAATGTCTTTTACGATATTGTAGAACGAATAAACGAATTTCTAGGCTATAAAAACAAGAAGTTCAAAAAGTCGAAATATTGACATTTTTCTAAAGGGGTTAACCCATGGTTTTCTGTCCAAAAATGGCCATTTTTTCAACTTTTTTCTTTTTAGGCAATATAGACCAGGAAAATGTGTTTTACGATATTCTAGAACGAAAAAACGCCTTTCTAGGCAATAAAAACAAGAACTTCCAAAATTAAAAAAATTGACATTTTTCTAAAAGGGTTAACCCATGGTTTTGGTCCAAAAATGGCCATTTTTCCAACTTTTTTTTTTACACAATATAGACGAGGAAAATGTCTTTTACGATATTCTAGAACGAAAAAACGTTTTTCTAGGCTATAAAAACAAGAAGTTCAAAAAGTCGAAAAATTGACATTTTTCAAAAGGGGTTAACCCATGGTTTTTGTCCAAAAATGGCCATTTTTCCAACTTTTTTTTAAGGCAATAGAGAAAAGGAAAATGTTTTTTACGATATTCTAGAACGAGAAAACGTCTTTCTAGGCTATAAAAACAACAAGTTCAAAAAGTCGAAAAATTGACATTTTTCCAAAGGGATTAACCCATGGTTTCTGTCCAAAAATGGCCATTTTTGGAACTTTTTTTTTAGGCAATATAGAACAGGAAAATGTCTTTTACGATATTCTAGAACGAAAAAACGCCTTTCTAGGCTATAAAAACAAGAAGTTTAAAAAGTCGAAAAATTGACATTTTTCCAACGGGTTTAACCCATGGTTTTTGTTCAAAAATGGCCATTTTTCCATTTTTTTTTTTTTTTTTAATATAGAACAGGAAAATGTCTTTTACGATATTCTAGAACGAAAAAACGCCTTTCTAGGCTATAAAAACAAGAAGTTCAAAAAGTCGAAAAATTGACATTTTTCCAAAGGGGTTAACCCATGGTTTTGGTCCAAAAATGGTCATTTTTCCAACTTTTTTTTTTAGGCAATATAGAACAGGAAAATGTCTTTT